CTGTGCATGTTCTAATACCCTCAGGTTTTACTGTTTGTATACTGTGATAAGCCACAAGTACAATGATGCCCCCATGTACAATTTTCATGGTGTTTTGGAAAGTTACAGTGTCAAATAAAGAGCTTGCCCATTTCAGTTTTTACATGTTGAAATGTACCAGATTGGTTTGCCGGGCCTATGTTGCCTTTGAGACCAGATGGCAGCCAGGAATGAGAATTACATCCATCTTGGCATGCCATTTGCTTAAGTAGACAACTCAGGGTATTCAAAATACCCAGTATATTTTAGTTGCCACTTGGTCACAAACCCTGGCCAAAGTGAGTTATATTTTTTTTTTCTTGCCCTTTTCACACAAAAACTGCATTTTTATTAATATGTTTTACTGTTTCAAAACACTCCTATTTTCTTGCACTTTAATTGAAATAGATTGAGCATGTATTACCCACAAGACCACACTCTATATCTCTATATTTCAACACATTATTTATTTAAAAAGTGATGTATTAACTTTTAACACATAGTAAGTACTTAGTCTCTATTAGATACTTTTGATAAAATACATTATGATTAATTTAGATAATTTTTTTTACCCTTGTTATATATTTGGGTAACATAGACGCCTATTAGATTCACGTAGGTAACAATTAGAGTCTTACCACTTAATATTGTCAGCAACTATATATTCACTAATTTAGAATAATTTTTTTACGATATAATATTTGACAGATTCGTTTTTTACCACTTTTCGTTCACAAACAGAATAGAAATTTATTATAGCAATCTATTAACATTGTTTTATTGTATTTGAAGGTACTGAAATTATTAATATAACAATAAGTAGTCACTGGTAGAGTTGGAATTATAACTTCACTTGAACCTTTTTATTTTAAGTTTATTATTCTTCACAAACAATTTTATTGATTATTATTTTTAATATAACAATCCATACATAATTATAATGTATACTTTCTTGATATATGGAGCTATTATAGGTTATTTAATAACTGGCTTGCATTTATATAATATACCTTAGAGATTAAAAATGTAGAACTTCAGAGGGTGTTAACAGAATCATATGATAGACCTATATATATTATTACTAATACTGCTTCTGGTTGTTTAATTTATTCAAAATAATCTTGGTTCACTTTCTTGTGATATCTCTCTACTAAACAGTCACCAGTAACTGAATGTCCCTGAGAACATTATGTATTTTGATTATTTTTTTTATATCTTTGTCTGTTTTTTTTGTTGGGTTTTTTTTGTATAATGTTCTTTTTTCATGTTACCTTTCTCAGGGCTACTTCCGTGGACTTGTTTCCATTTGATGGTATATTTATTGTTAGTTTGTAGTTGTTAGTTTTGTTTGTTTGCTGAGACACCTGCAGAGGGTTGGATGGATTCTGACCATCCAAGTCTTAAGGGGATTATTCCTGGGTATAACAGGGAGATAATGAATTAAGAATGTCAATTAAGATAGCCTCAATCAATGTTCAGGGCTTAAATTCTCCAATAAAACGAGGCCTTTTGTATAGATCATTAATTGAGGGGGAAATTGATATTTGCTTTGTGCAAGAGACTCACTGGAGGAGAGAGAAAAATTTATTGAGATTCACCAAATTTCCTTAAATTTTAAGTGCAAATTTTGTTTGATAGAGAGGAGTTGCTATTATTTGCTCAGCTAAAATCGTAGAAGCCAAACTAGATAAAAGTTCTAAAATCTCTAATTGCATGTTAAATTTATATCAAGCTCGATCTAAATGGCTTCTTGAGACTTTTAATAATTTTGATTTATTTGATATTTGGAGAGTCCATCACCGGAAAGAAAAAGATTTTACTTTTTTTTTTTTTCAAAGTCCATCATAGTTATTCAAGAATCGATTTCTTTTTAATGGACTCAATAAATTTGCAAGTTCGGAAATTTACCCTATTGTGTGGTCAGATCATGCAACCATTAATGTACTAATTTATAATAATCCCAATTTTAAATTTACACCGGAATGGAAATTCGATAATTCAATCCTTTTATCAGAGCAAAATAGAACTTATTTACCACATTTAGTAAAGGAATTTCTGAAGGTAAATGATAACAGTCAGGTCTATACACCCTGCTCCAAATTATTATGCAAATTCTATTTAAGTGTCACAAAGATTAAATATTTTGTTTTTCATTTTAACTCATGGATGGCATTGTGTCTAAGGACTCTTTTGATTACTGAAAACAATATCGGACACCTGTGATAATTAGATTGCCAGGTGAGCCCAATTTAAGGAAAAACTACTAAAGGAGGGTGTTCCACATTATTAAGCAGAGCACCATTTTCATGCAATATGGGGAAGAAAAAGGATCTCTCTGCTGCTGAAAAGAGTGAAATAGTTCAATGCCTTGGACGAGGTATGAAAACATTAGACATTTCACAAAAACTTAAGCGTGATTATCGCACTATTAAGAGATTTGTAGCTGATTCAGAGCAGCGACGGGTTTGTGCAGATAAAGGCACATTAAGGAAGATTTCTGCCAGATCCATGCATCGGATCAAGAGAGCAGCTGCTAAAATACCATTACATAGCAGCAAACAGATATTTGATGCTGCTGGTGCCTCTGGAATCCCGCAGACATCAAGGTGTAGAGTCCTCCTGAGTCTTGCAACTGTGAATAAACCTTCTATTCGGCCACCACTAACCAATGCTCACAAGCAGAAACAGCTGCATTGGGCAGAAAAATACATAAAGACTAATTTTCAAACAGTCCTGTTCACTGATGAGTGCCGTGGAACCCTGGATGTTTCAGATGGATGGAGTAGTAGATGGTTGGTGGACGGCCACCCTGTTTCAACAAGGCTGCGACGTCAACAAGGCGGTGGTGGAGTCATGTTTTGGGCCGGAATCATGGGAAGAGAGCTGGATGGCCCTCTTAGGGTCCCTGAAGGTGTAAAGATGACCTCTGCAAAGTATGTGGAGTTTCTGACTGACTACTTTCTTCCCTGGTACAGAAGGAAGAACTCTGCTTTCCGTAATAAAATCTTCATGCATGACAATGCACCATCTCATGCTTCAAAGAATAACTCTGCATCAATGGCTGCTAAGGGGATAAAAGGAGAGAAAGTCATGGTGTGGCCTCCATCCTCCCTGACCTCAATCCTATTGAGAACCTTTGGAGCATCCTCAAGCAAATGATCTATGAGGGTGGGAGGCAGTTTACATCCAAACAGCAGCTCTGGGAGGCTATTCTGACAGCTTGCAAACAAATTCAAGCAGAAACTGTCCAAAAACTCACAAGTTCAATGGATGCAAGACTTGTGAAGCTGCTATCAAATAAGGGGTCCTATGATAAAATGTAACGTGACCTGTTAAAATGTTTAAAAAGTTAAAATGTTATAAGTTTAATTGAAATAGCTTTTGATTTCAGTAAATATGCTGCAAACACAACAAATGACAATTTTAAGTTCTTTACAACCTATAAGGTGTTTTGAAACTTACTGTGCGTAATAATTTGGAACAGTGCATTGTAAGTTTTTTTATGCTTTTTTAAAAAAAAAAAAAATACTGTTATCATTAGGAGGTTTGTTCAATAAAATATGAATTGTACTTTTAATAGTTGATAACATGAGAATTATGCTGACTCTTATTTACATCAATTATTTAGGTAAATGAGAAAAATATCATTTGCATAATAATTTGGAATAGGGTGTAATGAGACCCTTTGGGGAACGTTTAAATGTGTGATGAGTGGGTATTTAATTAAAACGGATGCAAAAACCCGGAAAACGAGAGGAGCAAATCTGGCAGATCTTTATATTCAACTTGCAAAACTGGAACAATGTAATAAAAAAATAATCCAGCTCAGTCAATCTTAAATCATAGATGATATAATAGTAACAATACAGCTGGGAAATCTCTCTCCAAAAAACTTAAACCAGACTTAAATATGGGGAAAGAAATTTATAGATGGCAAAAAATTTAATCTCTCCCTCAGAACATAGGAGAAACTTTTGCTAACTATTATGCATCTCTCTATAATTTACAGGATATCCGAGTAGCTCAGAGTGACCTAGAGTCGTTTTTCTCTAAACTCTGTCTGCCTAAACTCAATATAGATAAATTAAATGATCTGAACAAACCCATCACAGTAGAGAAGATAAAGAAAGTAATTATAAACCTTAAAAACAATAACGCACTGGCCCTGATGGCTATACAGCACACAACTATAAATCTTTTGAACCAATGGTAATCCCCCTCTTGTGCAATTTATTTGCGGAGAAGGAGTACTGTAATAATGGATTCTCATTAGAATTGTTCAGTGCAACGATATCACCAATCCCAAAACCAGGAAAGGACCCTTGTTATAGAAGTAATTATCGCCCGATCTCATTAATAAACCAAGATATAAAAATATTTTCTAAAATTCCTTGAAACAATGACAACTAGAACAACAGAGGGGGGTTTATCCTTTCCTAATGTTTTCCTTATTCACAACACTCTCAAATTTTCTTGAATGTGGAAACAATTATTCCTTTATGAAACCCTGGAATATATATGAAAGGAAGATGTGTGGCAAATTTGACCCTTTCTACCTTTTTTGGATTGATAAAAACATCTATAGAAATTTGAAGATTGATAACTTAATTATTAATCAAGTCTTTTACTCTGTAGAGCCAATAAAGAAACTATTTTTTTCAGACAAGCAACTTTCTAAGCATACCTCATTGAAAGCTTTGAAATTATTTATTCAAGATTTTAATCTGACAGGTTGGTCTGACACAGGATTAATAAGAATTAAATATATTTATTATGCTGGTAAAATCTGCAAGTTTTTAGATCTACAAATAAGATCACATATTCATAATAAAGAACTATACACATATAGCAGAATAGAAGATTTCTAACGTAAAGTTTTAATAATAAATGAATCCCCTTTAGATAGAAAGTTATCTTCTAAGATTAGGAAAGCAGTATATTCCCTATATATACAATTGAAAATAAAATCTATTAAAGAATGGGAAAAAGACATGGATAAAACGTTTTCTTTCCAAGCTTGGGGAAATGCTTTCAAAACGATTGGGAGATCTATACATTGTGTGAATATACAGGAGACCTTTTTAAAACTTGTACATAGATTGTATATGGTTCCTATAAACCTATGTAAATTCCAATCAAATACCTCTAATCTATGTTGGAGGTGTAATAGAGATGCTGGCTCACCAAAACATATATATGGTGGAATTGTCTTAAACTAAATCATCTCAACTGGAAAGTTACAAAAAATTTTATAGACTTGTAAATTGATATTACCTTATCTTTAGAGTGATTTCTTTTTCTTCTTGACCTCCCTTGTCCATCTAGACTTCATTTTGTTGGTCATATTTTAACCCCTTAAGGACACAGCTTCAGAAGCTTGTCTTACGCTTTAGGACACAAGCAATTTTTGCATTTTTTTCTGTTTGTGTTCAAACGCAATTTGCATCTCTTTCATTTATGGCACCAACATATATTATATATTGTTTTTGAGGGCAAACAGGGCTTTAATTTGATGTCACATATATATAGATACATTCTCATTAATTATAAAAAAAAATGCAAAAATAAAATAAATAATTTTTTTTCACAGTTTGGCAATAGCGTGTGCATAATATGTCCAGCTTAGAAAAAGTATTTCAAAATAAATTAATTTATGTGTCTTGATTTATAGAGTAAATCATATGTATAGGATTTCAGCTTATTTTGAAAGTTACAGGTCAGAAAATACAAGGACTACAATAAAATTTCAATTTGCAACAATTTTAGAAGTTGGTATGTTTGTCTTATAGGTTTAGCAGCCACCACAGAAAAAAAATTGCCACACAAAAGTATATATTTATATAAAGTAGACATCACAGGCTTTTTACCTAAGGTTGGTTTGACACTTTTTACATAGCCATTTCATCGCCAATCTCTGCTAAATATTGGAGTGAAATTGTGTTTATTTTTTATTTTTGCATATACACATATAACAAGGAGTTTGTAATGTGTATTTCGTAAACTTGGTGTGTGCTATTCCTGCACAGAACCCCATATTGTGTTCAGCTACATCTGCGGAGTATAACGATACCCCCATTGTATGCCTTTGACACTTTTCTGTAAAGCTACAATGCCATATAAGAGACAAGGCTATTTCAGTTTCTATAGTTAGAATTTTCGTAGATGGATTTGACGGGCCCATGTCTCATTTTAGGGTATTATAGCAGTGTGACTGTTCAAATAACCCCACAAAAGGCTTTCATTTGATAAAGCAGACACTCCAGGGTATCTTATATGGTGTATATTGTGCCTTAACTTGTCACCATTTTTTCACAATGTTTGTGGTGAGGGGGGAAAACATTGACATTTCTTACACTTGATATGTACCACTGTCATAACTGAGCATAATTTGGTGATTTTTAATATCTTCTGAGTAAAACAATATGCCCAATCTATGACCTAGACACTATTTTGTGAAGTTACAGTGGTGTAAAAGAGACGTGACAAGTTCAGGTTTTTAAGTGTGAATTTTCATGGAGGGTTTTGATGCGTCAGTGTCTATTACATCTACACTATAAAGGCATTGCATTTCTTAAAGAAGACATCCCAGGGTATTTCAAAAGGCATATTTTGAACCTTAGCATGGGATAATTCTAAGTGTAGTGTAGTGGTAAAAAGCATTTTTCTGCCTTTTTGACACACAAAGTGAGTTTGCACAGTATATTTTGCAAATTGTATGCGTGCTATGACTATAATACTTCATATGTTGCTCAGCTGAGTACAGAAATACCCACGTATGTACCTTTTCCAGATATATGTGGACAATGAAGGGGTACATTTGAGACACAGTCATTCCAGTTTTTTTCAAACTTAGAAGTTTTACGCTGTGTCCATGTTCCATTTTGGAGTAGTTTAGCTGGTTAGTTATTCTAACTTCCCCACAAACACATGCTATTTATTAAAGAATACACCCTGGGGTAATTCAAAAGGCATATTTTGAACCTTAGCGTGGGATCATTTTTTCTCTAGTTTGTTCCAGGTGTAGTGGTAATGAGCATTTTTAAATGTATTTTTTTACTTTTTTAAACTTTTTACTTTTTAAAACTAGTTTTTAAACTTTTTTGCTTATGAATTTGTTAAACTTTCCTAAACTTCCTTAAAACCTTTTTTTTTTTTTTTACAGATTTAACATTTTTATAGAAACATAGAAACATAGAAACATAGAATGTGACGGCAGATAAGAACCATTCGGCCCATCTAGTCTGCCCAGTTTTCTAAAAACTTTCATTAGTCCCTAGCCTTATCTTATAGTTAGGATAGCCTTATGCCTATCCCATGCATGCTTAAACTCCTTTACTGTGTTAACCTCTACCACTTCAGCTGGAAGGCTATTCCATGCATCCACTACCCTCTCAGTAAAGTAATACTTCCTGATATTATTTTTAAACCTTTGTCCCTCTAATTTAAGACTATGTCCTCTTGTTGTGGTAGTTTTTCTTCTTTTAAATATAGTCTCCTCCTTTACTGTGTTGATTCCCTTTATGTATTTAAATGTTTCTATCATATCCCCCCTGTCTCGTCTTTCCTCCAAGCTATACATGTTAAGATCCTTTAACCTTTCCTGGTAAGTTTTATCCCGCAATCCATGAACCAGTTTAGTAGCCCTTCTCTGAACCCTCTCTAAGGTATCAATATCCTTCTGAAGATACGGTCTCCAGTACTGTGTACAATACTCCAAGTGAGGTCTCACCAGTGTTCTGTACAATGGCATGAGCACTTCCCTCTTTCTACTGCTAATACCTCTCCCTATACAACCAAGCATTCTGCTAGCATTTCCTGCTGCTCTATTACATTGTCTGCCTACCTTTAAGTCATCAGAAATAATCACCCCTAAATCCCTTTCCTCATATGTTGAGGTTAGGACTCTATCAAATATTCTGTACTCTGCCCTTGGGTTTTTACGTCCAAGATGCATTATCTTGCACTTATCCACATTAAATGTCAGTTGCCACAATTCTGACCATTTTTCTAGTTTACCTAAATCATTTGTCATTTGGCTTATCCCTCCTGGAACATCAACCCTGTTACATATCTTAGTATCATCAGCAAAAAGACATACCTTACCATCAAGACCTTCTGCAATATCACTAATAAAAATATTAAAGAGAATGGGTCCAAGTACAGATCCCTGAGGAACCCCACTGGTGACAAGTCCAAGCTTTATAAACTTTGTTTTTACAGTTAACCCCTAACTAGCAGTAAGCAGTACTAACCGTAAATTCCCCAATTTCCCATAACTCCCACCCACCTCAGCTAGCAAAATATATCATTTTAAAATATTTAAATTAAATAAATTGAACCCCTGAGGGTTAAAAAAAAAATAAAAGTTAACTCTAAGGGGCTAAAAATAAAATCGGATCACAGTATAGTACTTTGATCTGTATTTTGATCACTGTAGGTAGTGATCAACTAGTAGGGAAGGGGTTAATTTTATTTTTGTAACTTTTTAAAACTTTTCTTTAACGTTAACCCCTAGCTAGCCTAACACGAAATTCCCCAATTCCCCACCCCAGCTAGCTAAATTTTAATATATTTAAATTAATTCATAAAATAAAATCAGGGGTTAAAAAAATAAAATAAATAAATCAGATGACAGCAAAATGTAGTCCCTGCCAATTAATTTTATATTTAAAATGGGTAAAAGGTGGTGGGATTTTACTTTAACTATACTTATTTATTTTTTACAGGGGAAGCAGATCAGCAATGATCCGTCTCCTTGCACTTCACACAGAACGCGGAAGAGCAGGGAGGCGGATCGTGAGTCCCTGCAGCACATGTGCTCGCTCTGACAGCCTGTCAGAGTGATTACCACTGCAGGGACAGCGCGATCGGGTGCTCCCAGTCTGCCTCGAATACAGAGACAGACTGGAGGAGCGTTAACACCACGATCGCGGAGATCTGGGGTTAACTTTAACGCATGACGGACCTAGTCCATCATTCGGCATTAACTGCTTCCCTGCCATGATGGAACAGGTCCGTCATCCGGCGGGAAGGGGTTAATGGCTGCCAAACTATGTATGGCCAGATATTGAAGAAAGGAGGAATCTCCTAGCAATAAGAGCACAGATTAATTAACAAGGAGTAATGGAAAAAGCAGTATATTATAATGATGGTAATATAACAAAACATAATAAGATTTGGGAGGTATGGTTTACATATTTTAAAGAATGAAATTTGCTCCTACTTCATATATTTCCTGACATTGATACACAATATGATCCCCTATGAATATTTGTAGTTTGAGATAGCTTTTATTATAAAATTATAAAACATGCCCAAAAAGGGAGCGTGTCTGCACAAAGAATTAGATGGTCAGCCTGGTGTGAATGCACGTCAGGCTGCCTGTCAGTCATGCAGGATGACCAAGCAAGGGCATATTGTGCAGACGGCACCCTGAGCTTGGCATAAATTTAAAATGAAAAAAAGCAGAAGGCTTTATAATACAAAGACTTGTGAATCACATTTCCTTTGTGATTATATAAGTGTGTACTAAATGAATACGATAATAATGAATTTGTATAATAACATATAAATATGAAGCATGTAAGTAATGCTACTATGCCTACACTTTAAACACATAATTGTAAATGAATCAGATGAAAACCATTCTACACATCACCCAGGGAGGATGAAACATTTTAAGCATATAAACATGGGCGAAGCCAACAAGCAAGTGTGTTTCCTACCTTAACACAGGATGATTACAGCTATAATAATGCTTGTATTTTTATCTTGTCAAGAAAGAGATATTTAGAATTATGTAATAAGAACACCTAAACATAGGAGGTACCTGTTATGCTTGTTGTGTAAATGATATCCACTGAACAAATATCCACAATAATTAGTTATTATTAAGAATTATATAGTGCATATAATTCATGTAGCTAATGCATCAACTGCTGCAAGTCTTTATATCCTCCAGAGTCCTCTCTACTGGACATTTCGTTCACATGCATCTCCTTTCATTCTTTTGAGCTACTCTATCAATCCCTGTAAAGAGAACATCCTGTGTTTTCCATGTGCTAGGCTAGGATGCTGGAAACTTGTTCTTCCTTTTCATCAAAAATGGACGGAAGCACATTTTACCTCGGTTCCTAGTAGGATATATTTTTGTTTATTAGAATGCAGAAATTTATGGTATATTACCCAGCTGTTGCAGAACTATAACTCTTTGAAGCTTTGGAAACTGAAAAGTTGGAAAATGAAAAGTTGGAAAAGCATCACTGGAGTTGTAGGTCTACAGTAGATGGGGAGCTCCTTTTTTGCAACTCCTGTTGGAATAACAGCACAAAAGAGGTTATGTCTTGTGAAAGTTAAGTGGTGAAATTTATTTTTTCCATTTGACAATTTTTATTGATTTCCAAGTTTTTTGGGGTACAGAAATGAAAAGGGGACTCGTTAATGTGGAACACGTGTTACAATCGTCAAGTACAACCCACATGTTACTTCTCGACACATGGGGTTTTTAATTATACATCATACCATAAATTATGTCATTACTCGACTGTCCCTTCCCTGTCTCCTAGTCTACGCATCTAGCCTGGCCTTGCCTTTGTACGGTACAACCTTGTCTATCTGGAGCCCTCTGCAGTAGTGGGAGCTAGCAGCTACCCCATCATGTCTCCCCTCCCCGAAGTTGCTGTGTATCTGTTCATCTGTATGCTTGTACTGTGAGCCTAGTAGCTAGGATCAGGGTAGTAATGTGGTCGTCATGCTTCAGCCATCACTGCTGTCCACCTGATGTATGCATGTGTGTGTGCTACGGAGCTGACTTCTCAGGAGCAACATCTTTTGTTGGTTTTTGTGCTAGAGCATGCCTCAGGTGAGTGGTCCGCTGTGGCTTAGGTCCGGTCCCCTTGTACACAGAGCCCCCTGTGTCCCTATCGACTCTGGTTTGGTACTAAGATGTCATAGTTAAAGAACCCATAGAGAGAGTAGTAAGGAACAAGAAAAATAGGGGATAATAGAACAAGGGGAAAATAAAGCAAAGGTAAAGCCAGGTACGTGTGCGACTTGCCTACAACCCAGGCGTGTGTAGGTGGGGTATGTACCCCCATGCCTACTTGTCTGTAAGATTATATATATGTTGCATCAGCGCTGATAGATATGTGGTAGAGATGCATGTGAGTCCGGATTTCTAGATAGTCTGGATGTGGGTAGGGTATTCAATATATGGGGCGGTAAGAGTGCAGGTTTTCGTTGACACTGTAGTTAAGTGGCAGTTGTGTTACAACGTTGTATCTTTCCCTTGCCTGGGATCTGGGGGCCCTCGATGCTCCACAGTCCTCAGGGAGGACTATCAATTCCCGGGTTTCCACAGCTCCCCTGCCAGTCTTGTGGCCACGTCCGACCTAATTTGTGCTTTTATAATACAAATACTGAGTTACAGCGAGTGATTCCGATAAAAACCAAATACTAACAACACCAATGTGGTAACCCCTCAAGCCACATGAAAGTCAAAGCACATACATACATACAGGTTAGGTGGAGTATCTTGGTATATGGTGAAATGGCATATAATGCACAATAAAAGCTGTAAAAACAAAGAGAACGAAATCTAGTGCAATATTGTAGAACACAAAAGTGACTTGGAGTATAATTTGTAGTTGGTACTCACAAACCAAGAGCCAAAGGGAACTGGCTCAATTCAGACGCCTGTGGGATAGTTGTAAGGGTTCCCACTCCCTTTCTGTATAGTAGCTGTTTCTATATTTCTTGTTGCAGCTGGGAAGAAGGGACCATATTCATTCAGGTAGAGAAAAACTCTTCTTTAATAAAAATGCATAAAAATACAACTGTACTTAGATAAAAAACAAATAGAAATTAAAAAATATGGATAAAAGAGACACAAAGTCTTTATATAAAATAGTCCAAAAAACTCCACTCTGTGAGATCAAGCAAGACGCGTTTCGCCCAAAAATTGTGCTTCCTCAGTTGCTCCTAGGGGTGTCCAAATGCCACACATTGTTTTATACCTTCTTATGATGGGGGAATACCTAACATCTGTTCCGTCCTTCGTTTCTTCCGGGTTCCGTCGTCATTTCCGGTTGACGGATATCCGGTTTCCATTGCATTCGGAGTACCAGCATATTTCAGGTTCCTTCGAGAATGGAACGCATATGCATTCCACCTAACATGAAAACATAAAACGAACAGTATTTGACATGTTACGTGGAACGCATATGCGTTCCATTCTCGAAGGAACCGGAAATATGCTGGTACTCCGAATGCAATGGAAACCGGATATCCGTCAATCGGAAATGACGACGGAACCCGGAAGAAACGAAGGACGGAACAGATGTTCGGTATTCCCCCATCATAAGAAGGTATAAAACAATGTGTGGCATTTGGACACCCCTAGGAGCAACTGAGGAAGCCCAATTTTTGGGCGAAATGCGTCTTGCTTGATCTCCCAGAGTGGAGTTTTTTGGACTATTTTATATAAAGACTTTGTGTCTCTTTTATCCATATTTTTAAATTTCTATTTGTTTTTTTTATCTAAGTACAGTTGTATTTTTATGCATTTATATTAAAGAAGAGTTTTTCTCTACCTGAAGGAATATGGTCCCTTCTTCCCAGCTGCAACAAGAAATATAGAAACAGCTACTATACAGAAAGGGAGTGGGAACCCTTACAACTATCCCACAGGCGTCTGAATTGAGCCAGTTCCCTTTGGCTCTTGGTTTGTGAGTACCAACTACAAATTATACTCCAAGTCACTTTTGTGTTCTACAATATTGCACTAGATTTCGTTCTCTTTGTTTTTACAGCTTTTATAGTGCATTATATGCCATTTCACCATATACCAAGATACTCCACCTAACCTGTATGTAATTTGTGCTTTTGCCATGGCCTCATATGCCCAATTCAGGGTTATTTGATTAGTTCCTCTCTCGTGGGTGCATTTTTCATTTTCCACTGCCTAGCAATCAATGTGTTAGCTGCTATCAGGATGTGGAACATTATTTTCCGCTCCACCTTCGGTAGGGCTTTCTGTCCTATGAAAAGTAAACATTGCTCTTGGGTAAGTTTTGTGTATGGTCTCTGTTGCTAGTTTGTCAACCACGTCCCAGTATTTTCTTATAATGAGACATGTCCACCAAATATGGTACATTGTGCTAATCTCACCTCCGCATCTCCAGCAGGTGTCGGAGGTGCCAGGGTAGATGTGTGCTAGTTTGGCTGGGACAAGGTACCAGCAGTACTGCAGTTTCCGGATAAGTTTGAAGTGCGATACACATGCAGAGGTTCCCTTATGGGCCAGGAAGGCTTCCCTCCATTGCTCTTCAGTGAAAGTGGTGTTTAGGTCTTTGTGCCAAGATTGCACAAAACTGGCATCGCTAGCTTTCCCGTGGGGCAGTAGCTCTTTGTAAATAGTCGATAGAGCCTTTTTTTGTTGGAGCTGTTAAGGCACATTTCTTCGAATGTGGTTAGTGTGGGGGTTGAGAGTGTGTGTGTGTGGTCCCTTGGAGGTAAGACTTAAGCTGGAGGTATGAAAAAAATAGCTGACTGTGGCAATCCAGAACAGGAAACGCACGCGCTGCTTGCAAGACCAATGATTTTCTATTTCCACCCATTGAAGCGTAACTACCATTATGTGAGCCGTGAGCATACAAGAGAGCAGGGCCACTTTATAATACAAATTTGTGTTCGGGAAGTTTAGGTCCCCAGGGGGAACCAGGTTTTGCAATATCCCTGCAGCTACCCTGGCTTTTTTCCCATCCCAGATGAACATCACCACCAATTTTAGAATATTTCATAAGTAGAGCTTAGTGAGGGGGATCTGTAGTGTGCGAAGAAAATAGTGATATTTGGGTAGGAGGGTCATATTGAAGGCAGCCGGTCTACCGGTCCAGGATAACGAGCTGCCCTACCATTTCTGGAAAGTGGTTGTAAATTTGGTCAGTAACTTGTCGTAGTACTGTTGGGAAAGGCATTGCAGATTTTTAGTAAGTCGGATTCCCCGAAAGTTGACAATCACATCTCCAGTCAAAAGAAAAGGTCGATTTCAGGGCTTCGACAGGAGTGTTGTCTACGCCTACGCTTAGTGCTTGTGTCTTTGATACATTAAATTTGTAGTAGGAGTACCTTCCTACCTACCTTACTTTGTTGTATTAGGTTAGGGAGAGAGACGTATGGTTGGGTTAGTGTGAGTAAAACGTCAAACAGGTTTGCTTTGTATGCTAACCTATATCCACTTCGTGTATTGAGGGATCTGCTCGGATCCTTGCCGCTAGGGGTTCTAATGCTAGCACATATAGGAGTGGGGATAATGGACAGCCCCGTTTGTAATGCAAAACTGGTCTGAAAGGAATCCTGCATTAAGTACCTGCGCCACAGGTTTCATGTATAATACCCCGACCGCAGAGAGGAAGGCCCCCGGTGCCCCAATTTTCCTCAGTACTGCCTCGAGGAACTTCCAACTCAGACAGGCAAATGCTTTCTCCGCATCAAGTGAGAATAGTAAACCTTTGCAGTTGGTGGCATGAAGATCATGCAGGATGTTGAGCACTTTGCGTGTATTGTCCGATCCTTGTCTCCCCTTTATGAATCCTACTTGGTCGTTGTGTATAACAACAGGCGCTATAGGTCCCAGTCTAGCTGCAAAGAGTTTTGCAAATATTTTGGTGTCTGAATTTAAGAGGGAAATTGGCCCAAAGTTTTGGGAGCAGGCTGGTGGCTTTCCTGGTTTCGACAACGTGACTATGTGCGCCAGCAATATTTCAGGTGGGAGTGAGTGGGAAGCCATAGCGTCATAAAAAAAGCTTAGTTAATTGCAGGGCCAGTACGTCTTGGAATGTTTTGTAGTAAGAATTAGCAAAACCATCAGGGCTGGGTGATTTCCCCGCCGGCAACGATTTAATGGTTAGTTTAACTTCCCTCTCTGTTATCACGGCCCCTAAATCTGATTGTTGTATTTGGGTCAATTGCGGTAATTTTATGTCGTTTGAATATCGTGTCACTTCCTCCTGTGTGGGTTGGTGGGTGTTCGGGTCCTGGTTCAAGTTATATAGGTCGGAGTAGTACATGCAGAACTCATTACTAATGTCTTTTGGGGACATGAGTTTGTGACCCGCCCGTGATGTTAAGTACGTGATCACTTGTTTTTATTTGAGTCTATTTGCCAGTAGTTTCCTGGCTCTATTCCCCTGTATTGTGTAGCTTTCATCTTTCTTAAGTAAAATCCCACTTTATGTAGAGCTTGGTGATGGATATCCTGTATGATTTGGGATATTAAGTCTGGTGATGGATCAACTTGGTGTCGTGTCACTAGCTTGTGTAACTGTTTTGCCATTGTAATAGCTGGGCTTTAGATCTTTTGTGTAGGTATGACGCTCATTTAATGAGTGTCCCTCGAATTACTGCCTTGTGGGCTAGCCAGATAGTGTGGTTTGGAAGGTCCAGGGTGGTGCGGTCTGTGAAATATGTTTGAATATCTGTTGCTAGAGTCTTAGCGAAGTCGTGGTCAGTGAGGAGGGACTCACTGACTCTCCCTGGGGCTCGGTTCTTGTAGTAGTACCTGTCCTTCAGTATCACAGTGACTGGTGCGTGGTTGGACCACACTAATTGTCCTGTCGAGCAGTCTACTACCTGGCTTAAGTCTGACCCTTTCATTAGGTCTCTGTCAATTCTTGAGTATGTGTTATGAACAGAGGAGAAGTAGGTATATTCTCTGTCGTCAGTGTGTGTGTGTGTGGCTCGCCATATGTCGTACAAGTGGTGTGTCAACAATAGCTTGGCCAAAGCATTACATTGCCTTTTTAATGTGCGATGACTGGGACTTTGTGAGTGTCTAGGCTGGGGTCTAGCATATGGTTGAAATCCCCACAGATTATCCCAATATCTTGTTGGATGGAAGTGAGTCTGTGGAGGATTTTGTGTAGAATGTTGCGCTGCTCCAAGTTGGGAGCATAAATGTTCGCTATGGTGTAGAGAATATTATTAAGTTTGCCAATGATTATAGCCAATCTCCCTTCTTTGTCTAGCTATTGCGACACCAATTCAAACGCAATTTGGTTGCTAATCAGTATCGACACCCCTTTGGACTTGGCGGGGAAGGTGGAGTGAAACTGGTGTGCATAAGTATTACATTTTTTTTGGATGAGCCTAAGCTTTGGATGATGGATTTTTGGATGAGCCTAAGAAGTGGGTTTCTTGTAAGTAGACCACATCTGCACTTTGTGTTTTTAGTCTCTTCCTAGAAGTCACTGCACTGGGATGTTAGGCCCTCTTACGTTATGGCTGTATATTTTCATGGGGGTTTAACCCCTTGAGGACCAAACTTCTGGAATAAAAGGGAATCATGACATGTCACACATGTCATGTGTCCTTAAGGGGTTAATTAAAGGGTATCATTCTAAGAAACATTAACCAGTACATTAAGTCAATAAGGGTATTGCCTTTCCCAGCGGGTTTGAGCTGAGCAACCTCTCCTCCCTTGTCCTGTCCCACATCCCCTCTAGAGCACAAGCAGCATTAGGGTCTATGATGTACTCACGCCGTGTCCCTTCCGGAAGTGTGGACCAGGCCAGAGTGGTTCTGGCAATTATATGTTTGCCCACCTGGCAGGTGCCCAGTTGCATCAATAGTGCATAAACTGGAACACACGCACAATAGAAAAGGGTAGAGAGAAAATAACATAACCAAAACAGTGTAACTGGTTGCACCGTCTTATCGGCAAGGTACCTGGTCAGACACCACAGGGGTGGAAGCATAGAGCTTCTGTCCTGTGTAAGCTACCGGTGCATCGGCCCTCCGGTTTGTTAAGTACAAGTATTGGAGCCCTATATTATGCTCTAAGGGAGTAGGTATACTTGCAAGTAACCATATTTTTAAATTTTATTTTATTTAATTAAATTTTTTAGTTTTTTGAGTCTTAAATAACTTGTCTAACTTCCTCTGGTGAGCTAGATCTTTGTGCTTGACGTATTTAGTGGTTTCCCATCTCTATGGTTGTATGGCTAGTCCAGCCATCTAATGTGTCTACTAATCAAGTGTGATAGTGTCCATAAGGAGAGTTAAGTGCTGTAGGCTAAAACATCTAAACAGGTAATGTAGTGCATATATGTGTAGGTGATACTTGCGTCAATGAGGAGCACAAAGTCCTTAATCATTGGCCATCTGGAGGTCTGTTTTCTTGTTTTCTTCCAGTCCTGTTAAAGTCGTGGAGATCGATGCCTCGCTTCCATGGGTTCAGGAATCTGTAGGTCCCAGCTGCAGAGCGTGCATAGGCCGTTTTCTAGACTGTTGATTGTAGTGATTTTGCCGTTGCATTGAATTATTAGTTTTGTAGGATAGCCCCATCTGTACATAATGCGCTGGCTACATAGCATGCTTGTGATGGGTAAAGATGTCTTTCTCTTAGTGGGTGCCGAGATGTTAGCAAAGATTTTTACATTTCAGAAATTGATGGGTAAGTCCGTCATTGTTCTGCTGGATTTTAGGACCATCCGGTCCATAAGCAGCATGTCCTGGGGCATGTCAGGAGCCAGTATGCGAAACAGCTCAGTAACATGAGTCTGGATGTCTTGCATGCCTATCTCCTCCGATACCCCCCTGACACAGAGGTTACTTTGTCTGGACCTGTCTTCCAGGTCAGCTAGGTTTGATTCATAGCTCTTCACTGCAGTGGTCAGCTCATTGTGAGCTTATGCGAGGTCTGCCATTTTCTTTACTAGGGTGGTGGTACGGGTGCCCAATTCTTGGCTATCATTGCGGAGGTCACTAAACCATTGTTGGAGGTTACCTTGCAGCTTGGATGCCATTGCGTCCAGCATAATTTGCATCAACTCCTTGGTGAGTAGCAGAACATGCAACTTGTTTCAGTCCCGTCCAGAAAACGCCACCCGGTAAGTGGTGACTTTTAATATTAACAAGTGGAAATTAAACCATTCGTATAATAAAGAAATAGCTCTGCACTCCAACTCCATTCAATACTAAGTGGCTGCATAGAGTGTAGTGTTCACACCCCCCTTTATAACATTTTTAGAGACAATAGGTGGATGATATACTCCATGCAGCTACCTATGAATGATGGAGGCTTGAAGCAAAGGTTAACTGAAATTGAAAAAGCCAAAATACATACCTGTAATTGAGTACCTGGACAGACTCCTTGTTGCAGTCAGGTTCTTCCAGCAGGAAGTCATCAATCATGATGGCTTTTATCCAATCAGATGCTTCTCACAGAGAAGCACTGTAGACATGGCACATGTGCAGCAATTACATAAATCTGCAAATCCAATGCATTGATGCACACAGCAATTGGAATCAGAGGGAGGGGACGAGGATGAGAACTTGGAGATTCTCTTAAAAATTTGAGCGAATGCAAAGATATCATAATGAGACAGGTCCAACAGTAGGAGAGCTATGGTATTTAACACAACTGATGATATCCACTGAAGTAGAAGACATTTGCAATGCACATGAGAGTCCACATGTAAATCCTAGATGGATCCATTCATTTGGGCACATATTAAAAGGAGTCATTCTCAGAAGCTGCAACTCATTTGTGCACAAGTTTAGTTGGCAATGCTTTCTATTCTATCACAAATCCCCCCATCCCAAGAAAAAAAGAAACAGCAAAAAAACATTTGTCCTCATAAACATTTGTTGCTTGGATTAATTAAATATTAAGCCATGTGTCTATATTTATTAATTACATTCTACATCGGGCTCTGACACAGATGAAGTTGTTCCTGAAAATCACGTTTACTTATCCAACGTGAAGGAGTGAAGTAACAATTATCAGGAACAATTATCAGTGGTTGCCTAAGCCGTAGATAACTTCAAATTTAGAGGAGGAAAATGTGAAGACAACTGAGCAGGTACTTACTGATTTTAATTTGCAAGTGACACTTTTTTTAAAATATATAACACTTCTGAATTTCAGCTTAATTAATATTTCCTCTTTTCTTCATTCAATACCAACAATGGGCCAGGTAGGCTAAACTCACCCTTTTATCCTTCTAATTTTCATTAAATAGGTACTATTGTTTTAGCTTAATAAAGCAGTTTTGGTGCATAGATAGAACATGTTTCTAAAGTTTCACTGCCATTTGAGAGTTATATCACTTTTGTTTCTGTTGATGCAGTCATAGCCACACCTCCCCTGGCTGTGACTAACACAGCCTGCAAGAAAACAAAATGCTTTCATTTTCAATCAGACGTTATTTACGATAAACGTTTTTTCTCCTGCTCTGTAAATTGATTTTAATTACATAGAGGATGCTCCTGCAGACTTTGGCAAGCTATTAACTGAGCAGGAGATAAGGAAGTGTAAACATTAGATGACTCTTTACAGAAAGTGTTTTGGAAGGCTGTGTAAGTCACATGTACGGAGGTGTAACTAGGACTGCATAAACAAAGTGATTTAACTCCTAAATTGCAAAGCAATGTGCAGTGAAGCTGCAGGCATGATCTATACACCAAAAACTACTTTGTTAAGCTAAAGCTGTTTTGGTGACTATATTGTACATTTAAAGAAGTTTTTGTATTAGATTACTATACCTGAAATTGCAGTAAATGCATGCAGTAGCCCCTTGAAAACTTTATGTTGATGGTGCTGTATAATTAATAAACATATAGCACTACTGTTAAGCTGTGGTAGGTGATTAATGAGACATGTCGCAGCATAATCATTTTAGTAATGGAAGACCAGGTATACACACACAGGAAATTATGTACCAGACAGAGAAACAGGTGTTTCGGTACTAATCTGTTATTTGGCTTGTAAAATAAACAGAATAAAAAAAACACAATAAAAATATGCCACCAACAGCAATTCTGTTTTACAATTGGTTACTTTTTTTTTTTGCATACATTTATTACCGGACGCTAAGTGAATATAAAAAGTATCAAAGTCTTCACTCTTATATTTAAACTTTTTTTTTTTTTTTTTAAATAGATTTAATTGTCCATTCACCAAATGTAAATTTGTTACTGGATAGTGGGTTTAGCATTGGCATTTGAGGACCAGTTACAATATTGCTTGTGCCTTTCTGTTAAAAACAAATACATCTTTTAAATACAATAACTTTACATAAAAACAAAAGATTTACGCAAAATAATGTGCTTTGCTCTATTTCTGTATATGAAGAATAACAAGGCATAGTATTGATACCAGTCCTAGAGCTTGCAAACCGAGGAACCACAGCATGACCGCAAAAAACAACACAAGCACCGGTTCAACAGTCCTTTCACCAAAGTACATCCGAGAAAAACCTGCTCCAACCAGAATCTTATTGAGTTCTCCAAACAGTGTTCCCATTTTTTTGTAGTCGTCTATTAAGAGTTCTGCTGTTGTATCATTTTGATCTGTCGGGACCTGCAAAAGAGGAGGAGTGAAAAAAAAACTACTATTAAGTAAGGTGGTAACATTCACATAGTAACAAAGTATACTGGAATGATCACCAGTATATGATATATATATATATATATATATATATATAAATATACACACACACACGCGCGCGCACAATATGTGTGATCATTAAACTTTTACTCTGGTTACATAATTACATTGCTCCTATAAAAAAAAAAGTAAAAAAAATGTCCTTCTTGCAGCTACGCACAATACATTTTTACAAATATCATATAGCAACAAGACCAAAGCCTGAGTTAAAGCAATATAAAATTATCAAAGAAGCTGTGTGCTGCACAGGTGATACAATTAGTATGATTCTAAGAAGCTGATACAACAAGGTAGCACGTTTGTGATGTTTCACTAAAAACATGCAGAGACCACTTCCTGAAGCCAACATTAGATTGGCAGGCAACAACGTCCCCACCTTAGAGTATGTGGTTTCCCACATAGGAGTAAAAACAGTTCAACTGAAGCCACAGCTTTTTCTACAATCATACATACACAAGGAATGTTTATGAGAGATAGAGAATTCAAGCCACATATTTCAACTGAATCGCAACAGTACTCCTCCCACCCACAAACAGCCTAATGTTTATATTGGCAATCTCTATGAATATGTCACTTATATAGACACTGACACCCAGATCACTATATTTCAATGAAGTGGTCTGGGCGCAGTTCTCTTTACTGTTCAAGCATGCAATAGCATCCCATTGCTTATCTATGACAAAGCATTTGATTAGCTGAGATCATCAACACTGACGCGAAGCTGACATTGAGAATAGCAATATGGCACAACAGGGATTCAGGGAAAAACCTGGGAGGTTAATAATGTAACTAGTTATGGTGAATGAACAATTAAGTGGGAAAATGGTGATCATTATCAAAGAGACGTCAAGTACTCTACAATATTTACAGATGTAGAGAATATATTATAAAGAGAAGAAATTTCCATGAACATTTAGTTTCTAACAAAGGCAAGGCAAAAGGCACAACCATGTCTGCTTGTTGTTGGTCAGCCTCCTTGCAGTAGCTCACCCTAATATCAGCACACAACAATCACCTACAGGTTGGAGATCATCTATCTTTATCCTGACACATTTACAATATCTTCTGGAAATAAAGTAGGGAAGAAAATACAAATAGAGCTTGATAGAAAGGGTGAGTTGTTGCTTTAAAGCAATTTCTCTGAATCCCATATGCTGAAAAGATATTCAAGCTATTTTGATGGGCAGCTTATAGCTTGATGTACACGTGTGCTTATGAATTTTAAGAATTACATCAATAACTGGTTTTGGGATGTGATGCCACCATTGTCATGCCACAGTTCAGAGAAGTAACAGATGCAAGAAGAGGAAGCACTCAGTTTGTTTCAGACAAGATTCAGTGAACAGTATTCAACTGCATGAATATTTTTGTGTGTGTAGGTTGCACTGTTTACTTAAAGGGACACTACAGGTTGGAGTCCTACTCCTTTTTCATGCATTATTTAGTTTATAACAAAGCAACAAAAACAAACAAACAAAGTAAGGATTCACAGAGATACAAACACTCATCAAGTAGATATGAGATAAAAAGAGGACACTAATATGCATGTTAGACTTACAGTATGTCCTTCCCCATAGTCATAACAGGCTACAGACAAGGGGACTATTGATGGCTAATAACTGCTAGATGTGAAGTTATACTACTGGCAATAGGGCTTTAGCTCTGTGGGAATCCAAAGTGAATTTCAATTTAAGACAAAAATAGCCAAATTTGACAAATTCTCTAAGTCAGTTATGCATGACCTTTAGCCTAAAATTTTGAATTCTCACTTTAGTAAACAATCCTGTCAGTGAAAGACTGCACATACATCATAGGCGTGCGCAGCCTATTGCATTAGGGTGTGCACCCTAAAGCACAAGCACACGCCGCATATATATATGTATGTATGTATATACATACACATATATACACACATACACACACTGCTATGTGTGTGTGTGTGTGCTGTGTGAGGGTGCTGTTAGTGTGATGTGTGTGTGACGATGCTGGTAGTGTGCTATGTGGGTGAGGGTGTTTGTGTGTGCGTGCTTGTGAGGATGCTGTTAATGTACTGTGTGTGAGGGTGCTGTTTGTGTGTGTGTGTGCGCTTGTGAGGGTGCTGTTAATGTACTGTGTGTGAGGGTGCTGTTTGTGTGTGAGGGTACTGGTAGTGTGCTGTGTGTGTGTTTGTTAGGGTCCTGTTTGTGTTTGTGAGGGTACTGTTAGTGTGCTGTGAGGGTGCTGTGTGTGTTTGTGAGGGTGCTGTATGTGTGTGCTGTGTATGTCTGTGGGTGCTGTATGTGTGTGGGTGATGTGTGTGTCTGTGGGTGCTGTGTATGTCTGTGGGTGCTGTATATGTCTGTGGGGGGTGCTGTATGTCTGTGGGGGGTGCTGTGTATGTCTGTGGGTGCTGTGTATGTCTGTGGGTGCTGTGTATGTCTGTGGGTGCTGTGTATGTCTGTGGGTGCTGTGTATGTCTGTGGGTGCTGTATGTGTGTGGGTGCTGTGTGGGTGCTGAATGTGTGTGGGTGCTGAATGTGTGTGGGTGCTGTATGTCTGTGTGTGCTGAATGTGTGTGGGTGCTGTGTATGTGTGGGTGCTGTGTGTGTGGGTGCTGAATGTGTGTGGGTGCTGTATGTCTGTGGGTGCTGAATGTGTGGTGCTGTGTGTTGTATGTGTGTGGGTGGGTGATTGTGGGGGTGGAGGTGGGGGTACATTATTTGCTATCCCCCCTCCCTTCTTACCTTTTGTAGGGAGGGGGGATCGTGCTGCTGCTTCCTTCCCTGGTGGTCCAGTGGAGGAGGGGATCCTTGCTGCTGTGATCCCTGGCGGTCCAGTGGAGAGTGAACTCTAGCCCCCTGTGGGGCTAGAGTTCACTCTCGCGAGATTTGAGCGTTGCCGCGGCAACGCTCATATCTCGCGAGAGGAACCCGGCGGAGCTGCCGGCAATAGCTCCGCCTGGTCCTCTCCTGCCTCCCTCCCTGCATGTGGGTCAGTGGGGAGGGAGGCTGAGAGCAGAGCCGGCGCTCGGATAGCGCCGGCTCTGCATGAGCCGACAGGGGAGATCCTGAGATCTCCCCTGCCGGTCTCAATATGCATAGGCGTGCCGCGGGATTAGGGTGTGCCCAGGCACACCCGGCACACCCCGTGCGCACGCCTATGACATACATACTCAAGGCAACATGACATGGTTCTTGGAGTAAATATTTAACCCTCTTTTCCAAAGGGAAAGCGGAAACATCCATTAAGTACTATTAAAAAGTTAATCCAAGCAACATGACTACTTCAATGACCCTGTACTGTGATAGCCAACGTTGCTGCTGGAGGTGTAAATTCATCTTCGCCAGCGTCATTAGCAAGCCCGGAATGAGGGTTCTGGACTGGTTAATGTCAATTCCGTGCATATTCTTTACACAGACAGTCATTCATTGTCTGAGAGAGCACAGTGAATGAGTGTCTAGGCTAGGGAATTGTAGGAGGTTAGTCCTCGCACCTTCAAAGGACTGTAATGGTAATGATGCTTGATGCTTGACTCTAGGAGCCAGGATATAGAGCACCATCGTGACACACAGCACAGGATCTCACTCGCCGGCCTGGAACCATTCTGCGGCAGGTCTGCAGGTTCTCCCGTTGTGGGTGGCAGGTTGCAAGGTGCCTGGAGCCCCAGAGCACCCAGACAACCGCATCCCCTCTTGGCTGCAGTACGAGCGGGCAGCCATCTTTGAAAACGAGGAGGGTAAAAAGATGCGTACCGGACATTAGCCAACCGAAGGACCTCCGTGATTGGCCTCCACTCCCGTCTCTTCTGCAGGGTTAGTGGAGACCGGTAGTACAGCGAGAAGGAGTCGCCTTGGTACGTAATAGGGCGCTCTGTGAAAGCGTATGAACGTATGAACTTGGGACATTCTGATCCAGCCTCCTGGCCAGCAGTGCTCTGTGCGCCTGCTCCACATGCCACAAGTGGTCCGGAATCTCAGGGAGCAGTGGTTTGAAGGTGCTCACCACTAGTTCCGCTAGAGGATCCTCACCGGCGCGTTCAGGGAGTAACCTGAGATGCACATTGTTGCGTCGTGAGTGATTGCCCATATCCTCAATTGCCAGTTTTTTTTGCCAGGACCCGGGCCGTGAGGGAGTTAATCCGGGCAGCCGCCTTATTATGTGCCTCCATCGTGGACTCCAATCGCCGTTCCAATCTGGCCGCCCGTATGCCCAGCGCTTGGATCTTGCCTTGAAACACACTGGTGGACCTGGTGATCTCGCTAGCAAGGTACGTTTTCACCTCAGCTAGGGTGGACAGAATCCGAGCCGCATCAGGCTCCGGCAGAGCACCCGGCACCCTTGCGGCGGTGCAGACTTTGTAGGCGATTCCGAGTGGCCCCAATCTTGCAGAGCGGGTGGTAAGGCCTGAGAGGCCGCGAACAGGACGGCAACTGTTGACCACGGGTCCAGGCCATTCTTGGAGGATATTTTTGGTGCTTTTTTTATCCATGTAGGCAAGTTACGCTTGTTTTTGGCTAGTTTTATAGCTTTTTCTAGCTTATGGTGGCGGTTACAGAGCGGAGCTTCACTCGAGCACATCTCCGCTTTTGGATCAACAGCAAAAAACAAATGTGAGGAAGACTGAACTTGAAGGACGCAAGTCTCTTTTCAGCTATGTAACTATGTAACTATCTATGCTCGCTCCTTGGTCAGACCACGCCCCCCGTCAGTGTGCATTTAACAGAGGATAACATTGAAATAGAGAAACATAAAACATAATATATATTATATATAAATGGAAAGAATTTAAAACACACTGCTAAAATAAAACCTTAAATTGCCACTATATTACACTTCTATATAAAACAATATTTGCTGCTATATAAGTAGTATCAGTTAACAATACTTTAACCTAACATATTACATTACAAGATGATCTTTACATATCTACTACACTCGGCAGACTATGAAAGTGAGCTGGAATTATTAAGCGAACACCATAGGGTCATGAACACAAACATATTCTGGACCCTATAGTATTAAAACCACCATCGAGCCCCCCTGGCCCCTCTAAATTTGGCAAATTCTTACCTTTACTCCAGTCTGCTGCTGCTGGCTCTGCCCCTGATCTGTCTCCTTGGCTGACAAAAGTGGTGTTCTGAGCCAATCACAATACTTTCCCATAGGCAAGCATTAGATTGTCAAGGAAGCAGATCAGGGACAGAGCCAGCACAAGCCAAACACAGCTCTCTCCAATCAGCATCTCCTCATAGAGATTAAGTGAATCAAAGAATGTCTAGGAGGAAAGTTCAGTGTCAGCACGCAGAAGGTGGAGACATTGAATGGCAGTGCTGCACACTAGGCAGCACTGCCCCAGGAAGCACCTCTAGTAGCCATCTGAGGAGTGACGAGTGGAGGCATCCTTAGGCTGTAATGAAAACACTGCATTTTCTCTGAAAATACAGTGTTATACTTCAAAAAGCCTGAAGTGAATGATTCTACTCACCAGAAAAAAATACAATATGCTGTAGTTGTTCTGGTGAGTATAGTGTCCCTTTAAGTGTTTTTGCTGACAAAGGTAGAGTTCTGTAAAAAGCGGAGTATGGTATGCTCTAAACATAAGTAATCTATCAACTCTTAACATCAACTGAATGACTGTTTATGCTGTATACACATTATTTAAAAAAGAAAACAAAAATGTGTTATTAGGCAGGTGTAGAAACTCAAAATGAAAATGTCTTCCTTTGAATGCAAATCATATTTGTGTCTAAAACAACATTTGCTCTGTAAATTTTACCTTTGCATAATCACAGCTATATGTAGTGTTATCCATGTGCATTTCTTGTAAATACCACTGGGAGCTCACACAAAACTAAAGTAAGAACTAAATTAAGAATTGTTAAATGTAAATACATACAATATCTAATAAAATAAATTGGTTATCCAAGTAAAGCTATTTATAGTGTGCAAAATCACAGTAGATTCTTGAGGACACAAACCAAGGCCAATACACAACCTTGCCATTTGCTTCCTATGTAGAGTGGCTTCTGTAGCTTAATATTACTTCACAGTTGCAGTTATTGCCAACGATACTACTGTTTTTTTTTTTTTTTAAGTTTTGGAAAATAATTGTTTATCCTAATCTAATGGCACACAAGACGGACACATGAGAAAAACAAAACAACACGTATTCTTCCCTCTCTGTGAACCAATAGCAGAGTAATATATATACCTGTTTGTAATGCATACTCCCTTGTGCATGACCTGTACAAGCAATGTGTGCAGTTGCACTAAAGAAGTAACATGTTATTCAAAATTACATGTTAAACTTGTACTGGCAACCCAGAGTAAATAAATCTGTGAGCGAGAAGACAAGTTTTAAAATAGAGCTTAATTCTGTTAACCCCATAAGACCGCAGCCAAATGTACAAGTTGTGATCAAAACAAAACGTAAACAAAACCTGGCATTTGCGCTATATGTCTGTTCAACCGTAATTCACCTCTTTCAAATTAAATGCATCCACACTTATTATATTTCATTTTATTCAGGGGAAACAGGGCTTTTATTTAACATCAAATATTTAGGTATGGAACATAATTTAATATGAATAAAATATAAAAAACAAATGGGAGAAAATAAGATTTTTTAAAATTTTCTTAGTTATATGTGACATTTTAACTGTGAATGTCAAAATACTCTCTTTTTTAGTAGCCACTTGGTCACAAACACTGGCCAAAGTTAGTGTTAATATTTTAAAATGCAAAAAACAAATTTGAACGCCAATTTTGGCCAGTGTTTGTGACTAAGTGGCTACTAAAAAAGACTGAACATACCCCATTTGCAATACCATAGGTTGTCTACTATTGCAAATGGTATGCCATCATGGGGGTAATTTTCATTCCTGGGCTACTGTACGGTCTCAAAGGCAACATAACCAACCTGGCGAATTTTAATGTGAAAAAACGCAAGCCTTATATTTGACTCTGTAACTTTTGAAAACACCATAAAACCTGTACATGAGGGGTATTGTTATACTCGGTAGACTTCGCTGAACACAAATATTAGTGTTTCAAAACAGTAAAATGTATCACAACAATTATATCGTCAGTGTAAGTGCCATTTGTGTGTGAAAAATGGAAAAAATTTCACTGTCATTGACGATATCGTCGTTGTATTACATTTGACTGTTTGACTAATATTTGTGTTCAGCAAAGTCTTCTGAGTAAAACAGTACCCCCCATGGACAGGTTTTATGGAGTCTTGGAAAGTTACAGGGTTAAATATAGTTCTAGCAAATTACATTCCCTGAACTTTCGGCATGGGTTGTCAGGCAGGTCCTGCAAATTGTAATTAAAGGGACACTATAGTCACCTGAAAAACTCCAGCTTAATGAGGTTGTTCAGGTGAGAACTATAGCTCCCTGCAGCCTCTCTCATGTAAACACTGTATTTTCTGAGAAAATACAGTGTTTACATTGAAAGCTGGGAACATGTCCAGTTGCAGTCACTCACAGTGAACCAGAGGGACTTCGGAGTTGATGGAGGCATAATATGCCTCCATCCACTCAGATCTGCTGTGCATGAGCATCCTGTGATTCAGTATCTCCTCCCACTGCATGCAGACACTGAACTTTCCTCATAGAGATTCATTGATTCAGTTAATCTCTATGAGGAGATACTGATTGGCCAGGACTGTGTTTGAACCATGCTGGCTCTGCCCATGATCTGCCTCCTTGTCAGTCTCAGCCAATCCTATGGTGAAGCATTGTGAATGGATCAGGCTACAACTTCTGATGATGTCAGCAGACTGTTTTTTTTTTTTAGGCAAACAGCATGCAGAGTTACAGTTTCTGGCTTGAATACAGTAGTAAGATGTTGCTATATTTATGGAGGCATGAGGGGCCCAGGGGGGCTAGATGATGGTGTTAACACTATAGGGTCAGGAATACATGTAGTTGCACTGGTGACTATAGTGTCCCTTTAATAAAATGACCTAATTATGTAAAATTATTACATTAATATATATGTAGAATTATTATTTTATATATATATATATATATATATATATATACACACATACATACACAAACACACATGTGTATGTGTGTGTACATATATAAAAAAAAAGTAAAATTATTTTTATTTATATATAGGTGTATATATAGTGATTAGTGATGTCCCGAACGGTTCGCCGCAAACTCATCATTGAGTAAACTTTGACCCTGTGCCTCACAGTCAGCAGACACATTCCAGCCAATCAGCAGTAGACCCTCCCACCTCCTGGACAGCATCCATTTTACATTCTTTGTCAAGCTGCATTCTTAATGAGCTGTCCAGGAGGTGGGAGGGTCTGGGAGGGAGGGTCTGCTGCTGATTGGCTGGAATGTGTCTGCTGACTGCGAACCGTTCGGCGAACCGCTCGGGACATCACTAATAGTGATATATACGTATATACTTATGTATATAGCTATATATATATGATTTCTTTCTACATGTATTTTGATATCTATTTATTTTTTATATTTTGTTTTTTAACGTATTACATATTTATTTTGTATTATATATAAATATATATATATAATGAAAATTATATATATATTTAATCAATATCATTGTACGTGTATTTTGATATTAATATATATATAATTATGTATATATTAATATTAAAATACACTTAGACAGTGTATGTGTATATATACACTTAGATCATATAAATAATAAATATATATATGATCTAAGTATATATTCTTTATTTTGACACTGTTTTAACTTATTTTATTTCATTTTCAGACAGTAGGGGGAGTACCTGTCATTACAGGCACTCCCCCTGCTGGCATTGCTGTGGACGGCTATGCCGTCCATGTGATCGAGAAGTCCTCGCAAGGACCTTGCGATCACATGGCCCATGGGGGGTCCGAAGAGGACGGAGGGGGGACTCCCTGGGCTCCCAGGTAAGTCCCCATACTGCGATCGGGTAAGTACATAAGATCGCAGGGCGTTCTATGCCGCCCTGCGGCGTTAACAGCCATCAAAATAGGGACGGCATAGAACGCCCTGCGGTCTTAAGGGGTTAAACTGCTAAAGAGTTATTCTAGGAAAGATCTGGCTACAATTTTAAATATACCAGTAATGACTGGCTATCCTCAGACTGCGGCAACCTCAGCATCAAACAGTAAATGGTTGTGGTGTAAGCCAATCAGTGCTCTCCCCTTAAAAATAAATATTTGCATAGTCGCTGCATTTATTTTAGTTGTGCAACTTCAGTAGTGCATTTTAAAATTATAAATAGGCATTAAAGAGGGCCAAGAGCCCTGAGTTCCACATTTTAATTTTTAATTTTGTTGAAGATAATCTACTACCACTTACTTGGTAAGTGGTACATTCAGGCTGCTAGAAGGTGATTTCATTAAATCACTATCAGCAATGGTGTTATATCCTGCTACATACATTTGAATTTACATATAAACATTCAAGTTACAAAATTCTAACCATAACTGATTAACTATTTCCCCCCAATAATTCTATTATTTTCATTAGTTTACCACACCATTCTGATAAAGTCACCTTCAGCCTTTCTTTGTTTAATTAATATCTCTAATTGCTTGTGGAAAACACATGTGTTTAAACCCCATATGTTTAATTACAATGTCTAGTGGCTTGTTCACAGCCAATGTGATTAAGTTGACCTTTTTAAAGAATTGCATCTGATGTGCTGAAATCTCCTGAGGGTTAATCACCTCTGGAGATTGTATAACATACTATAACAACTTGCATCAGTTGCTTTCAATTCATATTAATTAGTTAAAACAGATAATGAAGTGGGTACATAGTTGATACCTCAAATACCACCAGGGATGGACTAAGAGCCTTTGGGGCCCCCGGCCAAAATCAGATTGCAGGCCCTTTGGAGGCTAAATATATGTGCATTAAAATAAATGTTAAATATAACTCATTTAATACGGCATTCCTTTGGATGTGTACAGTGTGAAGACCTGTGTATCAATGCATGTTTGTATTTGAGTCTGTGTGAATGCATGTATGGATGACTACATGTGCTTTTTTTGTATCTAGTGTAAATGTGAATGCATATGTGTAATGAGTATTGGTGTGTGACTGCATGTGCAGGGGCGTGGAATAAAAAAAAAAAAGGGGGGGGGTTGGGGAGAGGGAAAGGTGGTGATGGTGGGAGGGCTGTATTTTTAAAAGTAATGCGATTCAGGCTTTTATTCTCTACAATTTGAGTGTTTTAAATATAACAATATAAACAAGGCTTGTAATAAATGCACAAGTAAATATTAATATAATATACATGTTAATATACATTTCTATATATGCATAATACTATCAAAAAATTTAAGTATAAATTGTTTAATCAAACCTTGTCGCTATCCAACTACACACTGACTTTCTTTGGCATACACACTGGAACACACAATCACTGACCCACACAGTTATTCTCACACAATTAATGACGCTCACAATCACTGACCCACACACTGTCATTCTGACACAATGACCCACACATTGTCATCCTGACACAATCACTGACCCACACACTGTCATCCTGACACAATCACTGACCTACACACTGTCATTCTGACACAATCAATGACCCACACACTGTCATTCTGACACAATCAATGACCCACACACTGTCATTCTGACACAATCAATGACCTACACACAGTCATTCTGACACAATAACTGATACACGTATCCACAAACACAAACTCTGACCCATACACACACAAACTAACATTCTGTACAGCCCCATCATTACATATTTCACATTACCAGCAGCCTTAATCCCGTAACTCTCCACCCCTGTCTTTCCAGCAGCCCCTATTTCCCTTTCCCCATACTTTTCAATCATCTTAATTTATTTTTTCCATTGCTGTCTCCATATAATCCTCTTACAATGATTTTCTCCCTACATCTCTTCCATGACATGTTTCTTACATTGTTATATTTCTATGACACTCCTCGTCTCTCCTCTATGTTTCTATTCCTTTCATTAACTTTTCCTTCCCCATCTTCCCCTTTTTAAATCCTACCTCTCTCTGCTCCATGTGCTCTCTCCCCATCTCCCCCTTTTTATTTCCTACCTCTCTCTGCTCCCTGCAGTCTCTCCCCATCTCCCCCTTTTTATTTCCTACCTCTCTCTGCTCCATGCAGTCTCTCCCCATCTCCCCCTTTTTTTTTCCTACCCCTCTCTGCTCCCTGTGGTCTCTCCCCATCTTCCCCTTTTTATTTCCTACCTCACTCTGCTCCCTGCGGTCTCTCCCCATCTTCCCCTTCTTATTCCCTACTTCTATCATGTTCCTCGTAGTCTCTGACAGGCTGCTGCTCCTTCCCCTTGCTGGCTGTGAGAGGGCTCTGTGTGAGAGGAGAGTACAGGAAGTGATGTCATTTTCTAGCCCTGCCTCTCCCATCACACAGAGAGCCGCATGGTATAGGAAGAAGGAGATCTGGTGGAGAGAGCGAGAGGGCAGGTGTCCTTTGAGGGTGGGGGGAGAGGTGATCTGCAGTGCAGTAGGTTGCTGGGGCCCTGCACGTTCTTTGGGGCCCCACATCCTATCTATACAAGAGATTTATTTTAAACATTTGCCTTTCCAGTTGGAGAGATCTCTAAACTGATCTCTCCAGCTAGAGCATGGCTGTGCAGCCAGGCCCCTGGCTGTCTCGGGCCTTCGGTCCATGACCAATGTGCCAGAGTGGTTAGTCAGCCCCTGAACACCACCATCCATAAACCGAAAGCTAAAAAGCTGACCTACAACTGGTGAAATAAAAACAACAGCAGGTCAAGCAGAAAGTGCACATAATATAAGTGTGTGTGAAGGGGGGGTCACACATGCTGTATTCCAGGGCTCTATTTAACCTTGCACTGCAGAGAGTCCCAGGAGGAAGAATTTATCAAGTATTTTCATAAGAGTAGGCATTAGGTTGCTAGAATAGAACCTGCCACAATTGAGTACATTGCTGTTGTTGCATGCTTATGCAATGTATGATAATATACTGTAACTAAACCCATTATCTTTGCCTACCTACGTCAGGCATTTTCGTGGTTTTTTAAACTATCAAGTTTTGTGAACTTTGAAGCTGGTGTTTAGTGAGTGTGCAGGATTCTGTTAACCACATAAAAGTCGCACAATTTTAACAAGACAGTGCATATAAAAGACTCCTGAATCAATTCCAAACTCTTTGTCAATGGGAATTCATCAAAATCTACCACTACAGCAATCACCTCATTACCTCATCAGACAAGGACTTATCACAGGATATAATTGTATGCCAGTCTCTAAGCTTGTGCCGTACCATGACATCACTATGGGATTCTGACTCCTGGTACCACCACAAGCTCCCTCAAATATTCCCTAGCATTGTTCCCTACTACAACCAAAACATAATCTGAAATGTTCTCTTGATGGATGCCCTTAGAAGAAAATTAAAGTACTCAGACAGGGCATGCAGCAACAAGTCTATTCCTTTGAACAATGAGACAGAGTCGACTCCTTTGAACAATGAGACAAATACTTAACTGAACGTTTACCATTTGTCCCCGTATGCATCCTAGACATGACCACAATGTAGAATAAAATAGGGAGAAGAAACAATATCCAAGGCCTTCAAAATCAATTCCCCCTCCTCCCCCAAAGATGTTATTTTACACAACAGTTCTACAACCACAACCTACATTGTTCCCAATATACAATATTTTAATTATAACAAACACTAATGCTTTCCAGGTCAAAACACCATGTTCAGCTTCATGAAGTGCTGTAAATTGACGCTTTCTAAGACACTTACAAAGAGCAGAGGAAATTTCTATAGTCACTACTTTTTGCATGTTTAATAAGTTCTTTATACCACGAGCTATCCTGCACCACTCTACAATGTGGAAGAACTCTTGGACAATTGACAAAAGCATTACTTAATGCCAACCAGGTCAATGAGGTATGTTTCTGACTGTTCTACCTACCCTGTTCTATTCTCGGTATATGTGCTTAATCTCTTAAGGACAGAGGCAACTGTCCAAGTTCTGAACCAAAACAAAACCTAGAATTTGAGCTATATGTTTGTTCAACCATAATTGACTTATTTCATGTTACATGAACCCACATTTTTTGTATGTAATTTTGTTCAGGACAAATAGGGCTTTAATTTCACATAAAATATTTAAAACAAGAGAAATCTCAATGTATCCTTCCTAGTAAATTTTTTATTTTTTTTAAATGAGACATTATATAAAAATAAAAAAATAAAAAAGTGTCAGAAATTTAAATGTTATTTTCCAATTTCTGCATGACATTTTAATATATTACTGTTACATTTTACTACAATAAAACACACATATATGGATGCTGTGACATCCCACATATACAACGATGCATCCCATGTAAAGGTTTTATGGTGTTTTGGAAAGTTACAGTGTCAAATATAGGACATTGAAATTTGCCAGATTGGTTTGCTGGGCCTATGTTGCATTTGAGACCGTATGGAAGCCTAGGAATATAAATTATCCCCATGGCGTACAATCTGAAACAAAATGGAGAATCCAGGGTATTCAAAATGTCCAGTCTTTTTTAGTAGCCACTTAATCACAAATCCTGGCCAAAGCTAGCCATTGGCAAGTGGAAATCCAGCCCTGGCAAATGAAAAAGCATAAATCCTCAAGATCCCAATTTGAGAACATGTTGGAGTGCACAACTTGTTTATAGAAGGCCATATTAAAAGGTAAAATATAGTAACATGCATACATATTTATCCAATTTGTAGAGTCACAGCAAAGGGTGAGGATTGTATCCTCATGCAGTGCTATTAATAGAGGAGCAGGTTAAGTGCAAGGTTTATATTGACTGCAGAAACACTGCAGTGTCACAATAAGGGGCACAGGTGGAGCCTAAGATAGGTTTACACTGATTTGAGCAAGCTGAACCAGAATTAGTAGCCACAGGGAATGCTCAATGATTTTTTTCCACTGCATAAAAACATTCAGAGCTAAATTGCGGTATTGTGATATTGTGATATGCAAGGTTTGTTTCCACTGCATCCAAGTACTGGGAGAAGCCATATGCAAAAGGGCAAAGCTGCTAATGCTATTATGTTTCATCCTATTTCATATGGAATGCTTAATGCATATTCCTGCTGTGGTGTAATACAGCATGGATTAAAGAAATAACTGTAGTTTTGTGGTTATGTGGGCTGATTTTTCAGTTTACCCTCTTTCAGTCAAGAGTATAAAGGAAAATGTGTGATTAATACAAGACAAAACACTATTCAAAACATAAAAGGTTTATGTATAATAAACAGCTGGGGACAAACGCAAATGCCACATACTATTTATAATTTGACCTCTACAGGGGGAGGGGGGGAGAGATAAGCATGTTTTACAAAAGTCACACCTGGAACAAAGTACACGAGCCGCATAGGATAAAAGAAAAACACGGATGTAAAGAACTTACATAATGCATAAAATCAAAAATTACAAAATGTAATTCCCTGCCAACATTGTGCATCACAGCAGTTTTTAATGTGGACCGTCACTTCTGGTACTTTCATTTAGACAGAATTTTTATGGAAAATAAACTATTGAGTTTTATTTTAAATCACATTTAAACACAATCCAAAGATATACATTAGACAAAGAAGGGATTGTATTATTTACATCTAGTGGGATAAATTGTTGGCTCACATTGAAGTCATTGCGACTGTTGGGTAAAGGCAACACGTGACTTTGATATGGCTTGTGAAAGAGCACCAGGCAGAATGAAGGAGTCTGTGGAAAACATGTAGTGAATATAAACAACTCTTTCGCCCTCCTGGTACCACCAATTCAACTGGCGTCTTAAATAAAAATTTAAATAATAAAGAAAATTAATATTCCAGATGTTTCAACTTTGAAAGGCACATAGGTTAAAGTAGGGCACACTGAGTTGGAGGCATTAGAATCATGACCAAGGGAAACTAAAGTATCAGTGAATAAAGAATATCTGTTAGTGAAAAGAGACTATGAAGATATTATATTTGTAGTAACTGTTTAAGGATATTTTGTAACCAGTATATAGTACCCTGGCACCTTCTTGTACAGTTGTCTTTTTTAATCTTAGACTTGGCAACAAGTTGCACCACACATTTCTGCTACCGTATAGTTAGCCGTCTTCTTTTAGGTTAGCCCTCGTTTCCTTTCCAGGAAATTGAGCTTGACGGTACGAAGGATGGAGGCCTTGTCTAAGAAATGGTTTTATTTAAAAGGACATTAACACATTACCATTGGTCTGAAACCGTTTTGGGCGCTCTTAATGTATATAGGTGTTTGCAAACATGTGACACGGTATAACATTCATTCAGCAACTGATGTGCACTACTGAACCAAGAAAAGGAAATAGAGTAGCAGCATCCAGCATTAGTCAAGACATCAGGAGAGTGCACGGAATCATGACAGGAATCAGCATGAATAATGGTTCAGAACTTTACCAAAGTTAATGTAATGGTATGGCATATATTTTTAATTCTATCCTACTTCGCTTCAAGCGGCCTTGAAATGTATACATGCTGAATTACACAAGATCAAGGCCATGGTGCATGACAAATGCAGGTTTTTGCAATACTTGGCATTTACTATCTTCCTGAAAACACTGGACTCAATGTTGGTTTATGTACTATTCTAAAGACCAGACCCCTGTAAAATCTCTCTACTCTCCTTTGTAGGTCTCTTGGTCTTGTAGGTTTGACTGTTGCTCACATTTACTGGATGAGTTTTTAGTCCACCTCTGAACTCTGAAGACTCTGTTTCTGGTGACTTTTTGGGTCAGTGAACAGCAAGAATTGGAAGTTATTAGCCACTCCTATTCTCCTAAGCCAACAAGGTATTTTGCAATGATCCACAATTTCATTATAAGGTGGTGTTGCCTTTCAGCTTTACAGTGGGTTGTGCAATTGTTTTTCGTTGCATGCCATCTTTGGAGAACGATCGACGATGGCCATCACAAAATTAGGATTAACATTTTTTTTTTTAGTTTCAGCAATGCAGGGTTGAAAGAAATCTGCCTGAAATTGTCCTGCCTGCCATTTTCAAGTAGTGCTCAACTCCCATTTGGCCACTAAGTAAGAAGTTTGTTATGGTCATAATTCAGTCATACCAAAAGCATAAGACAATAAGGCTAGCGTCACAATAAAGATCACTGCTTGACCTGGCAGTTGACACTTGGCCTCTTCTTGAGAGTATTAGTGGAGCAACTACTCTGGCCAAAGTCACCACTTTCACCTCTTACTAGAGTTTATATATCAAAGCTTAAGTCCAGTTTTGGACAAAAGATATTGAATAGTTTTTACGGTTTATTAGGTCCCTGTTACTTTATAATATTTCTTTGCTTTTTTACCCATTTGTAAGAACTAGGAATATAAAATATGTGTCTACATTTATAGTAAATCTCCATTGTAGCATAACATTCACTATTTGGTGAATTAAACTACTGTGGTAAGTTGGGTGGGAGAAACATCTTTTAAACTGTTCAATACTTTGTGATGCATTGGCTGAGCGAGGAGAGTCTACCTATATTTGATTCTGTCATGGGACTGTTTTGGGGAAAAAATTATATTGCAATGAGACCTACTATTCTATCCTCTTTTCAGACACGAATTCCAATTGCAAAAACAAAGCTAAAACAATGAAATCATCCACAACAACCAAGCAGCTGGAAGAAGAGGTCAAGGGAATGCCATTATAGTTATGGGTTTGGAGAAGCTCCAAGTTCAGTAGAGGAAACAAATAACCCCACATAGACATGTAGTAAGCCAAAGGTGTTTATTCACTAAACAGTAACTTATGGTAAGAAGACTTTTTTTTTTCTTCAAAATATATGCAAAAATAAAGTTAGTAAAAAAAAAAATCTCTCTCTCTCTCTAAACGTTATACCACTGAATAAAACATTAAAAATCAGCTAAGCTTTTTTTCCACAAGATGTTTGGTTTTCTTTTACATTGATATTAAACATTTACCAAAGGACATAACGATCCAGTACAGTCCAGTTTAGCAAGAAAATTAGCCTACCCCCCTTTTGTCCCTATATAGTATGGCTATTTTGGTTCCAAATCTCTCTGTATATCTCTTTTATAGGAGCTCTTTATTCTTGGTGTACCTGACTGTATAAAGACATAAGTTGATGAGGTCTGATTGGATACACCTAAAGTTATTAAGATAGCTTTTTAACCAATCATTGTTAACATGACTAGTCCCAGAATATAGGAAATTAGCGAATGTTATGCCCGTTTACAAGAAAGGTAGTAGGGAGGAGTTGGGCAATTATAGGCCAGTAAGCCTTACTTCAGTAGTGGGGAAAGTAATGGAAACCATGTTAATGGATAGGATTGTTGAACATCTAAAAATCACATGGATTTCAAGATCAGAGACATGGGTTTACTTCAGGGAGATCATGCCAAACTAATCGTATTGATTTTTTGACTGGGTAACTAAAGTAATAGATCAAGGTGGTGCAGTAGACATTGCTTACCTAGATTTCAGTAAGGCTTTTGGCACTGTTGCACATAGAAGGCTCATCAATAAACTACAATCTTTAAGTTTGGATTCCAATACTGTTGAATGGGTTAGGCAGTGGCTGAGTGATAGGCAAAGAGGTATGTAGTCAATAGAGTATATTCTAAGAAAGGAATAGTTACCAGTGGGGCACACCAGGGTTCTGTACTTGGACCTATTCTCTTTAATATTATTAGTGATATTGCAGAAGGTCTTGGTGGTATGAGATATCGATTGGCTGATGATTCTAAGAATTGCAACAAGGTTGATGTTCCAGGAGGGATAAGACAAATGGCAAATGATTTAGGTAAACTTGAAAAATGGTTAGAGCTGTGGCAACTGACATTTAATGTGGACAATGCAAGATTATGCATATTGGGCGTAAAAACCCAAGGGCAGAAAAAAAAAAACAATATTTCATACAGTACTAACCTCAATATCCGAGGAAAGATATTTAGGAATAATAATTTCGGATAACTTAAAGGTAGGCAGACAATGTGATAGAGCAGCAGTGAATGATTGGTTATAAAGGGAGAGGTATTAGCAGTAGAAAGAGGGAAGTGCTCATGCCATTGTAAAGAACACTAATGAGACCTCACTTGGAGTATTGTACGCAGTACTGGAGACCGTATCTCCAGAAGGATATTGATACTTTGGAATGAGTTCAGAGAAGGGCTACTAAACTGCTTCATGGATTGCAGGATACAACTTACCAGGAAAGGTTGAAGGATCTTAACATGTATAGCTTGGAGGAAAGACAAGAGAGGGGGATTATGATAGAAACATTTAAATACATAAAGGGAATCGACACAGTAAAGGAGGAGACTATACTGAAAAGAAGAAAAACTACCACAACAAGAGAACGTAGTCTTAAATTAGAGAGGCAAAGGTTTTAATATAATTTCAGGATGTATTACTTGACAAAGAGGGTAGTGAACGCGTGGAATACCCTTCCAGCTGAAATGGTAGTGGTTAACACAGAGAGGCAGTTTAAGCATGTGTGGGATAGGCATAAGGCTATACTAGACTTAAGATAAGGCCAGGAACTAATGAAAGTATTTAGAAAATTGGGCAGACTAGATTGGCCAAACGGTTCTTATCTTCTGTCACATTCTAAAGTCAGCATCCGTTTATATCTGAACCAGGCATAGAAGTAGCAGGCATAATAAAGAAAATAACTGCAGGGAGAGGCAATGTGGCAAAGTGACAGAACTGGCTGCAAAATAGAGATCGACAATCGTTTGGCTGGTCAGGCGGCCCTTCAAAGGGCCTACACATTTTGTTTTATTATTTTGTCTTTTTGTAAAGGACATAAGGCTATATTTTTAAGGAACACTGCAAATATAACCAGTTTTCTGTAGTATTTCTGGTGCAAGAAAGGTCCTGGCATCTCCTCTCCTCCACTGTAGAATGGTTTTACTGCTACCTGAGCGCCTCACCCCCGCTTCCACTACAACAGCTATAGACCTTGAAGCAGTGCACCAGTTCATCAGCTGATTGCTCTCAGCCAGTGTGCTAAAGCCCTGCACTGCCAGGGCTAACACCGTTTGACTTATAATGAGAGAGCCAGGGCACTCCCGGCACCATACCCACTACAGTGCACTATAGTGCTTATGGTGCTAAAAGTGTCCCTTTAACACATTATACACATATACACATATGCAGAGCTCTATTTATAAAGCAATGCATTTCAACTAAAAAGAATCCTCTCATTTACCCTATAATGCTAGCCAAGCTGTAAGCTTCCCTATTTATAGCTTAGCTTTAGTTTTTCCCATCTTACCAGGTTTCTATTGATCTATAGAGAATACAAGAAAACTCAGAGAAATACTATTAGCAGAACTAAATTGAGACAAATAAAATTAGCCAAAGTTTCTAAACAAATATGCCAGTTAGTGAACAGACTTAGATAATACACACCGATAGGCAGTGCATGCATTATAGGCTGCTTCTGAGGATTTTTGTTGCATAAATCACATTGAAAAGGCATTATTCTCCATAATAGACCATTGACGGCTTTGCATATCATTATAGATGATAAATATGAAGATAACAGATACATTAAAAAAAAAAAACACAGATACTCAACAAACTAACAGATCCTCAGTAACTAACTGGAAAGTCAATCCATTCTCTTTTAACCCCTTAAGGACCAAACTTCTAGAATAAAAGGGAATCATGACATGTCACATATGTCATGTGTCCTTAAGGGGTTAAAGGAACACTATAGGGTCCGGAACACAAATGTATATAAAAACACTATTAAGTTCATCTTTGGTCGCCACGAGGAAGATAATTGTTGAAGGTTCCATATGCTGACTGGTCCGGTCATAAAGTAACAAGGATGAGGTATCAGGCAGGTCCGGGGCACAAAGTAACGAGGAGGAGGTATTAAGCAGGTCCGGGCACAAAGTAACGAGGAGGAGGTATCAAGCAGGTTTGGGACACAAAGTAGCAAGGAGGAAGAATCAGGCAGGTCCGGGGCCTGCCTGATACCTCCTCCTTGTTACTTTGTGACTGGACATGTCCACATATGGAGCCTTCAACAATTATCTTACACAAAGTGACTGAATATCAGACATAAGCATTATCCCCCGCTAAGTGTCCACTCCATCAGATTGGGTGAGAATCCTCTTACGATCTGACAGTGACTTTTTTTTAATATTATATATTTTTTCCATATAAATTTAGGACATTTTTATTTTTCCTTTTTTATCTTTTTGTGCAATATAATTTTTCTAAGGCACATATATTTTGTCAACATTGGATACTACCAACTCAGCAGTGTCTTATAGGAACCTTCTGCTTAACCAGACTGTGTTAATTCATGATTTGGTGGAGAACTTCAGCCATATTTATCAGCCCAAAAAATACAGTTGCAAGAAAAAGTATGTGAACCCTTTGGAATGATATGGATTTCTCCACAAATTGGTCATAAAATGTGATCTGATCATCATCTAAGTCACAACAATAGACAATCACAGTCTGCTTAAACTAATAACACACAAAGAATGAAATGTTGCCATGTTGTTATTGAACACACCATGTAAACATTCACAGTGCAGGTGGAAAAAGTATGTGAACCCTTGGATTTAATAACTGGTTGAACCTCCTTTGGCAGCAATAACTTCAACCAAACGTTTCCTGTAGTTGCAGATCAGACGTGCACAACGGTCAGGAGTAATTCTTGACCATTCCTTTTTACAGAACGGTTTCAGTTCAGCAATATTCTTGGGATGTCTTGTGTGAATTGCTTTCTTGAGGTCGTGCCACAGCATCTCAATCGGGTTGAGGTCAGGACTCTGACTGGGCCACTTCAGAAGGCGTATTTTCTTCTGTTTAAGCCATTCTGTTGTTGATTTACTTCCAGGCTTTGGGTCATTGTCCTGTTGCAACACACATCTTCTGTTGAGCTTCAGTTGGTAGACAGATGGCCTTAAGTTCTCCTGCAAAATGTCTTGATAAACTTGGGAATTCATTTTTCCTTCGATGATAGCAATCCGTCCAGGCCCTGACGCAGCAAAGCAGCCCCAAACCATGATGCCCCCACCACCATACTTCACAGTTGGGATGAGGTTTTGATGTTGGTGTGCTGTGCCTTTTTTTCGCCACACATAGTGTTGTGTGTTTCTTCCAAACAACTCAACTTTGGTTTCATCTGTCCACAGAACATTTTGCCAGTACTGCTGTGGAACATCCAGGTGCTCTTGTGCAAACTGTAAACGTGCAGCAATGTTTTGTTTGGACAGCTGTGGCTTCCTCTGTGGTATCCTACCATGAAATCCATTCTTGTTTAGTGTTTTACGTATTGTATATTCGCAAACAGGTATGTTAGCATTTGCCAGTGACTTTTGTAAGTCTTTAGCGGACACTCTAGGATTCTTCTTCACCTCATTGAGCAGTCTGCACTGTGCTCGTGCAGTCATCTTTACAGGGCGGCCACTCCTAGGGAGAGTAGCAGCAGTGCTGAACTTTCTCCATTTATAGACAATTTGTCCTACCGTGGACTGATTAACAGCAAGGCTTTTGGAGATACTTTTATAACCCTTTCCAGCTTTATGCAAGTCAACATCCAGAATCCTTCTCTTTCATGGCACTTTTAGGTTTCCTTTTATATACTGTTTGACTTCACTATATTTCTTAGACGTGGTCCCTTCAATATTGTTATGAATCCATCTCCATAACAATATCTCCTCCCCTCTTATCCAGTGAAATTTGTTCAATCACAGTCCATGAAAGGTTCTGCATGCTAAAACGTGGGCATCAATTACAATGAACTGGAACGGAATGACCCTGCATACCCTTCCTTATGTCGTTCTTATGTTCCAGGAGATGCGTTTTGGCCTTTCTCCCCGTTCTTCTCGCCTATTGTGCACCACACCCACACGTGAGGAGGTACACAACATGCGTGGAATAACAGGTTATTATCAGTTCTATTTTTACACATGCTTGGAGCGAGGTGGGTGGGGAAATTCCTCCCCTTCCTGTAAATAATCCTAGGATTATCTGGGAGTTGTTTACCGTATATACTCGTCATGCTGAAGTATGTTCCAATGTTTTTTGATTATCTTATTAATTGCAAAGGCTTTGGAGTTATACTGAGTATTAAATGAGAACTGGAATACTGTATTAGAGTTGGTAGTAGGTTTGGTTTTATTAATCAGAAGGTCTCCCCTATCTATATCTCCAATCCTTTGGACCTCGGTTTCTAGTTGATCCTTATTATATCCTTTCTCCAAGAACTTATGAGTCAAGACTTCTGCCTGTTCTATATATGTGGTTTTATCTGAGCAATTGCGCCTTATTCGAGTATACTGACTCCTTGGCACTCCCGCAAGCCATCTAGGATGGTGACCACCAGGGGAGTGCTGGCGGCCTTAGGCAAAACCAGTCAAGTGGCCCATTGCACCACCAAATCAGTTCACTATCCATGCCCACCTGTTCCTGGTTTTATAACGGATATTGATGTTATGCTAATCAGTAGCTCTTTGCCATACCCGCTCCTTCACGGCTCTGACTTTCAATGTTGTTAGAGCGCAGGCTGAGAATCTCTGTGCCTGTGCTCTGACTCACTAACTGAGCGCCGGAACCACGAGGGAGAGGATATGATCTGACTGCACCTACTGCTGGTGCGCACCAGTGTACCACCAGCGATTCGTTTAAATTGAATATGCTGGTGTCCCCAAATTTTTGAGCTGTGTTGGCCGCCGGGCGCCTCTGTTGTCATGGCACCCTGCGTGACCGCACAGCTTGCACACCCCAACGGCTGGCCCTGCTGACAAACACTGTCGTCACTACTTAGACATCCCTCAATATTAATACAGACCGAGTAAACACCAATAAACTGTGGAAACAGAGCTGATCCCCCCAAATGTATAAAGATTTGCTTACTGGATTTGCTGTAAGATTAAATCATGCCTCCTCCTCTCTCTCTCCCATGCGCTGCTCTGTAGGCTGGGAGGAAGTGAAGAGTAATCACATTCTCCCAGCACATCGCCACCGGTGGCTGCATGGGGAACAGCTGTTTAATGTGTATATAATACAAATACTTTCTAGTTTGTATTCATTTATTTTATTTATTCTCTTTCTTTTATATCTTTGGCTTCTTGCTTATTTGTATATTGCTATGGATTGGGGGCTTTCAATAACTCATCACCTTTATATTTCTTGATGGTCAGTATACCAGGTTCCTTTACATTCTGTAATTTCCACTCAGACTAGATATGATAAAGGTACTCTTTATACAACATTCTGTCTAAAAATACACTATGATTGAGATACATTAGTGGATCAAGTAACTTAGTATTATAGACAAAATTACACATATATGTTGTGACGAGAGCAATCTCGCCACAGTGCATTGGAGGAGCCTGGTTGCCCGCCTGCTCCCTTTAGACTATGGCCCCATGTTGAAACGCTTGATTCTCCCCTGCAAAGACACGAAAGCCGGGTCATTCGGTGCTTGCCCTGTTTTAGCGGTGATACCCCAGATAGCTATGCCATGGAGCCCATTCGTATAATGAAAGACTATGGGAAAGATTTTGGCTCCATGGCAATTGAACTGTATGTGTGTGATCTGAGCGCCATTCAGTAATAATGTGCACTCAGATCTGAGCTATCTGGGGATATGTTGAATGTACCTGTGTTATGCAATGGCTGCACAGTTATATATTTTTATGTATTTTATTGTCTTTTGCTGCCATGTGTTCAATGGAGTTTTGCCTCTGTCCTTGGGGATAATTGGATTACTTCCCAATTATCTTCAGGATAGAAGACTCTGTGGAACTGGTTTTGGGCAGAAAAGCCATGCTTCATTTCGTCACAAAGGACTACGATCTATCTTTTGAACCACTAGACCAATTTGTATGATTTTGACGTATGTTTGTATTTGGAGTATGCTGATTCTGAAAATGTAAGTTTTATGTGAATGTGATGCATACTTTAAAAATGATGAATAATGTGGAAAAACTGTATTTCTCTGCCTGTGATAATTACATTACCTATTGTGTAAGGTAATTGTATCACAGGCAGAGGGGAGAATTTTGTGTGGAAGTGTCTGAGTGTATCGTACGTGTTTATTGGTTGTTTTCAAAAACCCTGTGGGTGGTACTAATGTGTAAGAATGTGTATATAAGAACAATAAACCCACAGCTCTGTTTGTTCCTGCTTGACCCTCAAAATGGAGCCTTGTCTCGTTCTTGGGGGGGATTTATTGTATGCTGTTCCAGTTTGACTGCTAGGAATGTAAACCTATTCGTATGGTTTTTCCTATTCGGCTGTTTACAGCATTCGTATGTTTAAGAGCATTCATATGCTTCTCCGGTTCGGTGGATTGGTGTCTATAGTAGCTGCCTGTATATCTGGAAGGGGAATATCCTCTAAACCGCGGTTTAACCCCTTTTATGCCTGGGGGTGCCGTTACATATGTATCTTTTATGTTTATGTATATCTTACTATTCCTTTTGACCTGACCATTGATGGTAATGCTATAATATTAAATGAAAACTTTTTTTGCATGACAATGTCTGGAGTGGAATATGGTATTTTTTTTTTTGTTGTAGAAAAACATGTTGCCCACATGGATACATCCCATAACCCTTGATTGTACCCCTGAACACCAGTGCTACAGTTAATACACTTGCTAAAACAATAGATATGTCTATGGCTGGCACTCACTATACCCCAACCCCAAGTTTTATCTGCCTACAATCGTTAAATGGACACTATAGGCACCCAGCCCTATTCATCTCATTAACGGCCCTGCAAGTTTCAAAGAAACTGCAATATTTATATTGCAGGGTTAACACTGCCTCTAGTGGTCATCTCTCACACAGCCACTAGATGCGCTTTCTGTATTAACACAGAGTAACTCTGTGAAAGGATGCTATAAGTTGTCACGCTTCGTACGAGTATGCCCAGCATCTTCAAAATCCCCATAGGAAAGCACTTATTCAATTCTTAGATTGCAAACTCGTGTTAGATTGCAAGCTCTTTGGGACATTCCATGGTAAGCATTCCTGTGCATGAAGAATTGTGTGGCACTAAGCACAGTTAGGTAAGGCTCCTTACAGATACAGATGGTGATTATCCAGCACAGTGGGGAAATAATGGTAGAAGGGGCAGCTGATTGAAAATATAGTGGGAGGATTGGAGCAGAAAGCGGTCAATGACTCATCCTACTCCAACTTAGGTGAGACGCAAGATGGCTCAAACAGAGTTCTCAGCTTCTTCAGGAGCGTGAGGGTTCAATAGCCTTATGTGCCATTCGAATGAGCAGTTTGTTGCCATAGTTTGCCTAACCCTGCAATCTTCTATTTTTAGTAATGGGGAAAAAAAATCTGAGACTTTATTTCAAGTTTTGAAACTTCAAAGTTGCATTCCTTCATGCTCCTAAATGCATTCCAGTTTTATGTAAATAGGGGTAAAGTTTGTTGGATTTCCCATAATGTATGGAAACCTTGAATTGGTATATATTCTAAAGCCTTTCTTACCCTATGCCTTTTTCCTTTCCATACTACAGCATTTTAATAACGTATCCAAGCAAAATATATTCTAGACAATTAGAAAGTACAGGTAGTTTTTGGAAAAAAATAAAATTAATATAAGATAACTACCTGTAATGAAACTACAACTACTTTGCTTATATGCCAAAGAAGCTGTTTTGTGCCAATAATAATTCTATGCAAATTTTAACATATACTGTACTTTTAGATGGTTGTTCTATTCTTATAATTAGCAGCTACAAGCAAACACCTCAGTAATAAATACTGTGTCTGAGGAAGCAAATGCAGGTCACCATGGCAACCACTAACACAGGAAAATCATTGAGAGGGGGTTGAAGTGTAGTAACACACTGCTATACCAACATGAGAATGGAAAACAGAGCTTGTATGTGTAGTGAGGAGAACATAAATTAACCTTACTCAAACACAAACACTTTTTTTGGAGATTACAGGCTACAGAGTTTATTAAACATACAAATTAATGTTCTCATCAGTTTAGAAAGGGCTGTATTTGTCCCCTACTGCCCCAACGATCACTACTAAACAGATGTAAGTTTATTCTGAGGATCATATGAAACAAGAAAAAGCATGGAAATTATTAATATTAACATATCTTACTGATTTCCTCAACAAATTAGCAGCATTTTATATCCTTGCTATGACAAAATAATAAAAAACAAAACCTAAATTAAAATAAAATAAAAAATAGTAATGGTACACACCTGAACAATACAAAGGCCAATATCTGGTCCAATCATGTCCCACCATTTTTAAAGTAGCACTATAGGGTCAGGAACACAAACATGTATTCCTGACCATATAGTGTGTAACCCCCCCCCCTTTAATCCCTTATAAGGGGTTAAAACTTATCTTATTTCCATCACCGTGCGGGTCTGCCGGCGCTGGCCCCGCCGCCGATCTGCCTCCTTGGTGACTTTATCAGAACTGCCATTTTTTATAACCAATCCAATGCTTAGCCTATGCTGATCAGCGCAGTGCTGCCTACTGTACAGCACTGCCCCAGGAACCACCTCCAGTGGCCATCTGAGGAGTGGCCACTTGTAGGTGTCCCTAGGAGCAATGTAAACATTGACTTTTCTCTGAAAAGACAGTGTTTGCATGGAAATGCCTGAATATACTGATTATACTCACACGAACAATTACATTAAGCTGTAGTTATTCTGGTGACTATAGTGTCCCTATAATAGGTTTTGTAGTGGAATGGACCCTCTTAATTTATTTTTGTTCGGCTGTCTATACACCCCCCCGTTTGTTTACCGAACCAACTCTGTGTGTTCCCCTTGTTCATACCTTTTACGTTCCGACCACCCCTGCCTGTTAACCACAAATTGGTTATTAGTTCAAGTGCTTTTCCTGTGTGGCCATTTTGTCTCCCGAACACGGGCAGCGGTACATAGTCGAAGGCGTGGAACTGTTTTCAGCTACGTGACCCTGCAAACACCCAGCAAATTGGTACTGCTGCCCATCCAACTTCCCGCACACTTATGAGAACGGCATTCGGGAAGCAGAAACTAACGAACAAGTGGAGTATTTGTATCCTAACAGCCAGGGGCAGCATTAGTCGGTGTTCATGCAAGAACCCCCAAAAGATAACCGGTCATTGCCTTGTTTTCTCTGGAACTGTTTTGGGGCATCACCTCGAAGCCGATTGGTGAAAACTTCATTCGGATGGCTTTCCCGAACCACCGAAGGGATCTGAGTGATATTTTGACAAAGTGTGTGCTCAGATTCAAACTATTCGGTGATGTGACTTTCGTGTTGTTCTGAAATAATAAAATGCATTTTTGGGGTGTTTTAAATTACTGTAGAAGTTACTTGCCACTGCAAGCCTAGAGGCTTCAATGGCACTGACCAGTGGTGAATCTCTATTTGATTTAGATCATTGGAGGTATAGTCCAAAACATCTGGAGTGCCAAAGGTTGCCTACGTCTGGGCTAGGGGTTTGTTGAGTACATGTTTGACTGCATGTTGAAATATGGCTAAGCCAAATGAATAGCCCACAAAGTTATGAGAAGAGATCATCACCCTTCATAAACAAGGAACAGGATACAAAAAGAAAGCAAAGGCACTGAATGTTCCTAAAGACACTGTTGGAAGAATAGTGGTTCCTCTACCTAGACGAGGCAGAAAAAGGACGCTATCAATGGCTACAAACAGATTTCTGAGAATGAGGTTGTACAAAACCCTTGAGTGACTGCAAAAGACCTGAAACAAGACTAGGTGGCTACAAGAACTGTGGTTTAAGTGAGCACTGTAAGCACATACAAAACACAGAAGGTTTCCATGCCAGAACTTCACAACATACACCATTACTAACCCAAAATCACATAAATAAGCCACAGAAGTGTGGGGATTCTGTTCTGTGGAGTGACAAAACAAAACTGGAACTTTTTCAACCCAATGGTGATAGTTTGGAGGTAGAGGAATAAAGCTTTTGCTGAAAACAATATGCTGCCTACAGTTAAACATTGTGGTGGCTCTGTGATGCTCTGGGGCTGCTTTACATCCTCTGGCACTGGAAACCTGCAGTGTGTGGAAGGCAAGATGGATTAATTGAAGCATTAGGAAATCATAGAAGAAAACATCATGCCATCTCTGAGGAATCTGAAGCTTGGGAGTCATTGGACCTTTAAACAAGACAATGATCCCAAGCATACCTCAAATTTCTCTGCAGTCTCAGGTCTTTTACAAAAAAATATATTACTTTAATCCAAATGTTGGTTTACATCTAAAATGATCGACATTTCAACCCATTCGGGTCCTTCTCAAGAACGGGTCGAAACGTCGATCATTTCAGATGTGTTAGGCATCATCAGTGAGGCATAGCTGATATCTCTCTAGGCACCGTGAGCAAGAGGTCCACGTCTGGATTACCCTTTAAACTTATGGAGAGCAAAAAACGGGTCGCAAGAGTATTCTGAGATTTTAAAATGTATTTATTTTAAGTAGACTGTTTCCTGCTACGTATGTGGTACTGCAAAACAAAACAAAATTTAAACTTACTAGCATGTAACTTAACAATTGAAAAGGTACAGGACTTCCTGCCATCGAGAACCAACTTCCCTTTCCTGCCTTAGCATAATAAGCATAACAGGCATTTTGGCTGCTAACTTCCGACTCAAGAATGGAAAAGAGGACAGACAAACTTATAAGAGACCTCTGCTCTGTGGAACATGATTTACCAAAGAAAGTAAAGCAACCAAACCTTGTCCTTTGTCCTGGACCGGACTGGACATCGGGTAAATGCCCGGTGTGCCTCGATAACCATGGGCCGAGGCCAGCAGGGGAGATCACAGGATCTCCCTGGCCGTTCCATGCAGGGACAGTGCTATCAGAGCGCGGGCCCCTCTGTTTTCCACAACGGGCCAGTAGGGAGATCAAATATCTCTCTCACTGGCCCACATGCAATGTGATGCGGCCGCCAGCTGGGGAGGGAGGGAGACAGGAGAGGAGCCCGGAGGAGTTCTATCTTGCAGCACCCCCGGCTTCCTCTCGCGAGATCCAGAGCGTTGACATGGCAATGCTCCTGTTCTCGCAAGAGGGAACTCTAGCCCCACAGGCTAGAGGTCACTCATCACTAGCAGCACGGTACCCCTCCCAGGCTAAAGGTAAGAAAGGAGGGGGGATATAATCAATGCTGGCTTATTTTTATTTATTTCTAAAATGAATATATTAATAATAATCTGCCCCCCCAACACACAAGCCCTATAAACATATTCACACACTAGCACCCTCACTCACACACACTTCAGCCCTGGCACTCACAGAACCCTCACACACAGCTTCCTCACACGCACATAGCACCCTCACTCAAACACTGCACCCCCCCCCACACACACACACACAGCACCCTCACACATACACCCTAAACCCCTGACACTCACAGCACCCTTACTCCCACACACACTGCACCCCTGAAACTCACAGCAGCCCTGACACTCACAGCCACACACAATGCACCCTCACTCAAACACAGCACCCGCCCTGCACACACTACACCACACACACTGCACAGTACTCTTTCCTGGCATTTATGTCTCCTGGTATCCCATCTATGGAGACACCAGACAAATTTCAAGCAAACACAATGCAAGCATGTTATTAAATTTGCTTGTGCTGTGCAGAACAAATACAGGGCCTTTTCTCATGCTAGAGCTCTTCAGCAGAGCTCTGCGCATGGTCTGCCCTGGAAGAACATTGAACCAACATGCTCACTTTGTGTTTGGGCGTGCTTGTCATTGGTGATGACAAAACACACCCTATCTGGCCCCGCCCCCTTTTCAGTGGGCCGCTGTAATAAAAAAATGCCCGGGCCGAATTTTCTTCCCAGTCTGGCCCTGCCTTCGTCATATCTAATGATCAGTCACCACAAAACGTCATAAACAGAAATAAGACAAAATAGTTGTAAACAAAACCAGAAAGAAGATCTGGCACCTGAATATTTTCAGAATAGTAATTTTATTTGAAAATCTCCAGCAACATTTCAGCCCCAGTTAGGGCTTTTATCAAGGCCTAATCAAGCACTAAGAAATCAAATATTACGAGTAGGGGTGCACCGAAATTTCAGCCGAAAATGAGCCTATCCCGTTTCAGCCGAAAACTGGTCAAATTTGCCGAAATAAAAAAATATATATTTTATTTAATTTTTTTAGAATTTTTTTTTTGGGGGAAGAAACACACTATGAGGAGGAGCGGAGATTGAGGCGGATTCAGGTGGAGGCACGATCAGAGGCACTAAACAGAACCGCAATCACTACACCCACCTCCCCTACTACACAACGCGACAAAAGTGAAGCCCCGCTAGGGTCAACACGCAAGGAACCGCGACATACAGTGTCTGACCGAACCTGTACCTTCCACGGAGTTCTGTTCTGTAAAGGGGCATCCATTCCCGCTCCCGCCGACCATTATGCGGCTCACCGGAACCGTTCTGCTGCTCGTTACCACAGGCATAAACATCCCACACGTGTCTCCCGAAAGGGGCCGCAAATGAGATGGCGTAAAAAGCTACACTGGCGGACGGCTCCACTTCAATCAACAAGGTGTTCCCACTACTGCTCACCTCACCAGCAAGAAGATATGCTCCCTTGTCTCCAGCACGACAAGCCTGAATGGAAGAGATTCCCCTTATCCTACTGGGAGCGCAGGATCACAACTCTGCAACCGCAAACCCCGACTGAAGCCTGGACTGTCAGCGAGGGGAAGACCGGGATGGACTCTTTGAGAACTTGGGCAGCAAGTAGGGGCATTGGTTAGATGGCATACCAGTGTCTTTCCTGGCTGGGCCGCTAAAATGCTGTAACCACAGGTCATAATACCTGCTGCCCTTAGTTGTTCCAAGGGGAGGGGAGAAAAGGAGAAAAGAACACTGGGACAGGGGAGGAGGGAGGAACACTGGGACAGGGGAGGGAAGAACACTGGGACAGGGGAGGGAAGAACACTGGGACAGGGGAGGGAAGAACACTGGGACAGGGGAGGGAAGAACACTGGGACAGGGGAGGGGAGAACACTGGGACAGGGGAGGGGAGAACACTGGGACAGGGGAGGGGAGAACACTGGGACAGGGGAGGGGAGAAAAGAATACTATGGAACTGGGGAGGTGGGGGGGGGAAGAACACTAAAAAAAGAGGGAGGGGAGAGGAACACTAGCGGGGGCAGAGAGGAACATTAAGTGAGGGACCACTAAAAGAGAAGGGAAGTTTTTCATATTAGATTAATGAAATTCATTAAGTCTAATATTAAAAAAATTATATGAAAAAAATTTTTTTAAATGATTTTGGGGGAAAAAAGTCATTTTCGGTTTCGGGTTTCAGCCCAGAATTTTAATTTCGGTGCACCCCTAATTTACGAGCATTTGATGTTGAGAGAGGGTTGCCTTCCAACGTGGTACACATATTGTCTTTGCGCAAGAAATTGACATAACAGACGAAACAACAAACCTGGAAGCAGGATAGCGCTTCACTGTGAAATGCACGCAACGAGGAATACAGGTGAACAGAATCTTTCAATCAACGCTAACACATATATATGGAGCAGTCCGATCACCCTGAAGAAGTCCAAAGGACGAAACGCATTGATTCAGACTACTCATTCCCTTGACACTTTATTTTGTTTCCTTACATTTTTGGGGGCTTTTGTATGGGATATTCTCCTTTCATCGCTGGGATGACATACTACTCAGGATTCCAATCTTGATCCACTGCAAGTGGAGATATGCCTATATTGCTGCTGATACTTTTGTACATTCAATCTGCACTATATTTCTTTTATGTTTATTCCATGCTCAGGAAGATTGGAGCATCTTTATCTACATATACCCCTTTTAGGGTTGATAAACTGACACATCTTCTGGCTCTAGTGAGTTTTTTTCCCCCCCTCATCTTGTGTGTCCTTCACCTATTACATATTACACTATGTAAAGTTTATCTTTCTAGGTGCCTTATATATATATTTTTTTTTTCTCAATTCTTTATTTTTGCAGTGCAGGTAATTACAAACAAGCTTGTGATGCCACGATAGCATCAACAGGCGTTCAGTATCATACATATTGAGATGGAGCCTGTGCAGGGTGTTGCCAAGCTGCAAGGTTGCCACCGCTTCTTGTTTGCCGGCTCTCTTAACTCGAGTGAGCATGTGGAGTTTTAAACGCCTTCCAAGAGGAGCCACTCGCTGCTGTAGCATGATTTTGACCTCATGGCTGTCACCGCAGGTGGTTGGATGCCCGTCTCTCTTCTGTCTCAAACCAGAAGGTCTACTCCCCCCCCTTGTCTTGTTTCTGATGAGGCACAGTCAGGTCCGCCCTAGGTACTGTCACGGCATGGTGAGTGCCTCCATTCCGATGCAATCTGCCATCCTCCCTTGCATACTCCACCAAGATGCTGCACAACGCTATTCAAAGCGTACTGGCAGTTTGCTACAGTGGTGTGTGGGATCAGCATGATGAATAGGGGCCATCTTACTGCAAATAGCCACCATCTAAGGCAAGGTAGGTTGCGTTAGACTTTCGTGTCTCTGCCCGATCACTGGGGCCTGTTTGTGTGGAACCAGGCTTGAATCAGTGCTGTGGTGGACCGGGATATCCCCCAAAGCAAAGGGGAGGGATACTTCAGAACTTCGAAGCTGGGAGCAAATAACACCCACTGAAAACATGATTGATGATATGATGTATGAAATCAGGTTGATGGAAATAATATAAGAACAGAAGGGGTCAAATCAAAGCACATACACAAACCATTTACACACACACACACAGCTCATACCCAGGAACCATCACACACAGAGTTGGTACACACCACACATAAGAGTGGGCAGACAGAGGGTGAGAGACACAGGATTATTCACTGATTTTTTTCAAATAAATCTAAAATGTAAAAACTGAGGAAAAGGGTGAGCTGAGGAGATTTTTTCCAAATCAGCACTCTTGATTTTTATTTTATCAGCAAACTTTTGATGTTTAGTGGATAACCCTGTCAGTGTCCAGGACTCTACGCAGTTGACCCAATCTGAAATCATTTTGTCTGTCAGAACAACTTAATTATAATGGCAGAGAAGTAGGTTGGGTTAGTGCTTTAGTCCCTTGGATAAGTAAATGTATTCAAAATATTTATTTTATTATAAAGATTTACAAGGAATAGTAAACATTTACAGAATGAGACCATAAAATACAAGAGCATGCAAATAAATTAACATAAATATCAGGCGAATTCAATGTGAGTGAAGTAGACATTTACCATGTAACCAATAATAAAGCAATTAGCCTCAACTAAAAGGAGTAAAAAAAAAAACATAAGGTAAAAGGTATCAATATTCTAGTATTTTAAAGATACATTAAGCACCAAAATAACTTTACCTTAATGAAGCAGTTATGGTGTACTGAACATGCCCCTGCAGTCTCACTGTTCAATGCTCTGCCATTTAGAAGTTAAACCACTTTGTTTACACCTCCACTGGCTGTGTATAAAAATGCATCTATGATGCACATTAACATCAGAGTTATTCACTGGACTCCAAATTGTAGTAAATTGAATTACTCATAAGCCTAAAAATGTTGCCTTAATTTTGCAATTCAGTTTTCAATTTGCTACAATTCAAAGTATAGTGAATACATTGTGTGTGTATTATTGCACTGGGCCGAGCATCACCTTATCATTTACCTATCCCCAATTACTCCGTACTAGTGTAGTTCTTCCAACCTGCCTCCTATTTCTCCCCATATCTCTCTTTCCATACCCCTCATTTCCTTCCGTTTCTATATATTCTAACCCCACCTTCTGCCACTCTCACCACATTCTTCCCACACACTTTAAACTTTTCTTCCTCACACTTCCTGTCCCTGGCTCCATATGCCCCCACTTTTCAAATTTTCCTAATTTTCTCCCCCTTACTAACCGATTCTCTCCATATTATCTCCCTCACCACTTTCCATACAGCTTTCTATGTTTCTCCCTAATATTCCCATTCACAAATCACATTTAAACTTCCTTACTTCTCTTTTATAGTGTGGCTAAGTAGCATGGGAATGATTGTCCTGATGATCGTACTGATAGCTGATTGATACCATGAACTGTGAGGAGAGGACAGGAACAGAGCATTAAATCAAACCCCTAGGCAGGGGTTGGGGCAGAGGAGAAGAGGCTGCTTATTGCTGGATTAGACGATGGACCACACTATAGTGCAGATCAGGAACAGGGTAGCACTGCTAGTAAGGGAGGTCAATGGCGGGATGGGCTTAGTGCTAGTCACCCGGTCAGCTCAGGAATGATTAGATGTGTGTGGCCCTGAAAGAGTTCAAATTGACCATGCTTTGCCACTGCTTCTGACTATTTCATGCTCTCACACAACTTGCTACATAGGTGCCATCATTTTTAAAAGATTTGTTCTCTTACCACCTTTTCTGCTGCAAGACCTCGTATGCATTACATTATCTGTACCAGACTAGACTAATGCAACTCCATCATGCTCACATTTCCTTAAAGGACCACTATAGTGCCAGGAAAACATATTCGTTTTCCTGGCACTAAAGTGCCCTGAGGGTGCCCCCACCCTCAGGGACCCCCTCCCGCCCGGCTCTGGAAGGGGGAAAGGGGTTTAAACTTACCTTTTTCCAGCGCTGGGCGGGGAGCTCTCCTCCTCCGTTCTTCCTCTTCTCCTCCCCGTTGGCTGAATGCGCACGCGCGGCAAGAGTTGCGTACGCATTCAGCCGGTCACATAGGAAAGCATTATAAATGCTTTCCTATGGACGCTGGCGTGCTCTCACTGTGAAAATCACAGTGAGAAGCACGCAAGCATCTCTAGTGGCTGTCAACGAGACAGCCACTAGAGGAAAAAGGGGAAAGCTTAACCCATTCATAAACATAGTAGTTTCTCTGAAACTGCTATGTTTATGAAAAAATGGGTTAACCCTAGCTGGACCTGGCACCCAGACCACTTCATTAAGCTGAAGTGGTCTGGGTGCCTAGAGTGGTCCTTTAACACTCCACCACCTTACTCTTCTAGCATATTCAATATGCTGCTGGCAGCATCCTCCTTAGTATGCATGATCTGCTCATGCCACTCTTATTCTTCTAAAACTTATATTGCTTCCAATTCAACAACGCTATTTTCAAAAGTCTTGCCCAGATAGGACTATCACTTCTCTCTCATATTCCACAAGACCCATACCTATCTGCTCCCTTTCCTCTGCATCCTTTACCCAAAGTTCACTGTAATCATGCTCAGTCTCCTGCTTCCGTAATAAACTACCTCCGCAAATCCAAGTCAGCTAACTCTCTCATCACTTTTTCTGAAAAAGCCTCACCTCTTCATAAAAGCTTTCATCGATAATTCATAACAATTTCCATGTACTGGGCCCTCTGTATCTGATCTGTTCACTTCCCACCTCCCCAACTGTGTAATCATTACCCATATCTACATGTCCCTGAGCTCTGGTTTAACTCTGTTTTCATAATGATAAATATGTTATTTTGTTCAACAGAATCTTATGCTATAATATACAGTGTTACAATTTAAAAGGGACACCTTCTCTTCTGGGTTTATAGCCTTTCCCTGCAGGTTGGATGTGTACATGCGGTCTTTTCTTAAAAAGGCAGTGTGATTAGTGACTGTGTCTCTGACAGCAGTCATTAGAGAGACTTCCTGGGTTTGTTCCTGAAATACCAATATTCAGCATATCCACACTTTGCACGGAAACACTGAATTCTCCCAATAGAAATGCACTGGTTCAATGCATTTCTACAAGAAGATGCTGATGGGTGCAATATGGATAAAGCACTGCATTAGAATATTTAAACAGCTCTTCCATGCATGTAATAATTTTAGGGCAGGCACTTGAAGATGAACCCATACTCTGCAAGGAATTACACCTTTAAATAAAATGTAATTAATACTTACAAGCCATCCAATTACAAATTTTAATCTTTTTGGATTATGATCTGATCCTGGTATGTGACAGTTCACCTTTAAGTAACGATTAGAGAGGTTCTATAAATAGTTGTAGTCCATTATGATAGGAAGTAGAGGTAATGTGGTTTTCTGAGGTTCTCTGTGAGCAAACACCAAAATAAGTTGCTCACCAGTAGCCACGATGGAATTTGTATTTTAGTTGTATATCTTGTGCTGCCAGAGATCTGCTTCCAAAAATGCATCAGCTACAGAAGCTAATCAGTCCTCAGACCAAACAACTGTATTCAAGAACAGCATGTTACTTCATTTAAAGAACCTACATAAATTACATAAAGTTAATATATATTATATAAATTTAATGTAGTACCAAAATTCAGCAATTTATGTTCTGTGTAAAACTTTCAAATTCTGTTTTTGTTTTTCCATTTTACAATATTTCAATGGCTTGGCTTGATCAAAGAAAAAAACTATTCATTGTGCTAACAAATGTTAGAATAAGCAGTATTTATTTTTAAACACTTGTGGCTTGTCTCGGAGTATGGTTTGAGTCAGCCAGAGTCAACCAGATATTTTTGTCAAACCACAAATGGCCTTCACAACACACATAAGGTGCCAAGATTTCTCGATTGTGCCTGCCTGCTCTGTGTGAGTTTGGAAACTGCTAAAATCTGCCAAAATATTAGGTCTGTGTTATTTTAGACAAACTATTTCTATGTGTCTATCTTCTCTCTATTTCAGTTTTTTTTTTAATTTATTCTTCTCTCACATGACAGCACAAGACTTTAAAGTCGCTGCATGTCTGTGGTGTGTCATGGGTAGATACCATAAACTGAAGAAACTGATAAGGACAGCTGGGGTCAGATAAAGGGTGTAGGGCCCACAATGAATCAGTATGGGAGGGGACAAGCATTGAGTGAGTGGCAGTGCCAATGGACAGCTATATTCAGACAATTTCACAGAACTATTTGGGGGAAAAGTGCCCAGCACATTGCTTTAAAGGACCACTATAGTCACCCAGACCACTTCAGCTCAATGAAGTGGTCTGGGTGCCAGGTCCCGGAGGTTGTAACCCTGCGGCTGTAAACATAGCAGTTTCAGGCGCATTCGGCTCCACTCGAGAGCTGACGTCGGAGGGGGAGGAAAGGTCACCAGCGCCAAGGTAGCCCAGGGCTGGATAAAGGTAAGTGGTTTTAACCCCTTCAGCCCAGCGGGAGGGGTGCCCTGAGGGAGGGGGGACCAAACGATTATATAGGGTCAGGAAAACGAGTTTCTTTTCCTGACACTATAGTGATCCTTTAATAGAAATTGACTGGCCTGAGCTTAGGCATGTGGTTCCTAATACCTCTCCATTAGGACTGCATCTCTATTGAGCACCCTGCAATTAAAACTCACCAAAGGGCATTATAAGAAATATACAAAACGTGGCTGCAGGTAACATTCATCCAAAGTCTACAGGAGGTTCCAGGAGACTGACGCATTTTGAATGCGGCTCCCTAACACCAGCAAATCATAAAGAATATCCTGGAAATTACACACACAATCTGATGAGCTCTTAAACGGCCAGCACCTGACCGGCCCCAATAATTCTTGCTAAACAGGCCGGTCAGGTGCTGGCCGTTTAAGAGCTCACCGGGCCCCTGTGACATCAGCTGGCAGGAAGGAAGTGACAGACTTCACAGAGAGCCTCCTCGGAGGAATTGAGGGAGGAGGATGGAGGCAGCAGAGGAGAACAGAGCAGCGGCTGGAGTGAGCCGTTGCTGCATGCTCAATTCCACCAGCCTTAGCCAGGACCAGAACCACCTTCATGGACACACAAGGTAAGTTAGCAGGAGGGTGACTGCAAATGTATAAAGTATGACATGTCTGGTGTCAGACTGTGCACATGTCAATATGTGTACGAGTCATTGTGTATCTGAGTGTGTCAGTGTGTGTATGTGAGTGTCAGTGTATGTATCTGAGAGTACGTGCCAGTGTGTGTATCTGAGTGTAAGTGTCACGTGTATGTGCGCGTGGGGTTGGGTGCATAGTAGCTCGTGAAGCCACCTCCCTGAAATGCATTTTTGTATGTTGGGATGTCTGAGGTAATAATTAAAGGAACACTATAGGGTCAGGAACACAAACATGTATTCCTGACCATATAGTGTTAAAACCACCATCTAGCCCACCTGGGCCCCTCATCCCTCCCTAAATATAGCACAATCTTACTTGTATTGAAGCCTGAAGCTGTAGCTCTGCATGCGGTTTGCCTCAGAATAGCAAGCTGTCTGCTGACATCATCAGAAGTGGTGGCCTGATCCAATCACAGAACTTCTCCATAGGATTGGCTGAGACTGACAAGGAGGCAGATCAGGGGAAGAGCCAGCACAATTTGAATCAATGAATCTCTATGAGGAAAGTTCAGTGTCTGCATGCAGAATGAGGAGATACTGAATGTTTGGATGCATTTTAGGCAGCCATGACCCATGAAGGATTTATAACCAACATCTGAGGAGTGGCCAGTGAAGTTATCACTGGGCTGTAATGTAAACACTGCATATACATACACACACACACACACATATATATACACACAAATAAATATATATATATATATATATACACACACACACACACACACACACATATACACACACACACACACAAATATAAATATATATTTATTTATTTGTGTACGGCACATTTCGAGGACGTAAGGATTAATAATAAATAAGCAATAGTAGTAACAGCAAAGTCAGTTGAGGTGTGCCGAAACTGACGTGAGGTTAGACCTGTAAAAGAGGGACCACCTGGGTCATATGAGAATAAATAGAGGGTGCGGTGGGAGGGTCACTTCCGAGATCGTCAAAGACAGGTAAGCAGGAGCTCACTGGGTTTAAGTAGGGTTCCATGTACCTTCCACAATTACAGGCCAAGCCTTCTATTTGTGTACGGCACATTTCGAGGAAGTAAGGATTAATAATAAAGAAGCAATAGTAGTAAGAGCAAAGACAGTTGAGGTGTGCCGAAACTGACAGGAGGTTAGACCTGTAAAAGAGGGCAAAATATAAGAAGCGATTCTTACAAGTCAGATACATTTATACAGCAGGTCATTATTTAGACAGTTAACAGAAAGTCAATCTTATTTCTTTCTCAGGATTAGGGATTTATTTGTTGTATGCAGATGATTTCCCCCGACCCATATTTTAATGATGTGAGTTGGTACGTGATTACCGGAAGCAGCTGTGGCTGCTCCAATGCGGAATAAATGGCCCGAGAAGGAATGAGGGTTATGTCCTAGTCGGAGTGATATCGTACAAATGTAAAGCATAAAACGTTTATTGGTTAGGGGTTTCCCTTGAAAAGCTACTAGTGGGGAATCAGGGATGGAAGTGAGTTGAGATTCCAAAAGATTATCCAAAATGTGGATAGGACCTGATTTGGTAGAGGTAGGTTAATATTTCATCTCTACTGGAGGACCAGTATGGCTAGTTTTGGTATGAGTAATAGACAAATGTTTATGCCTGTGAAGTAAGGTTTGATAGTATTGTAAACTAATTTAGGAGAAAAGAGGCAAAGTTGTAAATGCCACCATAGTTACAAATAGAAACATTTATCACACAACACGAACAAACCTTTAAACAACTGATACGCTCTTGGAATAGGCTTTCTTAAATTAAGGTATAAACCAGCCTGTGCGAGCGACCTACTATGGAGCAACAGAGTATTTAACACATAATTAGGACTGTAAAGCTTGGATTTTCCTTGGACTGCGAGTTTGCTGATGGATGACCTCCGAAAAACTCCAGCAATTAGAGTGTGGGAGAGCATCAGCTGCGTTACCTTGAATGTGAACATAAGTTATGCAGAATTGAAGATTTGCCGCTAGCCAGGTAAGACTCCTTACCAAGTTCATAATCGAGAGGGACTGAGAGCGGCCTTTGTAAACGATATTATATATCGCCAAGAGATTAGAAAAGTATCTGACCGACTGCCCTCTCCACTCTTTGCCCCGTATATGTGTAGCTGCTACAATTGTGTAGATTCAAATAGTGCTGAGGTGGTATTGAAATTTATTTGCGAGGTAGACTTAATTGGCCAAGAGACGTGTACCAATTTGTAACCAAAATTTGCTGCATAATCTACGGCACCTGATGCGTCAGTCCGGACCATAGGGGAATCGTCGGAAACAGGGGGATCAAGTAGTGACCTGCCATTCCAAGAGGACAGGAACAGACACCACTTTTTTAATATCAGCTCTAGCTGGTTTGTCTAAGAGAGCTGTGGAGTCATCGACAGGGAGACCATGCAAGCAAGAGAGGATTCTGGAAATTAAAGACTTACCTTGTGGAATTATTCTCCCCGCAAAATTGAGTGAACTGGATAGTGACTGTAGCTGATTCCTGGTGCAAGTGTCTTGTGATGTGCAGATGTTGATGTAAGAAAGAATTCTATCTACTTACACTTGTGGAAGGTCGGCCTGCATAGAAATAGAACTGAGTGTAAACCCCGGGAATGTGATCTCTGTGTTTTTGTCCGGGCTATGGGTACTCCTAATCTTTGAACTGAGTGAACATGTGATTCAGGCTGTGTGGCGTGCTTTGGTGTGGTTCGATGGTGAGGAAGTTGTCTATGTAGTGTAAGACTACTGGACATCTGCATAGGTTCCGTAGGAGCCAGGTTTAAGGTTTCGGCGAAGATATCGCATAACTTGGGCTACATATGAAGCAGAATGTTGGTCTGGTAACGAAATAGTGGCTGTCTTCCCACTTAACTCCATGCAGATGCCAGATTGACTGAAGAATGGGTAGTAATTTACACGTGTTAGTAAAGTCTGATTTACATAACCAGGCAGCCTTCCCGGAATGAATGATTGCTTGTATGGCCTCGTTAATTCTGGCGAACTGAAGGAAAACTTATGACAGGGACAGAGTATTTAAGCTAGGAGAAGTGGGTGAGAGTGAGGTGCAGAAAAATCAAATGATAAGTCTCTTTAAAATGTAAAATTCCCTGAGGCGATTCCTAGGGGTTTGTCCTCCAGGAGGTGTAAAGGTAGTGTTGTGAAAGGCCCTATCAAGAAACCATTGATGATTTCATTAAGTAAGAGTTTTGTACTCTGATGGGAACTGTGAGTGCTGACTGTAGGATGGGGTGTTCCAAAATACCTATGTGGAGTGACACAAACCCTGTGTAAAACCAGTTAGTAGACGTGAGAAATTCTACCAGATATAAAGAAGGATGAGTAGACAGGTAGCGTTATAGATTAGGAAAGTTTATTGACGTGGAAGATTTTAGGGTACCGCCTGTAGGGGCACATAGTTTTTGGCGTGTGCACTGAAACAAAGTGAGCCCATGTGAATAAGCCTACCAGCACTATAACTATAACCACCGGCATAGAAATTATTGCAGATTTGTGCTTCACCTAGAAACCAAATTGACCTGCCTACTTTGTCTTAGCAAAATCCCTCTGGGATGTGTTAGACTGATAATCAGTGTTGGCTTACTGGTAGAGGGAATAGCTTCGTTTCCAGGATGAAATTTGATCGCATGGGCTGTTGCTGAGCTTATGGCGCAGGAAGGTGTTTTGAGACCCGAAAAATGCCTTCGAAACCATTCCGTGTGTAACTGACGCCAGTTGGTGTTTGTATAGTACTCTGTGAGCCTGAACTGAGATGGGTGCTGGTAACTGACAGAACGTCTCCTTATATAGAAACTTAAGACATGCTAAGGAAGTGAGGAAGATGACTTTGTTAGTATAGATCTGCAGTGACCCAGTGACTAGAGTAGTGCCTACAGGCAAAATTGTATTAACTAGCTTATGTTGGTGACAGGTGACACCCTGACTACTTGCCAAGTGGCTTTGAGAGGCTCTACCTATGATTTGGCTCATGGGGCTTTTGTGCCACTGAGGTGGGTGGCGGGGTGTTGGCCTCTCGGTGACATGTAAAAGATTGTAAAATCGATTGGCCATGACGGGTGAGGCCCTAACTATGACTTGATGTAATGCTATAACTATGCGTTGGGCCGATTGGGCGCGAACCTCTGAGCGGAAGGCTGATTGTATGCCTTGCAGGACCACTTGACTTATAGGCGAGGAGGCCTACGAGACCATACATAAATTGGCGAGAGCTTAAACCTTGTCCTAACCCCAACTGGTTTTATTTCGTTAACATACCTGCTGATTGTCCTGTATAACGTATACTGTAGTGCAAAGAATGATCCGTATCCTGCTAACAGGTTTGAGCTTTGGTGTTTAGCGGTCTTGTAAAAGTGTGTAAAGTGTATAATTGTGCACAACACCCTACCTACTGACTGACACCCTAACTACCAACATTACATTGACAACACCAAAACTACTGTACGACATTATAATTGTAACACCATAACCATTACCAATTGATATTGCAACTATAACACCATGATTATCTAACTGTACAATAATTATTAACCGTACCATAACTACTGACGGTAGAAACGAATTGTTGAAACATTATGTGATCGGTTAACGTTTGGTTATTGTGTAGATAATTGAATGATTTTGTTTTATATTCGGGCGACATCGTAATTTTGTACCACGTATGAGGATCCTGTGCGGCTTATCCTGGTAGGGTGATAACTTGAAACTAATGAGATTTATTTATAGTACATGTTACCAGAAGGAAATACATGAAATTTAGGTAGGAATTTCCGAGGCCTACCTCTTTAAGTAATGTGGTGTATTTAACCCATAAGGCCCCTTAGCAATCAGTAACAGTAATTGTGCGATATTTAACAGGAGGGAAAAACGTACTTAATTGTCATCTTCTTTATATACAGCCTAGTGTAATTAGGAACATGATATGCCGGAGACAGGAGTAGAGCATGATATAAACTTATTAACACTCTTATATATCAATATTCACAATGCTGCATAAACGGAATGAACTTTAACTGCTAGGTATGAGGCAGTTTATACAAATAAACAAAAGTTTGTGCGAAAGTGTGACTGTGTGTATACTAATGGAAAAACATAAGCGTTTTATGCGAATTGATAATATATACGAAAGTTTAACCGAAATGCCAGTTAGCAATGCACAAGACTGAATCTAAGCATAATCTTACCCTGATTAGCATACATATATTTATAAAACACATTAGCTATGCTTTGAGGAGAAATATTAATAAAATTATACCTTAACTGCCGTCAGGACATACTGATTTCGTAGAAAATAAGCACGTTTTTAAAGAATGACACAATAAATGCTTTGACATTGAAAGCTGTTTAAATTGAATGAAAAGCTTTACCAGTAGTGATGTCCCGAACGGTTCGCCACGAACTGTTCGCCACGGACTCATCATTGAGTAAACTTTGACCCTGTACCTCACAGTCAGCAGACACATTCCAGCCAATCAGCAGCAGACCCTCCCACCTCCTGGACAGCATCCATTTTACATTCATTGTGAAGCTGCATTCTTAGTGAGCTGTCCAGGAGGTGGGACGGTCTGGGAGGGAGGGTCTGCTGCTGATTGGCTGGAATGTGTCTGTTGACTGTGAGGTATAGGGTCAAAGTTTACTCAATGATGAGTCCGCGGCGAACCGTTCGGGACATCACTATTTACCAGCGCTGTTTCAACCAGAGTTTTAACTTCTACTGCAAAACCAGCAAGTTAAAATAAAAGACAGTTTATAACTCCCATATGAAAGTGACGAACAGAAGAATGAAAAATACAAGTTGCAAAATAAACGAACATTTGCCATCCATTAACTGAAATTTACCAATCAATATTGAAAACCGCAAGGTGGCGATATTAGCAAAACAAATTGACTGGTATACAAAAGCTGAAAATTAGCATAAATGCAGGGAATAGTGGTGCTACCGAATGCAGCACTACCAGGGAGATGACCACGAAAAAGGCCTGCACGTTAGTATAGGTGGTAAAGTATAGAAGCGTTCGGTTAAACGAAGCCGGTACTCGGCAATTAACAAAGGGGATCCCTTTTTTTTTGTTTTTGTTTTTTTGGGGGGGGAGAAGCCCTACCTCTTTAAATGGAGTAGTGTATTTAACCAAGAAGGCTTCTGTTGCAACCAGTGACCGTATTCGTATGATCTTTAACAGGAGGGAAGAAAATGATAGTTGACATATTATTTAAATATAGCCTTGTGTAAATTGGACCAATTAGATGCAGCAGCGGAGCATAAATAAAAAATAACATGACATACTTATATAGCAATAAGCACTTTATTTATTGTTTAAATTACACAGTGAATGTAACCATATGACATCCTGATAAGGGTATTGCTGTACGTTTTAACTTAGGCATAAATAACAAGTATAAGACTATGTACTGAAAGAATTGTTTAAGTAAAACGAAATGAAACACAAAATGCCGTTTAAATTGACAAAAAATGCTTTCCCCATGCTGTATTTAACCAAAATGACCTTGACTTGTTAGTTATGCTAATGCAGATAAACAAAAGTCTATGCGAAAGAGAGGATTACACGAGCGGCTGCTAAGTGTGTTCTAATAGGAACGACCGCGTTGTATGCGAACGGAGCTGTAGACGGAAATTTTGCCGAAACACTAGTTAGCACGAACCGCTTTCAGTGACCTGAAGGATTTAACATGAGCTATATAGACGAAAGAAACCGTGTAGCCGAACGTGTGAGTAATTGACAAGTATGAGGAGTGCACGAATGATGCTATATAACTTACGATTAGCCGTTCGTGCGCTGGCTACCCTCGTTATACTCATGAACACAAAGCAGAGAGAGAGATGCAGACGGACTACCGGCGGGTGGGAAAATGACGTCAGGGTCCAGTGAACCGGAAGTAAACAGAATCACTTCCGAGATCGTCAAAGACAGGTAAGCAGGGGCTCACTGGGTTTAAGTAGGGTTCCATGTACCTCCCACAATTATATATACACACACACACACACACTACATAACTGCATATATATATCTAAAGAAGAGGTGCACTAGGTTTCAAATGGTGACGTTTTCAAAGTATATAGATAGACACACACACAGAAATATTAGACTTGTGGAAAAATTAGTTTGAGCCTGTTTTTCAGAATAAAATTATTTTCAAACCAGACTTACATGAATCAATGTGCCTGGGAATTACCTGTGGAGCCATATTCAATGAATAAGGATCTATAGGTAAATCCTGGGAAAATCATAGGTATATTATATGCATATGTCTATGCACACTCTTACAGCCAAACACATGCTTATACACACGTTCCTTGTGAGATGGGCAAAGGTGGATGATAGAAGGGCTTGGATCATTCTCACATACTCCAAAAAGGTATGGGGTTTCTTACTTACAGATAACATACAGAAAAAAAAAACGCCATTATAACTTCTCAAATATTGAGAGCCTGCACTAGCACTCAATTAACCATTGTCATGCCAAGAAGTCTACATATCGCCAGTTCATATAATTTCATTAACGTAACTGATGTGGAAACAAAGCTATAGAGCATTACTTTAATAACCTCCCCAATGCCAAATACATGTTGTAAAACCCTACATAGTCAACCTTCATTAACCTGTTTACAGAACATCAACAGGTCCCACAGGGCTGAAGAATTTACACATGTTGAGGCCAAATCTGAACTTTAGCAGAAATAAAAAGATCAATAAATAAGGACCTTGTTTGTTGCAATTTAGATGTCAGTAATCTGCAATGTCATTCTAGTAGCCCTTCACTTTCCAGACTACTTGCAACATTTCACTCCATAAACCATTTAGCTGGCTGACAGAAAGCCTACCATATTAACCCCTTAAGGACACATGACGGAAATATTCCGTCATGATTCCCTTTTATTCCAGAAGTTGTGTCCAGTTCATGCCACACAATATGAAGAGCGGTATCTCAATAACCTCCTCCATGGAGAGAGCATGCATTGCAACACATTAAATCCCTGTGGTCCACAATACCTTGAGATGCATTCAGTTTATAGGATTTGTAGTTGAGTGCATGTTGTGAAAGAGACATGCAGCAGAGCTGTATTCTCTCTTACATAGTTATTCCCTAAACACCAAATTTTGTTCAAATGGTCAAATCCAGTAAAAATGACCGAATTCTGCCAGCAGATTTACTAAAGCCAAATATGGTCTGGATTCAGGTAGTCCGACCGATTCTATAAAATTAGTTTCTAGGAAAATAACCAATACCTGCATCCAACTGATTTATAGGAAAGGAATCAGAGATTTATTAATGACGACATGGCGGCTGAAGATAAACCAGATGCATCTGGGAGGATATATGTTCACATCCTGCCCAGCTGCTGGTCCTTCCCATGAATGTTTAAAGTAGTGATACCCATGGGTGAGGGCACATGGGAGGACTATGTGTCCCCTACACCCGTTATTTCATGGGAATAGGGTCATTTCTGGTGACTGAGCAAAATGCATTTAAATATTTAGTGGATATGTCACCACTTGCCAAATAGCAGGTGGAGGCATATGCACTCTCCATTATAGTAATATGAAGGTCTTATTGACCTCATAGGAGTTTTATTTATATATTTTATAATTAATGTGGTGGCTGGCTAGCAAGAGCCAGCCATCATATAATTAAGCTTTCTGCTGCAGAGGGATTCTAACTATTTATGTGCTGGTTGCAAGTGCTGTCAGTAGACAAGTAGTTGTTTTTTGTTTGTTTTTTTACACAGGCACGAAGTTAAAGCCTCCAGAGCCAGATTTAATTAATTCTGTCAGGATTTCAGCCATCCAACAGAGTCTGGTCCGGCTGAAAACCAGACCAAATACAGGCCCATTAGGTACCAAAATTACAAATCCCAGACATTGATGAATTCCATTAACAATGTCTATATTTTGCAGTCCATATGGCCGGATAATGCAGTGAATGGTTTTGCCATTTCAGACTGATTAATCCATAAGGGCAGGGGTATACCCAACTGTAGCAAGAGAACCCATATGCACATGGTACATTTTTGAGACCTGGGTGGGGACCAAACGAATGGCAAGTTACCAAGTTTCTCTAAGCTTCTGCACGTTCTCGTATTCTGTTTTTGTCACATAAAAATCTTGTGTGAAAATTAACATTGTAATGTATGTCATTTTTTTACGAGGTATGGTTTGTCATTGAACTAAACTAAGGTTGATTGGAAAGTATAATGGTTCTTTCCAATTTATTGATTTTTTTTAATGTTTTTAATTAACCCCTTAAGGACCGAGGACGGTTCAGGACCGTCATCGGCATTTTTGCGTTGCCGACCGATGACGGTCCTGAACCGTCCTAACGGTTTCCGTTACTTACCTGATCGCCGTCGTTCCCCCGGCGGCGATCAGCGTGGCTCCGGTTGTGGGGAGACTGCCTGCAGCCCAGACAGTCTCCCCACGGCAGATTAGGACCCCTGTGGCCATGTGATCGCTTAACACAGCGATCACATGGTCACAATAGGTGTCCATGTGTCTGCCTGCAGGGGGACTGTCTGTGCTGACAGGCAGTCTCCCTGCTTGTGTAAAATCAGAAAAAAAAAATAAAGTTAGTGTTAATTAAAAAAAATAAAATAATTATATATGTGTATATATGATATATAGACATATATTATATTTATATAATATATGTCTATATATCATATATATAATGTCATACTAAGTGTATTTTTATATTAATATGTACTTATATTAATATAAAAATACACTTATAATTAAATTACACACGTATATATATAATATATATAATAACTATATATTTGTATATATATATTATTATAAAATATAAATAATAAGTAATTTAAATTAAATAAAACATTTTTTAAATAATAATAAAAAATTTAAAAAAAATTATATAGCTATATGAAATTTTATTCTAACTGTATTTTAAAATTAATATATATATATTTATATCAAAATACACTTAGAATGAATTTGTATATATATCTATGTATATAAAAATAAATAAAAATAATAAGAAATATACATACGTCCATATACAAAATTACATAAATAATTATATAAATATACACGTAGACTTCAAATATATAAATATGCATATATATTTAAATTCTACGTGCGTATTTATGTAATATTTTTACATAATTCAGTAATTTTATTGATTGCAATTTGAGGGACCTGCCTGCCAACCCAGGCCGAAATTCCAGAGAATTTAATTTGCAAGCACTGTATTTTACCCTGTAACGTTCTACGACACCCTAAAACCTGTACATGGGGGGTACTGTTTTACTCGGGAGACTTCGCTGAACACAAATATTAGTGATTCAAAACAGTAAAACATATCACAGCGATGATATTGTCAGTGAAAGTTACTTTTTTTGCATTTTTCACACACAAACAGCTTTTTTACTGATGATATAATTGTTGTGATACGTTTTCCAGTTTTTAAACACTAATATTTGTGTTCAGCGATGTCTCCCGAGTAAAACAGTACCCCCCATGTACAGGTTTTATAGCATGTTTGAAAGTTACAAGGTCAAATATATGGGTCAAATATTTTTACATTGAAAATGGCCAGGTTGGTTACTTTGCCTTTGAGAGCGTATGGTAGCCCAGGAATGAGAATTACCCCCATGATGGCATACCATTTGCAAAAGAAGACAACCCAAGGTATTGCAAATGGGGTATGTCCAGTCTTTTTTAGTAACCACTTGGTCACAAACACTGGCCAAAATTAGCGTTCAATTTAGTTTTTTACTTTTTTCACACACAAACAAATATGAATGCTTACTTTGGCCAGTGTTTTCGACTAAGTGGCTACTAAAAAAGACTGGACATACCCCATATTGAATACCCTGGGTTGTCTACTTTAAAAAAAATATGTACATGTGGGGTGTTATTCAGAGATTTATGACAGATAATAGTGTTACAATGTCACTATTGATAAATTTTAAAAATGTATGTTTTGAAACCGCAATATTCTACTTGTACCTATAGCCCTATAACATGCAAAAAAAAGCAAAAAAGCACGTAAACACTAGGTATTTTTAAACTCAGGACAAAATTTTGAATCTATTTAGCAGTTTTTTTCATTCGCTTTTGTAGATGAGTAAAAGATTTTTCAAGTAAAAGTCAAAAAACATGTATTTTTTTCAATTTTTCATCAGATTTTTGTATTTTTTTAAAATTAAAATACATGAGATTATATAACTAATGGTATGTAAAGAAAGCCCCTTTTGTCCTGAAAAAAACAATATATAATTTGTATGGGAACAGTAAATGAGAGAGCGGAAAATTCCAGCCAAACACAAACACCACAAAAGTGTAAAAATATGTCTGGTCGCAAATGTACAACATCGCAAAAACAGTCCAGTCCTTAAGGGGTTAAAGGGACACTATAGTCACCTGAACAACTACAGCTTAATGTAGTTGTTCAGGTATGATCTATAGCTCCCTGCAGGCAATCTAATGTAAACACTGTATTTTCATAGAAAATACAGTGTTTACATTGATTGATAGGAATACCTCCAGTGGCCGTCACTCAAACGGCCACCAGAGGGACTTCCTGTCATGTAGGGCCCTAAAAAGGCCTTGTACACGTCAGGCGTATTAAAATACGTCTGACGTGTGCAGGAGAGAGAAGGCACTGTGTGCGCACCTTCTCTCTCCTGCCTGTCAGCAGCGGAGAGGGGGCAGGCAAAGACCGCGAGCTGAGCTGTCAGTCAGCTCAGCTCGCGGCCGCGCACACCACCCATGCGCCTTACTGCGCTCAAGACTTTAGAGGGCGGCATTCTGAAGTATGTGCGCATGTGCGGCGAAGCCGCGCATGCGCACAAGGGAGCAATGACACTTCCAAATGGAAGCGTCTGATTGCTCCCTGCTCGCGCCCGCCTATTTAGGCATTTTGACGAAATAGGGGGCGCGGCTTCACGAGGCTCCCGGCGCTGGAACCAGGTGAGTAAAACGTGTTGGCTGGAGAGTCCCTTGAATACATTTTCAATAACAACACAATAATAAATAAAACAAATTAATAATCGCAATAATAACAGGGTAATAATTGTAACTAACATCATCCGTTTCTAAAAAATAGATAAATATATACACAAACATTATATATACATATACTTACATACACACAAAGTAATATACTGAACAACTAAACAGTAAAGGTTAAGAAAGCCTTATATTAAAAAATTATAAATAAAAACAAACAATTTCAATGCTTATATGAATCAGGTTATAGTTTGTATATAGTGCCGTTTGGTTGGATGTGGTGTAGATGATACTTATAAGCCAAAACGTACTTTGACATCTCTTTTCTCAATTTATTGATATCTGTGTGAAATATTACAAAAAGATATATAGATTCTGTACTTCTCCATTCACTCAATGAATTAATGATACTTCATTTACTAATCCAAGCAGGAAACATCTTAGCTTTTATAAACAATGTAAACCGGCATTAAAGTTTAAAATCACATATGACTCTTCAGTTGCTTTATTTCCTGACGTGATGCATGCATTAAAAAAATCCCGGTGCAGTGCGACTGACAGTACCTGTTGTGAAGCTCCTGGCAGAGGTGCAGTATGCATTGCATGGGATATTGGGAAGAGGGCAAGACTGTAAGTGAGGGCACTCTCAGAATAGATTGTACAATCAAAATAGAAATGTTGTAATCTTAGCAATGGAAACATTGCAGACTGCGGTGTCTGAAATAGGAGAACCTGGTCTGAGTTTTCCCTCTTTCTACAACCTTCAACCCTGTTATTCAGTATCTTTTCTGGGTGTAAGACAACAGAAAGCCTGCCAGATTCCCTGCCGCCAAAAGATATAAAAAACTGTGAGCCATACCAATTTCACTCTCCAACCCATACAATTTCATAAGTGACGTATTACAGGAAGTGCTGTAGAAGCAGGGAATGTCTCAGACTTGTGGCAGGGACAGAAGAGTTAAGAACAGAGGATAATCAGAAAATAGCTTGGAATATACTGTGCAAAAACAAACATCTAGGCTAGGGTAAAGGCACACTATGTTACTCATTTAAGCGGTCATCTATTTCTCGTTCTACCACCAATACAGCAAACTAAACCAGTCTAATCTGTTTTACTGCATTACTGAAATTATTTGAGTTTCGTACGGTTTACTTCTTCAAAACATTTTATATTGAAAGAGGAACTTTATTTAAAGAGAACAGCCACTTCCCAGGTTGTTTAACATTATATTTAATTATCCCTTTATTTAACAAATATGTATTTATAAGGCGTGAAAAAATTAAATGTAAATATAGAAAGCGACACATCTTTATCCTGCAACTTGGTGTCACCGTCTTAGCTCCCCTCCATTATCACATTTGTGTTACTATAGGAGCTCATATATCTAGCAGAATGTGGCATGACATGTTCATTTTTAAAAGAAAACTAGACTAAAGAAACCCTAAAGATATAAATAAAAAAAATACAAATAAGAATATTTTGCCATGTTAGAGTACTGGATACGTTGGAATCATTGTTTATTATGATGTTTCCAGAAATTGGTGATAGCATTACTATAGTATACACTATCCATTATTTTTCAAAATAAGAGATAAAAATGTAGTCCAGCAAATGAAACATTATATTAAGAGTAATCTACATTATTATGGGCACTCCTCAACCCTGAACTTTTCCTAGTCACACTAGTACATTGCAACAAGAACTTTTTTTTTTTTTTTTATTGTTCAAGCATTTAAAAATAGCTAAAAGCTAAAATTATGTTCTTACATTAATCACAGAACAATAATTAGTTTCTCCCTAAACAATGTTAAAAGAAAATAACAGAGACGTCCTGCACATCCATCGCAGTGCCAAATAATTGTGTGAATGATTACAGGTTATAAAAGTTGTCTAATATAAGAAAAACATTCCAAAGTCATCGTATTTAGATTTCCTGTACAGCAGGTTATACACCATTTGGTTAATGTAAAGGGCAGACAGAATTTGGGAGTTAACAATCACATTACACTGTCACAAAGACTGAAAGGGCTAGGTTGTGGTAGTAAAGGATGGTAATTTGGCGAGTTCACACGCTCTGCGTGTGAATCACCACAATGTCTAATGATCTTTTCCTATCAGCTGGGAAATGGTACTCCTTTGTTCAAAGTCCTATTTATTTGGCTTACATTATTACAAACAAATTCTAGCAAGTTAGATGTTAAAGGAACATGAAAACAAATGTGTAGTCTCACTGCTTTAGTGCCCGAGTCAAGGTTTAGGGACCCCCACCGCAAAGCTTAAAGATGTATTTTACTAGCCTTTTATCCCATGCCTTGCCTCTTTCTCCATTAAAGGCTAGTGGGCATGTGCAGCACCAATCACATGAACTCTATGATCATCTGATTTTAATAGCCAAGTTTTACTTGACAGCCACTAGGGGTATTGAAACACTGCAATGTAAACATTAACATTCCTGTAGAATGGCAGTGTTTTACATTGCAGGGCTAAAGCAAGAGGTCATGGTACCCAGACCATTTCAATGAGATTTAGTGGTCTGGTAGCCTATATTATCCTTTTTTTTTTTTGCCTTCTTTTGGATAAGAAGCAAAAACAGACGTGAGAAAGACGCATGTCTCTTTTATATATATATATATATATATATATATTATATATATATATAGCACAGTTACATAGACAGAAAAGAGACATGCGACTTTCTTACATATTATATATTATTTAGTTCCATGGAAATTTGAGGAACCTCTCTGAGCTGGAGGGGGAGAGACTTTGCATTGTGCAAGTTAAGTTTTTAAAGATTTTTAAAAAGCATGATTCTGAATCAGCTGCACTCATGCATCATAGATGTAGAAAGCCTCACTTTAGACACCGTCTAGACAAATGTTTTGCATTCTTTATGCATATTCTACAGCACTGGCATATTACACTTGTATTTAAGAACTGCACCTTTGAATAAGTGGTAATTACAGGTGGTGGGGGGGGGGGGGTTGATTTAGAGCAAGTATTGCTAATATTTGGATATTTGAGGGAGTCACACAGACACATTTAGATACAAATGTTTTAGGAACCTTTCAATGCACGCTTATATAGAGAACCTAACAATGGACACAAAAAGGTATGTCGCAAAGAGTGATCAGAAATTTAGCGAATATTGGGCTCTATCCCAGCAGTGTCATATTTCAATCTGGAGAAAAGCATAACAATCTGCTTCAAATGCAGGGGAGCTGTAACTAAATCCATTATGTAATATCGCAGAATATCTACACTTCTCAGGCAGCAAACATTTAATGCAACATCCAAGCTTCTATTCTGTCAATAATATTGTTGAAGGGTTACTCCAACCAACATGCCCACTTCAGTGATTTGATGAGGTCATGGTGCTAGGAGTCTATGTGCAGTGTTTCTGTTTGGTTTGCTACACCCCAACATGATTCCGGGCTTCCTAACGTGAATTCTGTGCACATTTTACATCTGCCGTCAATGCGCACAGCACAATGGTGACAGATGTAAAGATCTTTTCCATTGCGGGAAGGTAGCTCTCCCTTCCCTTCCACCTTCTGTGAGCTCCCTACCGCCTCCCTCAACTGACAGGAGGTTTTCCCAGTCCTGGATTTCAGGTAAGCTGTAAACATTTTTTTTTGGTATTAATGATTCAGCACCAATGATAATTACATCTACATTAAATGTTTCAGAGTTGATTGGAAATTTTTTTTTGTTTCCGAGCAACCAGTTAGAACTTAGAGCAGAAAGTAATTTGGTCAATATTTACACATGATTTGCAACAACATTTTTCTTTGTACAAACTATGGAGATAAGATTTAATTTTCCACATATTTTGCTTCTTTCATGGATGCAAAGGTTAAAGGGACACTATTGTCACCAGAACAGGTTAATGTAGTTATACTGGTGTCTACAGCTTGTCCCAGCAGGTTTTTCAAAACTCTGTATTTCTTAATTTCAATTGTAGGAAATCAATTACACTTTTGATGTATTTGGAACCATAAATAAAATATACATAACACAAGATACAGATTGAAATCAGTTATGGCGGGCAACATAGTTAAGGGTTCGGATAGCCAAGGCTCAATTAGTTTTGTAATGCTTGTCCCAATTCTAAATTGAGAGAAGGGCTCAAGTGTATGTCTGCAGAACTGTGTTTAAAAGACTCTTTAGAGCAGGGGGCCAGGGTTCCCAATTAATTTTTCCCATGGAACCCTCCCCCCTCCCCCCCAGGTCAACGTGTGTATATCTGTGTGTGTGTGTGTGTGTGTGTGTGTGTGTGAGAATATATCTGACACACAGATACACACAGTGTATATCTGTGTGTCAAATTGTGTGTATGTGCCAGTGTGTATGAATCTGACACACAGATACACACACTGGCAGATAGCAGCACATAAATACACACACCTCGTGCCAGTGTGTGTATTTTTTTTGTGTGTGTGTGCGCGCGTGAATATATCTGACACACAGTGTGTATCTATGTTTCAAAGTGTATGTATCTGTGTTTGTATGCTCGCGTGTGTGTGTATGTATCTAACACACAGACACACACAGTGACATATACACACTGACACACTCGGATACACACACACACTGGCACATACACTTAGATACACACAGTCTCTGACAGACACACATACAAACAAACGCATTCACCCTCTCACTGACAAGAACAGATACATTCTCACTGACAAACACATACACTCTCACTGACAAGCCCACATATACTCTTTGACAGACACACAAACACACATAAAACCCCCTAACAGAAATGCATACAATTTATTTATTTTTTTAATTTTATTCCACCCAGTCCCCCTACCTTTAGGAGTAATGGCATGGGGTCCCTAGGGTCCAGTGGGGCTGCTGAGCGTGCATTCCCTGGGGTCCAGTGGGGCTGCTGAGTGGCTGGCGGCAAGGTAGCAGTAATCTCCCTGCTCAGCTCCCTGGTGCGCCTCTTAGTGATGCCGGAGTGACATCATATTCCGGCTTCAGCATCACTGCTGTGCACGCGAGGGAGATCACTGCTCACTGTAACCCAGGTTCCCTGGAACACCAATTGGGAAACGCTGCTCTAGAGGGTATTCTGTACCACTCTATAATACAGTACATTCTTTGAGGAGTGATTGTGCTGTACATAGTAGCTAATTTGAAGCTTTTAATATTCGTGATAATGTTCTACTGTTGTTGTAGTATAGTTCCATGCGTGAAGCTCAATGTAGTGTACTGGAATAACTGTGGGTGTAAGGGTAGTTAGCATAGGCGTGCGCATGGGGTGTGCCGGGGCACGCCTATGTATCGAGACCGGCAGGGGAGATCTCAGGATCCCCCCTGTCGCCTCATGCAGCGCCGGCTCTGCTCTCAGCCTCCCTCCCCACAGGCAGGGAGGGAGGCAGGAGAGGACCCGGGGAGCTCTTCCCATCAGCTCCGCCGGGTTCCTCTCGCGAGATCTGAGCGTTGCCGCATTTACCGCGGCAACACTCAGATCTCGCGAGAGTGAACTCTAGCCCTGCAGGCTAGAGTTCACTCTCACCACTAGGACCACCAGGGATCCCCCCCTTCCCTGGCATAATGTAACAAGGGAGGGGGGGATATTAAGCAATCTGCCCCCACCTCCAATGGACCACCAGGGAAGGCAGCAGCACGGTCCCCCCTCCCTACATAAGGTAAGAAGGGAGGGGGGATCTTTATTAACTAATCTGCCCCCACCTCCACCCCCACAAATCACCCAAACAGCACCCACACACACACACACACACACACACACAGCACCCACACATACACCACACAAACAGAACACATCACACACAGCACACTAACAGTACCCTCACAAGCGCACACACACACAAACAGCCACATAGCACACTACCAGCACCCTCACACACAGCAGTGTGTGTATATATATATATATACACACACACACACACACACACACACACATACATACAAACATATACGTGGCGTGTGCTTTAGGGTGCACACCCTAATGCAATAGGCTGCGCACGCCTATGGTAGTTAGTAGGGTGAGGGGAAGTAGGTAGAATGGAGAGTTGCAGAAATGTAAGGGGTATAAGTGATCAGTAGTACAGGTGTCCACAATGTATCCCCTCTCCTCCTCCTAAATATAGCGTGAGTAAACAAGGGTAAAGAGGTTGTTTGGAGGGGAGCGTAACCTTTTACTTTTAGTATAATAATTATCAAGGAGTCTCCATCCAACCAAGGGTCCCATATATATTATGGAATGCCTTGGGAATGTCATGGATTTGAGAGGTTGATTTGTCCATGACTATGCTTTCTTGAATCTTTTTCACTATCATTGAGATGGAGAGAATCTGTAGTGGCCCATACTTCTCTTATTGCTCTGTAGGCAGCCAGTGCTATTCTCGCTGCAAGTTTGTTTTTGGCTCTTGTGAAAGGGTCGATATGATTTGAGAGCAAAAGTGCCTATGGCTCTAATGGGTAAGGCTTGCCTAAAATTCTAGAGAGTATAGTTGTTATGTTAACCCTTAGTGGTTTCAGTTTGAGGCAGTACCTTCAACAGTGGAGGAAAGTACCAGTCTCTCAACACTGCTTCCAGCATAGGCTTGAAGAGAGTGGATGCTGTGGAGTCAAGTACAATCTGAATAAAAAAATGTAAGCTTGTTCCTTGTGTGTCACTAGCAAGTCCCGCAACAGGCGGGATGCCCAGGCAGTCTCATCCAAAACGGGGCAGGTCAGTTAAAAAAAGGGACTGACTTGACAACAGCTGAAGCGCTCCATGTATGGTTATAATGCCCACTGCACAGCACAAGTCTAATAATGCACATGCGCTATGCTCAGGAGCAGTTCAGTAGAGCTCTGAAATGCGGGACACCAGGAAACTAAAGAGGGACAGCTGTACAGCACCCCAAAATCATGACTGTCCTGCCTGAAAGTGGGACAGTTGAGAAGAATGATATTGCAGTTCATTTTAATACCTTTTTCTTTGGACTAACAGCTGATGAGTGCATGTATTGTCAGCAGCCAATAAGAAGTAGAAATTCAAACACATGAGCTGTTCAATTCCCATCATTCTTCTGGGCAGGAAGAGGACATTGTTTTAAATTCATTTTTTATTTTTTGAAATCTGTGTGCCACAATGAAGTCCAGTCTAAAGGGTTACTCCAGTCAAAAATAATAAAAGCACTGACACATTTAATTTTAATAAAATAAACTAAACTGGTGAACAGATATAAAAAATATTAAAATATAAAAACACAACAACCTTTAAAGAAAACATACTGTAGCTCAGACAGATATTAATTTTTTTTTGCTATACAGACCTTTCAAACACTCTGCAGTTCAACATGGTTGAGTGCACTAAATAAGCTTCACTAATTAATATGGCTACTCCTTTCTGCTTTAATGGGGTGGATTACTTTAAGCGTAACACACTTGAAGGGGAGGCACAATGCTATGTCCCTTAATAACTATCAAATTTCCTTTGAATGCTACTATTATACATATATATTTACTGACTCAGTGAACTATTAAACTATTTCAGTTAAATAGTGTAATGGAAGTGTGTAAATGGAAATGTGTCATCAGTTTTCATGTGGTCATATAAAAATATAAATACAGGTGTTGGTGCACGTATAATTAATATAATTGCTTACTTGTATAAAGGTATATTTATTGGCTCTCGGAATTAAGCACTCAGTGTGACTGGAATTGCAATGCTTGCTTCTGAAGTGAACAATGAAAAACATTTTTAGCATCATTTGCTTCACTGTCCTGATATTTTGTGCTGAGAGCACATTAAAAAGACTGCTAACAAATTCACCCCACCCCCATCACTTCACTGGTTTACCTCACAAGAATATCTCCCTAATGTATATTAGTACAAACTCTAAAGAGACACCCTAAGCACCAAAACCACTTCTTCATCTTAACATTGTGGTTTCAGTGCAAAGACTCTGTTCTTTTTCTTGGGGAATGCAATGTGTTCAGAGAAACAGTAACGATTGCAGTTAGCTAAGAACATGCCTCTCAGACAAGCAGCCACAAGAAGCACTTTCTCACTTCTGAAGGTCTTTACGACAGGTGTCATGACATACAGCATGACAATGTCAAATGCAGCGAATGCTACTTTAAGAAAAGTAAGGGATTGCAGTGATTATTGTACAAGCACTATATTGTAGGTCCTCAATGCTTCTCTATGAAAAACCACATCACTAGATACAGCATTCAGACTAACAACCACATCATGGGAGGGAACAGCTGCAGAGAAAAGGCTGTGTTGGTGCTAAAACTTGACTCCAAGAATGTATTTTGCTGTTTTGAACAGCAATAAAGCTTGTTAGACAGTCAAGGGAGCAATATTATAGAAAAGGTTGGAGCTTAAATTAAGTTTTCTTTTTCCCTTAAAGGCACATAGAGCACCCCTAAAAAATATGGTCATATGTTTTAAAGGAACACTTTGGACCTCTAAAGCACTTTAGCTTGCTCAAATCCTTTACATGTGAAGAGTGTGTGCTCTTTTTTTTTCAGACAACAGGTCCTGTTACCGTGTTTCTCCGAAAATAAGACCGGGTCTTATATTAATTTTAGTCCCAAAAAACACACTAGGGCTTATTTTCAGGGTAGGGCTTATTTATTTATGGTACCGGTATGTACATTTTACCCCCCCTTTAATTAATCCACCCCCTCTAATAATCCACCCCTCCTTTAATTAATCCACCCCTCCTTTAATTAATCCACCCCTCCTTTAATTAATCCACCCCCCTCTAATTAATCCACCCCCCTCTAATTAATCCACCCACTCTAATAAATCCACCCCTCCTTTAATAAATCCACCCCCTCTAATAAATCCACCCCCCGTTTAATTAATCCAACCCCCCTTTAATAAATCCACCCCCCTCTAATTAATCCAGCCCCCCCTTTAATTAATTCACCGCCTCCTTTAATTAATTCATCGCCCCCTTTAATTAATTCAGTCCCAGACATAAAATATCTACTCACATTTCAAAGATGCCTTCCTTGCCCGCCGAGTCCGACCACTGGGTGCCTCACCGCCCGGAAATGGATCCTTCCGCTGAAGATCCGTGAAGGCAGACTGACGACGCTGCGCACGTCGTCATCACGTTGCGCGATGCCGCGGCCTGCAACGCTCCTCCTCCTCCTCATAGAAGAAGGAAGTCCCGCCGGGCCGAAAGGTACAATGCCTAGGTCTTATTTTCGGGGTAGGGCTTATATTGCAGCCCACCCCGAAAATTCAGCTAGGTCTTATTTTCGGGGTAGGGTGTATTTTCGGGGAAACACGGTACCTCCTGGTAGATTAGCTCACTCAAGAGGCTACAATTGCACCTGCCTTGCAAAGATTTTTCTTACTGGAAAGTCTGTTATTGGGCAGCCACAGAAAGTCAGTTTGTGGTTAGCAGAGAAGGGCTTGCAAAGGATGCAGGCAAGATAACTACTTTTTTGCAAGCTGTTTTTAGATATACCACCAATGACAAAACACATGCATTAATATGGGATTTATCTACTACACTGTGATTTTCTTTTTTATTTGGGCAGTGGAGTGTTCATTTCATTTATGCTACCATGTGAAAAAAAGATTATGTCCTTTTAAGCAGCTAACAAGACCTTTTATCAACCATAGCTTCAGAAAAGAGAATATTTTTAATGCCTTACGCATGGTGTCTCAAATTGACCTGCACATTCACTCAAGCAGATAAAAACAGTCAAATCCTCTGTGTAATGCTTTTAATGAGCAAAAGGTAAAAAAAAAAGAAATTCTCAGTGGAATTATTCCAAATCAATTTAAAAAAATTATCACATCATTTCTAATGCATTGTTCTGAGGAGAAGTAATTTGTAAAATGTGAAACTCTGCTGATATTTTAACTTTGTTTTCCCATTATAATGAACTAGCTGATTGGAAAGAAAAACTAGTTCATGAAAATGGTTCACTTGTAGCCAGCCTGTAAGACAATGAAGAATTCAAAAGCAATTTAAAGTTGAAGGTAACCTGTTCCAAAAATGGAAAACACAAGGCCACCAATTCAAAAACAACATCAGCGCTACAGGACAAAAACTAGCAATAGAAAACAGGTGTTTTGAGAATTGTGCCCGATGTGATGTTAATCCTGATGACATAGGTGTTGGATTGGGATACAACCCATGTAAGCTCCAATTTGGGGACAGCATCAAAGCACGGCAGACAGGAAATTAAAAGGATGGGTAAAATAGCGAACACAAAAAATCCTTACATGGGAGAAATGAAAGGTCTGACACTATAGGATCTCAATATACACAAAAAAGGGGGACAATCTGCTAAACCAAATAACAAGAACCGTACATAGCGTAATACTGTATATATAAGTAAACCAAATGTAAGATTCACAAGTGGCCACTCACACTCTTGTTGGAATTAGAAAGCCTTTAAAGTAGTTTTCTTTTTCAGCATATATGCCCTTTTAAATTCAATTCTTCCATCTCTATTGGTATCTCTTGGAATAGTTGAAAGGTGTGTGCTCAAGAGAGAAATAACAAAATTGTAGTGCACATTCAAAAATAGAATTAAAAAAGTATTTAATAACTTACATCAAGGTATAAAACAATTCTCACTGTCACCACTAAGGGTCCTACGCGTTTCGTCCATATATAGGACTTCCTCAGGAACTTCAGTGACCAGCAGTGACCAAGAAACAAATCAATAATAAAAAAACCTCCCCTCCTCCACCCTTTATACCTCCCCACAATGTCCACATAATCTTCTATTTCGTTCAGGTTTTTTCCGATTTTCGGTCTGGCATTTCTGACGTAATTCTGTGCGACTTTCATATGTTTATGCGTTCCACCATGCGTTCCATTGCCGAAACCGGAAGTTTGCCGTAATCAATCTGTTATTACTCTATGTTCCACTCGGGAACAAGAGCAATCAGTATATGTGAACCGGAGGTAGAGAAGAGAGGGGGAATGTTGTTAAATTGTCTTGAATGGCACTACTCCATACTATTAGACACATATATAGAATGGCACTACTTAATACTATATAATCAATTTAAACATACACATAAATATGTAGATGTGTAAAACATGTAAATATATATTAATAAAAATGAAATAGAATAAAAAATAAGAATAAAAACAAAATAAAAATAAAAATAATGAAAAATAAAAGATAAAAATAAAAATGAAAATAAATCAAAAAAATATGAGAAAATATAAAAATATACTATAATCAATAGAATAGACATTTCTTAACTAGAGCACACACAGTTTAAAGGTGAAAAAACGTGACATCCCAACTTATGTTGTATTTTCTCTTTCTTTATTTTGTGAGGTATAACGATATCCCTCATACCTCCAAATCAATTTTAAAAGATACATTTGATTTGAAGTCAATATAGAAATTAGATTTGAATTTATTAAATTTAAATATGGGATACAAAAATAGATTTGAATTTATTTAAATATGAGATACGAAATAGAACGAGATGGAATTTTATATAGAATTCAATTTAGAATTAGAGTGGTTAAAGTACGATTAGAATTAAACATTTTAATTCAATTTAATTTGAAATTCCATCTCGTTCTATTTCGTATCTCATATTTAAATAAATTAAAATCTATTTTTGTATCCCATATTTAAATTTAATAAATTCAAGTCTAATTTCTATATTGACTTCAAATTAAATTTATCTTTTAAAACTGATTTGGAGGTATGAGGGATATCGTTATACCTCACAAAATAAAGAAAGAAAGAGAAAATACAACATAAGTTGGGATGTCACGTTTTGTCACCTTAAAACTGTGTGTGCTCTAGTTAAGAAATGTCTATTCTATTGATTATAGTATTTTTTTTTTATATATATACACACACTCAAATATTTTTATATATATATATTTTTTCATATTTTTTTATATTTTCTCATTTTATTTATTTTCATTTTTATTCTTTTTCATTTTTATTAATATATATTTACATGTTTTACACATCTACATTTTTAAGTGTATGTTTAAATTGATTATATAGTATTAAGTAGTGCCATTCTATATATGTGTCTAATAGTATGGAGTAGTGCCATTCAAGACAATTTAACAACATTCCCCCTCTCTTCTCTACCTCCGGTTCACATATACTGATTGCTCTTGTTCCCGAGTGGAACATAGAGTAAGAACAGATTGATTATGGCGAACTTCCGCTTTCGGCAGTGGAACGCATAAACATATGAAAGTCGCACAGAATGACATCAGAAATGCCGGACCAAAAATCGGAACACCTGAATGAAATAGAAGATTATGTGGACATTGGGTGTAGGTATAAAGGGTGGAGGAGGGGAGGTTTTTTTTTATTATTGATTTGTTTCTTGGTCACTGAAGTCCCTGAGGAAGTCCTATATACGGACGAAACGCGTAGGACCCCTAGTGGTGACAGTGAGAATTGTTTTATACCTTGATGTATGTTATTAAATACTTTTTTATTCTATTTTTGAATGTGCACTACAATTTTGTTATTTCTCTCTTGAGCACACACCTTTCAACTATTCCAAGAGATACCAATAGAGAAGGAAGAATTGAATTTAAAAGGGTATATATGCTGAAAAAGAAAACTACTTTAAAGGCTTTCTAATTCCAACAAGAGTGTGAGTGGCCACTTGTGAATCTTACATTTGGTTTACTTATATATACAGTATTACGCTATGTACGGTTCTTGTTATTTGGTTTAGCAGATTGTTCCCTTTTTTGTGTATATACTGTTGAAGACAAGAGGAAGTCTTTGGGGAATTCCACCCGGCCAGGGAGGTATTTTTCTGCTTATTGCTAATTGAGCACTTTTTGCACTATGGTTTGTGTACACATCTATTGCTTGTTTGTATCTTTGTACTATAGGATCTCAATCCAGGGACGGATTTCCCAGTTTTGGAGGGGACACTATAGTCACCCAGACTTCATCTCAATGCATTGGGCTGGATGCAGTGTCCCTATCCGTTTAACCCTGCAATGTAAAAAACATTGCTCTTCCCCCTCCCTCAAAAAAATACAATGTTTACACTGCAGACTTAAAGGGACAGTATAGTCACCTGAACAACGTCAGCTTAATGAGGTTGTTCAGGTGAGAACTATAGCTCTCTGCAGCCTCTCTCATGTAAACACTGTATTGTCTAAGAAAATACAGTGTTTACATTGAAAGCTAGGAACACCTCCAGTTTCAGTCACTCAGAGTGAACCAGAGGGACTTCTGAGTTGTTGGAGGCATAATATCCACTCAGATCTGCTGTGCACGAGCATCCTGTGATTCAGTATCTCCTCCCACTCCATGCAGACACTGAACTTTCCTCATAGATATTCATTGATTCAATTCATCTCTATGAGGAGATTCTGATTGCCCAGGGCTGTGTTTGAATCATGCTGGCTCTGCCCCTGATCTGCCTCCTTGTCAGTCTCAGCCAATCCTATGGGGAAGCACAGTGATTGGATCAGGCTATCACAAGTCAGCAGACTGCTTGTTTTTCCTGAGTCTAACAGCATGCAGATTTACAGCTTCTGGCTTGAATACAGTAAGATTTTTGCTATATTTATGGAGGCATGAGGGGCCCAGGGGGGCTAGATGGTTGTGTTAACACTATAGTGTCCAGAATACATGTTTGTGCTCCTAATACTATAGTATTCCTTTAAGGACACAAGCTCTTTCTTTGTTTTTGCTATGTATTTGTGCAACAGAAATTTCCCTTTTTACTCATTTTTTGCACTAACACATATTACATAATTTTTTTTAAAGGACATTGAGGCTTTAATTCAAAATTATACATACATTCTCATTTATAATAAATTGCAAAACAAAACACTTTTTTCACAGTTTTGACAATGTGTACATAATTATTGCAGTTTAAGAAACATAAATCAAAATAAACTAAATTATATGTCTAGGATTTTAGATTATTTTTGCTAGTTACAGATCACTTAATACAAGGAGTAAATTACAATTTTAATGTTGAGCGGTTTTAGAATTTAAAATGTTTTTCTAATTAGCCATTACAGAAAATAAAATTTCCACCAAAGTATATATAATGTAGTAAAAGGCTTATCAGGGTATTTACATGAGTGTTTTGACACGTTTACCTAGCTATTTAACAGGCAATCTGATAAAAACTGGAGTTAAATTGTGATCCTAATCATAAACCTAACAGCATTTGTATTAGAGGGATTCCCTCTGATATCAGCAGAGGGGTACTCTTGTTGGTGCTAATCCTAACCCTTAACTCAAATGCTATCGGTAACCCTAGAGTGTTAGAAGGATTTACTCTGCTCATGTGAGCAGAGAGAACTCCAGACAGTGCAGTGCACTCTCTAGTAGCATGCAAGAGATTCTACTAAATCAGATTGTCACAAAATGAATTAGATTGCGCCAGCAGCCATAGTCACTCGCAGTGAGCAGTGCTGGGCAGCATGCATGGCTCAGCGCTTAGCACCCTCTGAAGCCGGTGATCACGCCGCTGGGGTTTTACAGGAAGATTGGGATCTCCTCAGACCCTGCATGTCTCCCCCTGTCAGTGGGATTCCCAGTGCTGTCAGAAATTATGTCACCAAGACTGTGGCTGAATCCAGAAGACTAACACAATTTACATGTAATTTGAAATGTTTTACTCAATTATGTAATTCCCAAGGAAGTGACAGTTCTCCTTAAATATGTTGCTTCATGCATGTTGCAATGGCAGCCTAGGCACTGCATACATATATACCAACTTCAACTGCCTTATTGTGAACAAGATACCCCTGAAATTCAATTTGTTGACTAACGATATTAGGAAAGTATGACAGATTTGTGTCCGACTCATTTTTGAATGTGTTATAACAAATAATGCAAAACAATTAAAAAGCCCTCCACGGCTGCCTGTACACTGCAGAGGGGGCCCAGCACACTCCGTCTTAACTTTACAGCTGATCCTCTGTCTAGCTCTTGTGAGCCCTGCGGCCGTCAGAGCGTTGCCACTTTGCATGGCACGCAGCCTAGGTTCGCGAGAGTTAGACAGAGAAGAGCTACTGTCAAATGAAGATGGCGCTGGCTGGGCCCGCTTTGCAGTGTACTGCTGCTGGCTCCCACCACCATGCCACAGGTAGAAAGCAAAAAGGGTGGAATATAATAAATTGTACTAAAATAAATGTAACTAACAAAAAATGCCCTTTCCCCCCCCACAAAATGTAGACCCTATGTTACACAACATTTGCACACATTACAAGCCTATACAAACAAACACTCTGCATTCACTATACACAAAAACACTACATTCATTACACATATGTGCAATCTGCATTCACTTTCTACACACACCACATCCACGTTACACTCACACTCTGCATGTACAACACACATTCTACATCCACTATGCAAACACCGCATTCTTGTGGACGGACTCGGCTGTGTCAGGGGCTCCAAACGTTCTGATGGCAGCCCTGGCTGTACCTACATTCGGTGTTTAACCATTTTCTCAGTGGTGTAACACTAAATATGGGTCCCTGGCCCCTCACTGGAGGCATGCCAACTCATGGTAATGCTTATTTAGCTCAAGCAGCACAGAGGGGTTGGGCTGTTGGAGACCTTTACTTAGCATTAAAACACTTAGAAATGGTTGAATGCGGAATAAAAGCATTCTTTTGCCTTTTAAATATTTTTGTTTTGCTTTACAATCCTTTAAGTGAAAGATGATTTAAATGTTGCAAGTTAATAAAATACAAAAATAAATATGTAATTGGTTGGTGAGGAAGCTTAGCATGGTATTGTGATATCTGATGAAAGGGAAATACAGGGATACCCTGTTTAACGCTATCCCGCATAGCGCTGATTCGCTATAGCGCTGTTACCGTACTAGTACTCGCAAAGCACTAAACCCCGCTATAGCGCTGTTTTTTTCCGTGCGCGACCCGCTTAACGCTAAAAGAGCGTGACTGCGTCGTTACAGCGTTAATAGGGGCAGCATGGGAGAAGGAACTAGTGAGAGCCAGAGAGAGAGACAGCAAAATCCAACCTGGAAAATCCATTGGCAAGGTGCAGAATACTTTCTTTGTTTCCTTGTTTTTAATAATGTGATTATTATTAGCTGTCTAATACAATTTTTCCCCCTTGTTTCTTTGTTCCCTTTGTTTCCTGTAACTTTCTTTGTTCCCTTGTATTTAAAAATGTGATTATTAATTATACAATATTCCTCTGGATGTCAAGATCCAAGTACTAGACCGCCTGGATAAAGGGGAGCACCAGGTGGATATCGGGGCAGATATTCATTTGCCTACCTCCACTATCCGCACTATCCTCAAAAACAAGGATAAGATCCGCACTTCAGCAACGACCAGCACTGCTTCTTCAGCCAAGAAGATCACCCGCTCCAGATCCTACGCTCTTGAGATGGAGAAGAGGCTTTCCATATGGATAGATGATGAGCTGATGCGTAACATGCTTCTCAGCCAGGCCATCTTGATGGAGAAGGCGAAGAGCATTTACGCTTACATACAGAGTCAAGATCCAGATGTGATGGAGAGTTTTGCAGCAAGTAGAGGTTGGTTTGACCGCTTTAAGAAAAGGTACAACTTCTACAACCTTAAGATCACCGGTGAAGCGGCAAGTGCGGATACTGGAGCTGCTGCAGCCTTTCCAGCCTCTTTAAAGGACGTGGTGGATAGACGGAGCTATGCACCACAGGTTGTCTTCAATGTGGATGAGATCAGGCTCTTCTGGAAGCGGATGCCAAGCCGCACGTTCATCTCCAGGGAGCAGAAAAGAGCACCAGGCTTTAATGCGGCGAAAGACAGGCTGACCCTTCTTTTGGGTGGGAATGCCAGCGGTGACTTCCGTATAAAGCCATTGCTGGTGTACCACTCCCAGACACCGAGGGCAATGAGGGGCATTAGCAAGTCCAGCTTGCCAGTAATTTGGAAGGCAAACAGGAAGGCATGGATCACCAGGGATATTTTTACAGAGTGGTTCACTGACCCTTTCTGCCCTTCCATGCAGCGTTATTGTCAGCGCAAGAGACTGGAGGAGAAAGCGCTGCTCATCATGGACAATGCGCCGAGCCACCCGACTAACTTGGCTGAGCTGCCCACCTGCATTCCTGTGGAGGTCCTGTTCCTACTGCCAACACAACGTCGCTTATCCAGCCTATGGACCAGGATGTGATTGCCACCTTCAAGGCCTACTATCTCCGCCGGACATTCCATCAGCTGATTGAACGGACCGCGAGGACAAGCAGTCAATGTTGGACTTCTGGAAGCAGTACCACATCATGAAGGCTGTCTCCAACATTGATCTTTCCTGGAAGGAGGTGACACAGCAGTGCCTCAAGGCTGTGTGGAAAAAGATCTGGCCAGAGCTGTCTGAGGATGTGCAACTACCAGAGCCCATCATAGCGGAGATAGTTGACCTTGTGACCACAGCTGGACTAGGAGACATAGATGCTCAGGACATTGAGCAGTTAGTCCAGGCTTCAGGTGAGAGCCTCAACAATGAGGATCTTGAAGAACTGGCTGATCAGGGCACACAGAAACCTCAGAACACCAGCGACTCGGACACTGAGCCTCCAACTTTCCTCTGAGCTCCTAAATGGGGCATTGCATCAGGTCAATAGCAGCAAGAAGCATAGACAAATGACCCTTGACTAATTTGTGGCCAAAAAAAGAGGACTGTTACTTTAATTTGGTACTGTTTATTTAATTTATTGGGTGCAAAACCCTTAGTTCATTTAGCTTTTTATTTATGCTGTTGTGTGCAGTTCACAGCAAGTAAAAAAAGTTTTAAAATTCTATTGGTGTTGTGTCTTTTTTTCAAAGTTGATTCCCTATGCCTATCTTCCCCATGTTAACCCCTTAAGGACACATGACATGTGTGACATGTCATGATTCCCTTTTATTCCAGAAGTTTGGTCCTTAAGAGGTTAAACTGCCCCATTTAGAGCTGTTTTGCTTAGCACTCATAGCAGTTGGAAGTTAAGCGAGGTATTCCTGTAGGTCAAAAGTTAGTTGTAAACGGGCTAATTCCTACCACAACCTCACCAAATTCTAAAGTATCAAAGGAAACAGACTAAAATTACACCTGTGCATTATTTTGTATAAACCGACGCACACATTCAACTGGTTTGTCTAGTTAAGATTTTGTAGACAAACAATGTTCAAAGTAGAAAAATTAGGTTTGTTGATGTATCTACAGACGGAAAACTGGAAAGTAAATTCACAGAAGGCAGGACGCTGATTTACACTGTTTTGTACCCACACAGATTTCATTGTCTGTCAAACTTCCCAAAATATGTCCCAACTTTCCTCACCAAAGTTTCTAAGATTCCATAATAACACGATAATACCATTATAACAGATCAATTCACTCAATCTGCCAAAAAAAAAGGTCTCTGCTGATCAAATCTTAATAATTTATTCTGAAATTGTGGTTGCTCTACAGTAGATATGCATCAGGTGAACATTGGTATGTTGTCAGACAGTATCCAGATTTGATTTTTAAAAAATGGGAGATGTAGTTGTACTGATTAAGCTAGGCAGCACTCTTTCCTCTTGACAGAAACTGCAAGTGGGTGTAAACCATTAGGCAGAGTGTATTGCAGACACTACCAATGATATGTGGATAGACATAATCCAGTATCTAGATTTATGGTGCTAACTGCCACGAAGGCTAAATTAAAGCCCATTGCCAGACTTCCATATTTACTAAGTAGCCAAATATATATACAAAAATGATTAAACCCGAAAATAGAAGTTAAAACAGTTGAAGTAGGTCTACGGTCGAAAAGATTAGTTCCCAAATCCCCTCTGATCAAGAAATAAAACAAAACTATCAATCAGGTAAAACAGCCACTTTAGTTAAAACCACTCAGCATATACCCAAAGTAGAAACTGGTATGTGTCCCATAAATGTCAAAATTACATTTCTAACTTGAGAAAATCTGGATGGATGCTATAGAGATTCTAGAATGTGGCTTTAAGCGTTATGATTACTGTTGCTGAATATTACCCACTGTAAGAAGCATCTACAGGCTGTTGTTGCATTGTGGATAGCCAAGTCTAATTTACAAATAATAAAAATAAAGTAATTATAGTTAACCAATATAAGCCATTAATTAATGTTTCATCAAACTGAAATATCTATATTTTTGGACTCTGTTAAAACAAATACATAAGGGTCTATTCACTAAACAGCAAGTTTAGAGAGGGAAAGCAAAACTAAAACCAGGGTATCCACTAAAGTCTGGTTTGTAATACATTAAATTCTGGATGGCAAATTCAGGCAACAGTAGCTTATCTGGAAAAATTAGCTCACACTACTATAGTCACAGCTTGGCAACCTGGCCTCTATTTTACCATTCCGATTTTAATTTGCTACAGTGTCTAAGTGTCTAAATGTGAGATTTTATCTAATCTGGCTATTTTAGCTTATATTTCACAAACTGCTGCTTAGTTAGCAACCTCATAATGTAATAGTACTTTTTCTCAATAAAGAAACTTTCATTTACAATTAGCTTATCACAAATCACCAAATTGTTTATTCCCTAAACTGAATGAAAATGAAAAATTCAGGCTAAATGGCCAAGCTGTGACTGAATACAGTATAGTGGAGTAGGAGATTTTCTCTAAACTATTTTGGCATAAAATGTATGGCTATGGTTTCCATTTCCCTTGCAGTGATCTTGAGTTTCTAAGTGAACAAACCCCTAAGAATTCTTTCAATGCCACTTCATCACCCTGATCTGGTTCTGAATACCCCAATTAAAATCTAACAACATACCAATGGCTCACACATGTTAACAGTCAACAAGTAGCAACAATGTAACAGTAGCATAACAACCCACAACATCCCAAACTGTGTGTATCTTCATACTCTATGACCAGGATACCCAGCCTGTCCAACTATGGCACAGTAACTGCCCCCTGCATTGTATCCAGATATATTAATACTGTGCCATTCATTTTATCCTGATATATTATGTGCCATTCATTGTATCCAGATATATTAATGCTGTGCCATTCATTGTATCCAGATGTTTAATTCCCAATCCCTGTCTTGCAGTGTCTATCACTGACACACTGTGTATTGGTTATTTTCACCCATTGCTTATAGTATACACAGGCTTCACCAATGGCGCACACACACTCACATACTGCCAGTTAGTGCCCCTACCTACCTCGTTCACAGTGTGCCAGTTAGTGCCCCTACCTACCTCGTTCACAGTGTGCCAGTTAGTACCCCTACCTACCTATATCCCCCGTTCACAGAGTGCCAGTTAGTGCCCCTACCTACCTATATCCCCCGTTCACATACTGCCAGTTAGTACCCCTACCTACCTATATCCCCCGTTCACAGAGTGCCAGTTAGTGCCCCTAGCTCGTTCAGAGAGTGCCAGTTAGTGCCCCTACCTATCCCCCGTTCACAGAGTGCCAGTTACTGCCCCTACCTATCCCCCGTTCACAGTGTGCCAGTTAGTGCCCCTACCTACCTTGTTCACAGAGTGCCAGTTAGTGCCCCTACCTACCCCGTTCACAGTGTGCCAGTTAGTACCCCTACCTACCTATATCCCCCGTTCACAGTGTGCCAGTTAGTGCCCCTACCTACCTCCCGTTCACAGAGTGCCAGTTAGTGCCCCTACCTACCTCCCCCGTTCACATGTGCCAGTTAGTACCCCTACCTACCCCCGTTCACAGAGTGCCAGTTAGTGCCCCTACCTACCAGTTAGTGCCCCTACCTATCCCCCGTTCACAGAGTGCCAGTTACTGCCCCTACCTATCCCCCGTTCACAGTGTGCCAGTTAGTGCCCCTACCTACCTTGTTCACAGAGTGCCAGTTAGTGCCCCTACCTACCCCGTTCACAGTCCAGTTAGTACGTTCACAGTGTGCCAGTTAGTGCCCCTACCTACCTCGTCCACAGTGTGCCAGTTAGTGCCCCTACCTACCCCCGTTCACAGAGTGCCAGTTAGTGCCCCTACCTATCCCCCGTTCACAGTGTGCCAGTTAGTACCCCTACCTACCCCCGTTCACAGAGTGCCAGTTAGTGCCCCTACCTACCTCGTTCACAGTGTGCCAGTTAGTGCCCCTACCTATCCCCCGTTCACAGAGTGCCAATTACTGCCCCTACCTATCCCCCGTTCACAGAGTGTCAGTCAGGACACCTGCCGGCAGTGCCCACTAACCTGCTCGGTGCTGTCTGCCAGTGCCGGTGATTGGCGGTCATTGCTGCGGGTTTCCCCCAGGCTGCCATTGGCCGCTCGGCGCTGTGCCGGTGGTGCGGTGTGCTCCATGCTGTGCGCTCGCTGTCAGTGCTCCCCCAGGGCGGCCAGCAGGCAGCGCTCAGCCTCCCGGGGCGGACTGTAACCCCGCCCCCAGCTCCCAGGGCCGCGCCCCGCCCGGACAGCTCCGTCTACAGCAGCGGCGGTGGGGGGTGAGCGTGGCGGGCTCGCGGTGTGCTCGGTCCGGCGGGCGGGCGGAGTGACTCCGGGACACGGGACTGCTTCCTGCACGGGGGCGCGCACAGCGGGGGCCGAATACTTACTGTACAGCGCCGCGTGCACTGCCAGCCGAGCCCTCTGTTTACATCACACACAGCTCGGCCCCGGTCACATGGACATTCCTCCACAGGGGACCGAACTACAACTCCCAGTACTCTCTGCACAGCGGCTGCATTCTGGGGATTCTGGGAGTTGTAGGCCATTACCATGTGGGGGGGGGGGACAGACTGTAGGCATGTGTACAGTACTTGTGTTACTCTGTCTGACATTATGGGTAATGCTGGGGAGCTATTCACTAAACTGGGAATGGGGGAGTTATGTTAGTGAATTGCACATTTTAGGATAAAATAGCCAAAAGCAAAGATATTTGGTAATTTTCCATAATTCAGCTTTTTTTGGCCCTGGTTTTGTAATTCACTTTGGTTTCCCTGCAATTCACACATTAGTAACTTACCGTAACGATGACGTTCAGTATAGTAAACTGCCCAATAACCGCATGGTATAGGGAGTTATACGTTACGCGGGGAATTGCGGAGAATTGCAAACTTTAGGACAAAGTAACCAAACCACTGGGGGAAAAAACCAAACAAACTTGGTGATATTTTTTTACAATCGAGCTAATTTAGCCTAAAATGTACAATTCGTTTATGAATTCTTCAGTGAATAACCTATACACTATACACAGTTTGGTGATTACTAGCTACAATATTTTGTAGCGTCATATACATTACATTGGATAAAACATTTAAAATCACCTGTTGTGATTCCTTTTCCATTTAAATGTTTATTACAGCTCAAGCCATTGACATCACAATGTAGTCTACACAAAGTTGGCGCAGTCATGGCACAAATTATATTGAAAGAGGAGAAACCGAAACAATGGAAAGCTTTATCAATTTGTTCTGTTCTAAAATACTAAAAACATTGGATATCTTTCACTATAGAAATCAATGGAAATAACCGGCATATTCCTAGTAAAATCAGTGAAAATAAAAGGCCTGTTCTTGCACTGCTTTTTACAATGAACACTTCCAGTGTAATGCACTAAAGTGTGAATTGTTGGGAATTCAAAGTGAACTCTAAATTTTAGGCCTAAAAGGCTAATCTGGAACACCGACTCAGCTCACAATGTGACTATTTTGTCTTAAGATTTTACATTTACTTTGAATTCCCAACATTACTCAGTGAGAGTGTTTGCATCATCCAGTTTTCATTCAGTGAATCGTATTTCAACGCCAGTGGGCAATACATAAAAGTGTACATTTAGGAGGATTTACATTTTTTCTGTTACTTCTTTAACTGTCAGATTTTTATTATTGAGTCATAACATGCAACGTGTTATTTAATTGTATCTTTTGTTTTGTTTAAATATTATATATTATGAAAGCTCTGCGTATTAATTCATTATACTCAAACCTCACAGTAAATAATCATCTATTTCTCTTCCTGTCTCTAATCTGACTCACAGGTGCAAAGGGCAAATATTATACTGATTAACAGGGAGCCAGGATGGTGGAAATACAGATGGGTGCATTTCTATGTGTGTAATGTTATTATTATTCAGACCTCACACAAAACTTTTGGACTATTAGAAATGCCCAATAATTAACGGCACAATTTTAATTTGATATCAGAATAAGCAGATACGATTTTATTAATGTCCTTTTTAAATAGTAAATAGTGTTTGCACTTCATCCAGATTCCTGTACAGTTTTTGCAAGAATGAATACTGAACAGAGATATTGATCACTGCTTATGCCTGTTTTAACTTCACAGGAATTTAATGTTGGACAGGTTTTACGTTGACATGCTCCTCTAAATGGAATGCTTCATATTGTGCAAATATTGTGAGATATTTACGACTATCATTGAGTGTTGAGTTGCACTGTGGGGCAGTGTGCAACTCAGCACTCAATGGAAGTCATAAATATCACACAATGTTTGCACAATATGAAGCATTCCATTTAGAGGAACATGTGCATGGAGTTGGTGATTGTTTTTTCTGAAGTATTATTGTGGGGATCCCATTTTGAAGCATGAGATACAAGGAATTTAAATAAATTCCACTGAAAGGCCAACCCCTGGATCGAATAGGGAGGGGGGAGTATGACTGTTGCCCTGAGGGGTTGCCATTGCAACCAAACAGTTGGTTTGACAGTAGAAAGCAGGGAATTCTGGGAAAATTACCAGACTACTGGTGAACAATGCTAAGGGGCCTGGCAGTGTCTTTCCTCTGGTAGTCCCTGCAAAAAATTACATTTATTAAATTGAGTTTTTCTCCCAAATTAAATGGCTGGCCCAAGTCTGATTCAGCAATTCAGAGAAATTACAGCATCCCCCAGGAGTCCTGAACCAAGTGAGGCTGGTTAGGGGACTGAAATCCCACGATTGCGGCAAGGAGAAGGTCTGGAAGAGGTGCCAGGTGTTGAATTTATAGATCTGGATCGAATTCCCAAGATGGCAGTTCAAAGCCTCAAGTTGGCGCTGGATTGCTGGTAAGGTCGCTGAGCCTAGGCCTTCTCTTCCAGCTGGGCAGGACGTCACGTCAGAGTGTGCGGCCACATGCTTGGGTAGACGCTACCCCAGAGGGAAAATTATTTAGGGTAAGTATGTTGATTTACCTTCCCTGGTTCCGGTGAATAAAGTCAGTGGACAGACCACCGCGAGAGGAACAAGGGGGAGGGGGACAAAGGTAAGCAATACTTAGAACGTTTGGGAATTGGTTCCAAGGATTTGCGACATTTGCAAGTATCTTGACCAGTAGGTTCCCTGAGAGGGCACCGTTGCTGTTCGCCTATTTGCACCTCATTTGGGGTATATGGAGGTCAGTGCTGGTTTAAGTAAGACTATCAGTTTTGTCAAAAAAAGGTGGTTCTGGCTCAACTGGAATTTGGAGTACTGGAAAGAGACTTTGGTTGCTATTTATCCATGTCATCCATCCCCCTTTTCGCGGTGCTTCTGCAGGAGTCTGCAGGTCACAAGAACGGCATCTGTTGGCTCTTTAGTGAGAGCCACTGTAGATGGTATAGCAGCTGTCAATTTAAGCACGAGAACAAACCTGGCAGTGCATTGTTCCAAGGTGAAAAAGACAAGGTGATAGTGCACACAATAATATATTTAACTCGTACAATATCATAACTATTCTTGTTTAATAGTATTAAACCTGTACAAAAGACATAAAATGCCTAAAAAGTGTAATATATTCCATAAAGTCAGAATAGTTCAAATTAATTAGAAAACGCACACTTTCCACAGCCAATGTAAGTCGGCTCTGAACTATGAAGGCTTTTCATCAATATACAGATGACATCAGATGTTGGGCTTCACTTTACAGGTTCACTGGAGGCAGTAGTCAGCACTTCCACCCATAGTCAGGAACCAGATGAAGTATAACAAAACTTCTTGTTCAGATTCTATAAATTAAAGCTGTTTAGTCCCATAACAGTCTCTGTCCACATGGAACAAACACCGGAAGCAGCTTCTCCTTCCTCCTCCTGGTCTGTCAAGATCTGATGTCATCTGCATTTTGATGAAAAGCATTCATAGTTCAGAGCCAACTTATATTGGCTCTGGAAAGTGTGAGGTTTCCAATTTATTTTAACTATTCTGACTTTATGGAATATATTACAATATTTTGGCATTTTATGTCTTTTGTACAGGTTTTAAGCTTTTAAATACAATACAAGATTTTTTATGATATTGTAATTGGTATATATATTATTATGTGCACTATTACCTTGCCTTTTTTTTCCCTTTTATGTGGGATCCTGCTCGTTATTTGCTTTTCCCTATTTGAGGGGTTCTTGTTCAGGTTGGCCTTTTCAGTGTGGTTTTATGCAGCTCTGTGGGTCAGGAAATTGTTGGCTGCCAGTTCTAGAGCTCAGTCTCCCCTTTTTAGGCAGGATGTTCTTTTGAGTGAAAATTAAGTGGAATTTCTGATTCGGCGATCTAAAACTCGATTTATTGGAACCACCATTATCTGGAGGTTTGTCCTAGTGCTGCAGGTTCCTTTTTTGTTGCATGCATATGGGTCAGGTGTTACCAGTTCTCAGTTCACTAGAGTGTGTAAATTGGTGTTGCCCTCAACTCATTTATTTCGCATCGGTCCGACTATGCAGGCAAGCAGGTTAGGTCTGTCTGACGCCTCTATTCGTCAGCTGGGTCTGTGGGAATCAAGCAAGTTTCGATTGTATGTTCATACTCACCTTTAGGTGACTGGGTATGGTTAATGTTCTGTTTATTTCTTTAAGGTTATCATCAATATGTGTGGATCCTTGCGCATTCTTTTATTGATTGGGCATCATGCCAGACAGAGGAGAAGTCATATGAGCAGAAACTTGGGATTTATTCATCACTAGGTCAGGATTATGTGATGTGGGATCAGGGGCTTGCCCTGGCAGCAATTTCATCCAGAGTGCGTTGCACTTCGATATGTGACAGACCGAGTTATACTGCTAATTCTGCTGATCCACGCTTGTGGTAATTACCTAGATTAAGGGCACAAAATGCCAAAGGGTTGGAGCAAGGTAGATGTACTGAAAGTATTTGGTTGTGCTGGTTTAAATAAAGCTGTCGCTGTTGCCCTTACCCACTTTACATGGTGTTGCGTTATTTATTGGAAAGGGTAACTGGATTTGGTGATAAATTGTCCAATTTGACAGACAACACATCAATTACCCTCCGTTTATTTATTAAATTCACAGCTTGATAACTTTCGTTTTACAAATTAAACCTCTATAATGGCATCAGACCTCCCTAAACTATTAATATGTCATATGCCTTCTATCTTTTATGCGGCCGCCGGTCGCGGCTTATTTCTGACTACATGTCCCATGTGGCATTGCGGCCAAACTTCCGAAATGCGGAAGTGCCGTATGTCACATGATTATCTCTTAGTATTTTAAATCATACTTTCCCACCTTCGTTTTTGATTTCTAACTATCAGAAATAAGTTGTATTACTATAAATTGTATATTGATCAAGTTATGGACTTGTTTTAAAGTTTTTATAAAATGGACATGTTTTAAAGTTTTAAATATGTTTTCTGATTGGATGGACCAATTTTTGGCGTCAAATTCAAACCAACAAAGCTCTTATATAACACCTACAAGCCAGGTATCATTTGTTATTCCATTTGAAAAAGTCTTTGACGAAACGCGTTATGGAAATTTAGTTATTGTGTTTGTAAATAAATTAAAGTAATTTTGGTCATTTGTTTGTGCCAATAATCCTTTTTTTTAGAGACACATAATTTTTCTTTTTTTTATCCTGGCTTTTTAAAGTATTTTAGAATTATCTTATTTTTATTGGTTTTACAAAAACCTTGAAAATCCCTGGAAGTTTCCTGTACTTAAAGAAATCCTTAGGTGGGGATCAATCCACCCAAGCTGTCATCACGGAGCAGTTGGTCTGCTCTTGTTTTGTAAGTACATTCTTTTATTATTTTATCAATATTGCTATACAGTGAGCACTATTGGTTGTTTCTTTTATTTCGAGAACTGGACACCAATTACAGAGAGGAACCCATCAAAATCCTATAAGCGGGGATCAAACCGCTGTATGCGCTTTATTCCAGAGCTAGGCCATTAGCTCTGGTAAATGTGAGTTTTATAATATTATTTCTTCACATCCACATTTGAACTTTACGTACTGCACTATTGGTTGTCCTTCTCTTCTTTTTATCTTTCATATACGTGGAACCACTACAATAGTAGAAGACGTCACCAGCAAAGACCATTTGTAAGGATTAAACAGTTGGACTTTTTCTCTCTTTTTAATTTGGACTTTATCCTTATTTGTGTGCGCAGCCTTTTTTATTGTTTTTATTTATCTAGTTCTAAAGGGTCTGAGGGATCCCCTTTTAAAGGTTGCGTCCTATAAGTTACCTAGCGCTGTCTCATTCTTTTCTTTGTTTGACATCAATTACAATGTATATTGTAAGTTCAATAAAGGGGTACTCAATGTTTTGGAGGGATGTTATATGTTATTTTGTGTTTTGGGCATTATGACCCTGATTCGATATTTTTGCATAAGCTTTTCAAATAACTTTAATAATTTAGATAAAAAAACATTTTTTTTAGTATTAAAATATCAAAAACGATGTCATATATAAAAAAAATATCAACAATATAAAGAATTTAATAATAAATTTTGAGAGCCAAATCAAATTTCTAGTGGATTTCCATTTTCCTTACCAAAATCTCTCTTGAGACAGAAAGACTAGCACCCTGCTAGTAGAGTGAGTAGTAGGGTTTCTGTTAATGTTATCCCTTTTAATTTGACCTGTTTGTTGATGTATGAATGTAAATTTGTTTATAACATATTTTGTATTTGTATGCACTATGACTACTTTGCTAATAAGCGGGTCCTACACTGACTCTTCACCTTGCTTCCTTGAGCGTCTGCCAAAGATATCTCCACTGAGACAGAGAGGGGTATTTTTTATAAATACCCCTATATACTTATTAACCCTTAATAGGGAACATATGGGATGGGCGGTGGCATTGTAACAAAGCTGTGTGATACAAAAAGTGAATACAAATACAAAAAGAGAAGTCCTGCGCTCACTCCCATCACTCCTGGGCAGCATCAATGACCACAGTACACATCAGCCCCAATATATAGTTAAAAAACACAAAAAAATCAATTTGTCTAAATATACATAGGGATTAAGGAGAGAACGCAGGTAACTTTTTTTCTTTGGTTTTTAACTATATATTATGGGCTGATGTGTACTGTGTATATTTATCTACTATATTTACATAATTTATTTTATTAATTAGAATTCAAGGGACCTGCCTGACAACCCAAGCAGAGAATCGATTGAATTCAATTTGCAAGCACTATATTTAACCCTGTAACTTTCCATAACACCATAGAACCTGTACATGTGGGGTACTGTTGTACTTGTGAGACTTTGCTGAACACAAATTTGAGTGTTTTAACCCCTCAATGACCGGACTGTTTTGGCCAATGTTGTACGTTCAGGACCAGGGCTGTTTTAACACTTTTGTGGTGTTTGTGTTTTATCTACAAAAGCTAATGAAAAAAACCGCTACATAGATTAAAAATTTTGTCCTGAGTTTAAAAACACCCAATGTTTACATGCTTTTTTGCAAGTTATAGGGCTATAATTACAAGTAGGAAATTGCTGTTTCAAAATCTATATTTTTTTAAATTGATCAATAGTGACAAAAACACCTAATCTAGGCAAAAATAATGGGGGTTTAGTTACATTATATGATGGAATTTTCCCCCCAAGTAAATGGGTTAATCTCATAAGAGCAGACATTAGGCTGTTAGAGTAGGATCTCCCAAAGATGGGGTACATTGACATTGTGGCAGGCTTATGCAATGTATGATCATATAATGTAACGTATACCTATAATGTAGGTGTTTAAAAAAAAAAAAAAAAAAAAACTAATAAAATCTGTCAACATTGAAGTTGCTGTTTAGTGGATAGGTGAGTGCGCGGGATCTTGTGTATTGTATAATTTGGCCCCCAGCCTCACCCCATTTATGCATGTTCAGGTGAGTGCAGCCTCCCCCCCCCCCGTTTCATATATATACAGAAATATATATATATATATATATATATATGTATATATATATATATATATACACACACATATATATATATAATTTTTTTGGGGAAAATTCACATTATTTAAAAAAAAAGTATTTATTTTTTACTTATTTATATTTTATGATATATATATATATATATATATACATATACACAATATATATTGTTATTATATATACATGTGTATACGTATATTTTTTTATATTAATATATGTATATATGACTATAAAAATACACTTAGTTTGACATCATGTATATAAGATATACATACATATTATAAATAATACGTAAATATATATCTTTTTTATATATATATATATACACATATTAATATATATATATATATTTATTTATTTATTTTTTACATTGATTACTTTTTTAAAACTTTATTTTTTCATTTAACACATGCAGGGAGACTTCCTGTCAGCTCAGTCAGTGCCCCTGCAGGCAGATAAACAGGCACCTATTGCGGCCATGTGACTGCTCTGTCAGAGCAATCACATGGCCACGGGGCCTAATTCGCCGAGGGGGGACTGTCTGGGCCGATCGCCGCCGGGGGAATGGCGGCGATCAGGTAAGTAAATATGTCTGTTATGATGGTTCAGGACCATTACCGGTCCTGAACCATCATCGGTTCTTAAGGGGTTAAAACACAAACTTGTAATAATAATGATATCATCAGTGAAAGTGCAGTTTTTGTGTAAAAACTGCACAAACAAAATATGAAAACTAACTTTTGCTAGGGTTTGAGACAAAGTGGCTACTACAAAAGACTGGACGTACCCTATTCTGAATACCCTGGGTTGTCTACTTTTGTGAATGGTATGCCATGATGGGGGTAATTCTCATTCCTTGGCTGCCATATGGTCTCAAAGGCAACATAGGCTCAGCAAACCAATCTAGCAAACTGAAATGGGAAAGCCCTATCTTTGTCCCTGTAACTTTCCAAAACCCCATAAAACCTGTCAATGCGGGGTACTGTTTTACTCGTGAGACATCACTGAGCACAAAATTATTTCGTGAAAAAAGCAAAAAACAAATATGAATGCCAATGTTGGTCAGGATTTGTGACTAAGTGGCTACTAAAAAAGCCTGGACATATCCCATTTTGAATATACTGGGTTGTCTACTTTGGCAAATGGTATACCGTGATGGGGGTATATGTCATTTCTGGGCTGCCATACAGTCTCAAAGGCACCATAACCAATCTGACAAATTTGAATGTATAAAAAATTAAATGGGCAAGCCCTATATTTTATCCAGTAACTTTCCAAAACTCCATAAAACCTGTACATGCTTGGTACTGTTTTACTCATGAGACATTGCTGAACACAAATATGAATGTTTTATAGCAGTAAAATGTATAATGACGATGACATAATCAATGAAAGTGCAGTTTTTGTGTGAAAAATGCAAACAACTAATATACACTCTAACTTTGGCCAGGGTTTGTGACCAAGTGGCTACTACAAAAGACTGGACATACCCCATTTTGAATACCCTGGGTTGTCTACCTTTACAAATGGTATGCCATGCTGGGGTTAATTTTCATTCCTGGACTGCCATACAGTCCCAAAGGCAGCATGCGCCCAGCAAACCAACCTGGCAAATTTCAATGTGTAAACATTTTAAAGGGGAAAGCCCTATATTTGGCCCTGTAACTCTCCAAAACACCATAAAACCTGAACATAGTGGGTACTTTTGTACTCGTGAGATATCGCTGAATACAAATGTGCAATTTATTGCAGTAAAAACTAACAGTATTATTAAATTAACAGTTAAAATTCCATGCAGAACTTGAAAAATAAAATTACTTAATTTCTCAAAGTTATTCATATTAAATTATGTTTCATATATAAATATTTGTTATGAAATGGAAGCCCTGTTTCTCCTGAACAAAATGATATATAATATGTGTAGGTGTACTTAATATAAAAGAGTTGAATTATGGTCGAACAGACATTTAGCGCAAATTCCAGGTTTTGTTTACGTTTTGATCACAACTTGTACAACTGACTCCATCCTTAAGGGGTTAAGTTCTGCTTCTGTCTGCTATAGATTTTGCTGAAGAGTTTTATTTGGATTTGCATACAGGTACACATCTTATTCAATATATGTAAATAAAGGTAAAGGAAAATAAAACGAAGATAGACATTGACAATAATATGGTGCTACAGGTGTTATTGGGAAGACTATTGTGGCAAATTAGTGAGTGGTGACTAGATTGATACTCATACATCGTAACTGTACAACCAAGTCGTATGGTAACAGAAGTGTTAACTATAATACACTTGTTGTGGAAATAAGATATTAACCCAATTTTTAGCTAGTAAAATGTCTATTTACTCCTTTAACGATAATCAGCATTATTCTACTTTTATGTGATTAATTAAAATGGCCGCTAGGAGCTTCCCCTCTAACATCGATTAACTACATTGTGTAACAAGATGGCGCTGGAATCTGGGGGAGACCCTCATGATACCAGTGACATCACCCCTTGTAGGCAGTGCATTAAGAGAACCACTTAACACCTAACCAATTAATTATGTATTATTTCATGTTATCTCTGACAACGCATATGATGTAATTTTGCTTTAAAAGGGACTTGCCGTCCCCTCTGAATAAACATTCCCCAAGTTTTTCATCAACCTGAAACTTGTGTCTGGTGTGAATTACTTCAGGGAGTGTGCACGCACTGTTTCTTTAATTTAGCCAGGGACAGATACACAAAATAATCAATTTATTGATTGATTTCCACTTCAATTGGCGCCCAACGTGGGGCTCCGGATTTGCCGGTTCGGAGGGCCGGAAACCAACGGACCGGAGCGGACCTCCGGAAAGTGGGACAACCGGAGCCTGATCACCTCCACAATACAGCCGTTACCTGTATTCTCCTGTTTTGTGTCGGTCTGCCTCCGCGTCCACTTCCGGCTTCCAGAAGGCTACAAGACAGGTAATCCCTTATACGGTGCCTCTTTTAATGAACCTGTCGATTGTCTGTCTGCCTCCTGAGTGTTTGTATGAATGTGTGTTACGGCCGGTGCATGTGTTTTCTTTTTAAACTTTAGCTTGACTGCCTAGCGGGCAGGGAACGCATACAGCCGGTAAGGGGCTGGGTACCACCCGGGTAACAGGGTTGGGGTATTACGTACAGCTGGTAAGAGGCTGGGATACAGCCGACGGAGGATTAGGTGCCACCTGGTGGAAGGTGGGGTTTTTACTGTAGACCTGGTAAAGGGTCAGATTACAGGGTTACAGCCTAGAGAGAAAGGCTGGGATTGTTACTATTTGCTGTTTGGTACTCTCTGTTTTAATATGTACATGGCCATATTATTCGCTGTCATTCTGTGGATTTTGTTTAATTGTTGCTCCAGTGTGGGTACCCTTGGTGTGTGCGTGTGTGTCGTGTGGCTGATCCTGGATTCTGGGGTTTACACTCATCTCTATGTGTGTGATTTCTGTAAATGCCTTTTGCTTAGCGTTGCCACGTTTATCTTTTCCTTTGTTCTTTATCTTTCCTGTGTCTGCTGCCCAGAGCTGTGTTAGTCACCCACGCTCGCTCGCTCGCTCCGGTCCGTGGCCACCATCTCGGGTGGGCGGACCCCTGTGACTAGTCTACGTTTAGGGAAGACGCACAGGACCTAGATCCTCCTGGCAGTCGAGCACTGTAGACTTTCCTCTTTCTTCTTCTCCCTCCCCCTGTCCCTGTCACGTGGAACCCTTTGTTTGGTTAAGATGGGACAGGAACATGCTAGACCTGCTAAGGGATTTTTGGCTTGTGATATTGTAAGAGAAAGAGCAGGAGAAGATGCTATGTTGAAAATTAAGAAACTAGCTAAGATTTGTGGTTTTCAAATGTCGCCTAGTGGTAGGTTGCAACCTGAGTTTTGGAGGAAACTGCTTGTTTGTTGCTAGAGAGTTTGTTGCTAGATAGCGGGTTGACGAAAGCCGTAGAGGCTTGGTACCGGGTCGCTAGAGGTCTCAAACGGGAGGGTTGGACAGAGGAAGAGTTAGACTTTGAGGGGCAAACGATTTACGTGTATCACCATAATGTTTGTAATGATGATGTATCCCCCACTGTTTCCCGACCACCGCCCTATGATGGCGCCCAGAGCGTGTTGATTAACTGCCGCCCAGCTTCCCCCGTTGTGGTGGTGTAGGTCAGGTCCCCACCCCCTTGTATCCCGTGCTCGGAGCTGATGGAGCCAGTTTATTACCCAGTACCGATATATTCCTTTCCTCATACTCCTACATCCCAGCCGTCCTTCCAGCTTCCCACTGCCCCCGACCAGGCCCCGTCATCACCCCTCCTCCCAGCCCCCTCTGATGCCTCTCCTCCTCCTCCATCTCCTTGTCCCCCGCCCCTTCCACTGTCTCCGCCTGTTCCTATTGTTCCCTCTTCAGTCCTTCCTCCCCCTTCCCCGATCCCGTCCCGTTAGCTCCTGCCCCGCCTCCTGATGTCACTGCTCTGCCTCTTCCCTCTGCTACCTCTACCACCCCAGTCTGTTCATCTTCTACTACTCCTGCTGTCTTGTTATCCTCCCTCCTCTCTGCCATTTCCGCCGCTCTCGAATCTCCTCATCTCTCGACTCTGCCTTCTGCACTCCCTGATATCCTTTCCGTCCCCAATCCTTCCCCTACTTCTTCAAACCCTTCTCCCACTGACTTCACATCTCTTCTCTCTGCCCTCTCAGCCTTAGCACATTCTACCACCCCCACTCCTACTACTCCTACTCCTCCTCCTCCCACTACACCCTCCGACTCTCACTCTCCTCCTCTTCCTCCTTCTTCTCCTCCCACTGACCTCTCATCACTTCTTTCTGCCCTCTCAGCCTTAGCTCATCCTACCACCCCCACTCCTACTACTCCTAATCCTCCTACTACACCCTCTGACTCACATTCTCCTCCTCTTCCTCCTTCTTCTCCTCCCACTGACCTCTCATCTCTTCTCTCCGCCCTCTCAGCCTTAGCTCATCCTACCATCCCCACACCTTCTACCCCTACTCCTTCCACTACATGTTCTGATCCTTCTACTCCTCCCACTGACCTGTCGTCACTCCTCTCTGTCCTCTCATCCTTAGCTCGTCCCACTATCCCGCCCCTCCTACTACACCTCCCGATGTTCTTCCCGCTGTCTCACCGACCGATCTGTCGTCATTACTCTCCACCCTCTCCGCCGCCAAGTCCCAACCCTCTACTCCGGCTTCCCCTGCTTCACCTTCCCTTACCCCATCTGCCCCAGCCCCTGGTACCTCCGACCCGTTATCTGCCCTCGCCCATGCCCTGACTGCTCACCTGTCACGCCCAACCCAGCCTACCCCTACCCCTGCCTCCTCCATGGCCCTGGTCCCGTTTACCCCTAATGCAAGTCCCAGTTACCCGCTCATGGTGGTCGGCTCTGATGAGTTTGCCACTTCGGGCCAACCCTATGCGATGGGTGTCTCTCCGGCAGCTTCAGTCTTCCATCCTACTACGTCACAGTTGGGCACCCCCCATAACGTTGTCACTGGTCTCCCGGCCCCTGTCACTCCGGCCGCTCCAGCCCCCGTTTCCCTTGATGCTGCTTCCTATCAGGGCCCCGTTGCTCCCGGATGATGATGCAGAAGAGCGTGGCCCACTCCGCCCTCAGGGTAATAGACTCTCACAGGGACAGGCCACCTCCGGAGTGCATCTCCAGGTATCCCCCGTTGCCGGAGGTGCTCCATGTGGTGTATCACCAAATTAATATATATACTACACAAGGTTCGTCTACATTAAAAGGTATTTATTAAAAGGCAACAACACAATACTATAAATGTATCACAAACACACAGCCCAGACCCACGGAGCAACAACCCTTTTTAAATCTATCTATGTATATAGTAACCCCTTACACACACGCTTGATCTCACCCACGGTTAGGCCTTCACATCTAGTAATGGCTCACTGCTGCAAGTTCAACATCACATCCACCAAGGAAGAAAAGGAAGCAACAGAGTGTAACATGGTTCACCATGCTAGCACATGGCATCTGCACATCTGCTCTGCAGCACAGCCAAGAAGGAACAGAGAGGAATGGAGAAAGGGGAAGTGGTTATCTCTTTCCTGACTTGTAAAGGTATTGAATTACCAATTAACATTTCAAAAGAGTAAAGCTTATCCCACTGTAAGAAAAGCAAACATGAGCTTGGTCACATGACCCCTGGTCACCATATTAGTTTGATGACAGAATGTCACCACATTCCCTCACTTTTTCTTCTCTTATGTTGAGCACATTTAAAAATAATAATTTATCCCTTCTATCTAAACTATGAGATCTGAAGTAGGAAAGGGGAGCACAGGAATTATAGTGAGTGATATAAGCAGGGTGAAAGAAAACAGTCAAATAGGGGTTGCATCACCCCACATTCCCCCACTTTTTCTTCTTTTATGTTGCTCCGTTATCTAGTTATCCCTCTAGTACAGGAAAACCTAGTGGGAGCAAAAACCTGATATACAGGAGAAATTCAACCCACCGTCCCTCCGGAATAGTTCCCTCAGCGACATAAGTTCTCCTGTACTTTCCTATGGCTGTCAATTCACGTGTTATACAAAGTGTCACAAAAAACAGAACTTATAGAATGTAGGTGAGAGTGTGTGTGTGCAATGTAAAACTTTATTGAAGAATGTGTGAGAGAGAGAGAGAGAGAGAAACAAAAAAGAAACA